GTTGCGGATGTGTATTTGTTATTTGTTATTTGAGATATAAATCCGAGCGAATGTTTTCGGAGAAAGTATTGTTGATTGAATTTTGGAACGAGATGGATACGTTTGAAGTATCGAGGGGAAAGTTTTCTTGTTGTTTGTCAGGAACAGTGGCCGCGGGACAATGTCCCCACGGTTGTTAGATGTCGGCATCATCTCCCCATCTTATAAAACAATACAATGGCAATGTCCCCCACGGCTTCCGCGGCCACTGGAGAAAGTCTGTTGGGAGAAAGTGGGAGACGAAACAAAGGAGTTGGATGGATGGATGGACTTTGTGACTTGGGGAATTGGGTTAGATTTGGGATTTGTGTCTGAGATGAGTCTGGAGGAGGAAAGGGTGAAGTTGATGATTGAAAATATTAAGTGTGCTTGAAAAGGTAGGGAAATATGGATGAGTGGAGTGGATTATTATCGGAATAAAGTCAGGTTTTTGGCTAGAGTAGATGCGGATGGATTAATTTTGTGTCTCGTATAAGTTTAGTAGACACTTGGGGAGGAGTCATTAAAGCGGGGAGGTTTATTTTCTGGTTGAATTGCTGGTCTGGGTAATGGCAAAAATCGTGGAGAAAATTGGGGTATTCATTCACTTTATTTTGAGTTTGTATGTTTGTATTGAGACATAATTTTGAAAACTAATTTTGAGACGATGTAAATAGTAGCCTTGGAGGGGAGTAAATTCGCAAATGAATTTGCAAGTCAAGATTTTTTGCGAAGTGTTTTTTTCGCTAACTTAGAGAATTCGGAATGAATACCCCCAATATTTTCAAATCTTGTTCTACTACGAGAACTAAATCATAAATGATTTCAAGGAGATGATAAAAAATTTAAGTGTGAAGCAATTTAACAAGTTTTATACTTTGTAGTTATGTGTCTGCCAAGGAAATTTAGGGTGTGCAGTATTTTCCCGGACTTTTATTTTCAGAAGTACACACTATCAATAATTTTGTGATACAATTGTTACCGATGGAGGTATTATGCAATTCTACCGCGCGGTAACACTATGGTAACAAGTTGTCTTCTGATGATAACAAATTGCGTCCAGTGTCGGTAATGTTTTTACTGCCAGAGACATTGGGAACTGAGCAGGATTTAGTCTCCGTTACCCTTCGGTGATAACTTATTACCGAAGCGATAAAATTTCTTAGTACCTCCGCTGGTAACAATCGTATCGCAAAATTATTTAGTGTGTATTGTAAATCCAAGTTTATTTATAATCGTACCTAATCTCTGCCAATACCACTTTCTCCCAATTCATCCACATTTTGATCACGTTACGCATTTTATTACGCCATTCGCAACAAAAGCTTTCCCTCCTCCACTCGTATTTATCAACCATTTCGCAATTACGGCAATAATATTACGACCCGTAAAATACCTAATCCTCCAGTATTGTAAAGCTTACTAATTAATTCCATTGTGTCGTAATCTCACTTTCTCTCTCTCACCCAATTCGAATTAAAGACTAATATAATCCCCATTTTAGGCCGGGAAGCCGCCGTTAAACAACACTTGCTCCACCTGAGCCATCCATCTCATCAATTGCTGCCTCCTCCTCGAAAATGTCCTCTCAAACAATGAAGACCCAACAGCTTTAGCGGCTCACTTGTCTCATCAGATTTGGGTGGCAGTGAGTTATGGGGTTTTACGTCGGACGGACGGAAACCTCGCCGTCAAGTCAAGCCGACTCAACTCAACTATTTGAAAAGTTGGACATTTTCTCCAACTCCACTTCAACTCCACTCTTTAACTTTTCTCTCGTCCTAATGAAACTTACTGGGTGAAAGTGTCTGCCCCGGAAATATGAGTGAAAGCCAGCCAGGTTTTTTTTGCCGTGCACATTTTTACCGAGGGAAAAAGAGAAAGTGTAAAGGTTTGTTTGCACACGGGTCCTTCTGCGAAACACACATTTGTCATTGACGGGCAGACACATGTGAACCGAGCACCTGTAGCGTTACCACACCACCACTTTCACCACTGACAACATGTTTTACCTTTTACACGTGGACACCATGACCACCTTTTTGGCTCGCTTTCTCTCACATGTACACCTTTCTTTTTGGACAATTGGTTTTCGGGAGAGAAAATTTAATTTATCGGGACTCCTCCACATTTATCATGGCTCAAAGGAATGTCGTCAAAGGGAATGAGGGGACACACAATGAGACGCATTGTGGTCGTGGTGGTGTGGTGGGATGAAATAATGATAACCCGCCCGCCTTCTCAAAATCAAAGGAGTTGAGTGACGATGATGAAATGTGCACATGCAACGTGTGTACAATCATTGGCCGCGGAAGGTGGGGGACATTAACATTGGGGGATAGGGGAGGGAAGGGTTTATATAAGATGGGGAGATGATGCCGACATCGAACAATCGTGGAGAAATTGTCCATGTGTCCCCTCAAGCTTCTGCAGCCACTGCACGAGAGAGAGGACCCAACACGTTATCCTGAGGACCATTGGCTGCGGATGCCTTGGGGACATGTGGGAAAATTAACATTGTAGGATAGGGGAAAGAAGGGTTTGTATGAGATGACGAGATGATGCGGACATCGCAAAACCGTGGGGAAATTGTCCCCCTGTCTCCAACCTACCCTTCCGCAGCCACTGCGCACATCTCGCATGTAATGTAATGAGAGCCTAGTTTAACAAAGGGCTCTCGGCATGAAAGGAATATTATTGTGGATATGATTTAACTTGGCGAGGAGGAAACAATGCCTGCTCGACAAGAGATATCCTGTCATGTCAGAAATTCTTGGGGAAGGTATTTACATACATATGCTGAATTTTATCGTGATGTTTACAATGAAAAAATTTCGATTATGCAAATGAACATTGTCTGTGCAAATTATTTATCATCGGGGAAGATAAAGGTTTCACAATAGGAGAAGTGCTGACGAGGGAAGGAGGGTTCGGATTTTGTGGTTTTTTGCATACAAATCTGGATAAGGAAGGAGGCGAGGAAGAATCGTTAACCGGTGCTTGCTTGGTGTTTGCAGGGAGGAATAATTTAGGTGGGTATGTGTGTATGTGAGAAGAAGCAGGGTTGGGAAGAAATATGGTGTTTATTTGTAAAAAATAAAATAAAATCGGCCCCTTTTTTAAATTTTGGTTACATAATTTAGGAAATTTAGTCTTGATTTTATTTTTATTTTTGAAATTTCTCAAAGTGAGATCAGTATTTCGTTTCTTGCGGGTTTACTATATGTTTTGCCCTGCAAAACAAGAAATGCAAGGTGCAAGAAAGTGTTAAAAAGTGCAAGAAATATGCTCCATCTCGTCACGCGTCGTTTGAACTATAGCGGCGGAACTAGTTCTTTGGTCCTTGCATTTCTTCCAGGTCAAAATAGCTGCAAAAAACCACTTTCTTGCACGTGTTTACTTTCACCTGAAACACTGATTGAGTTATATATTTTTACAAATAATACTTCCGCTTTGCAAAATTCTCAAAAAATAACAAGCTATCGATTAATACACATTGTATCCCAGACCTCCTGACTTTCACCTTTAACCAAAAAACCCACCAACTTTATAAAAATTAACCTTCTTAAAACCCAAAAATCCCATTTTTTCTCCTAGAAACCCTGCCACGAAGGGAAGAAAAGCAGGGATGATGGTGGCATGGTCGATGGATATGGATGGTGTTGGGTGAAAGCTAGGATTTAGACATTATCGAGAGAGAGGATAAAACATGGCTGAGTGCATTAAGGAAACAGGCTTCGACTCTCTCTCTCATTCCGACCTACAAGGAAAGGGAAGTGCCTAAAAATATGTCAAAAATTGAGGCACAACCATGAAAACTCACTCCATTCTTTGTGCCATACGTATATTTGTCGGCAATAAATTCACGAGGGAGATAAAGGCCACACATGTCGCGCAGAAAAAAACTCTGCCTCGCATCAAATGGGAATATCTGAGAGGAAGAAGAGGAAGGCAGATGAAGAAAACGACGAGGACGACGACGACGACGAGACAGAATAAATACACTGCACCACGAGAGTCATTCTTATTATGGTATAAATATTATGAGACGACGGCAACTATTGCTTGCTACGAACTGCACATCCCCATTGACTGGTGGATGGCATGTGACACACATATTTTCAAATTTGAAAAATTTTATCCTGCTCCGAAATTTGCGAAACTTTGTCTTCCCGTTTTCTTTTCGTTGTGAGACTAGACACAAAGCTATTGCTATTGAGTTGTGGGTGGTATGTGACATAGTTTCAAATTTTTTAATTTTATCCGAAATTTTTAAAACTTTCTCCTTCTCCAGTTTTCTTCACGTTTTGGGACTACACACATCGCCATTTTCATTGAGTTGTGGGTAGCATGCGACATCTTTTCAAATTTTATATTTTATCCGAAATTTGCAAAGCTTTCTCTTCCCGTTTTCTTTACGCTGTGGGATTACACACATCTCCATCGCCATTGGATGGGTGGCATCCGACATATTTTCAAATTTTAAATTTTATCCAGCTCCAAAATTTCCAAAACTTTCTCTCCCTCCTCCCGCTCGCCTTCTTTACTTCATGGGAACATTTATTGAAATAAATGTGGCTGGATTTACTCGGATATAATGTGATTTAGCACGGAGAGAAAGCACACAGACAATGGATGTCGATGTCACAAGAATATAAACGTGATTGATTGAGCCACGTTGGGCAAAATTAAAGCCGCGCGAATAATACAAGTATGTATGTAGCTAGCTAACTTTTGGCGATATAGATACAGAGGACGCACATGCCGTAATAATCGCACGATTAAGTAAAACACTTTGTCTGAGCGGAGACAGAGACAAGATTTTTTTCCCTCTCCCTCCGTCTGTTTCTCGTCGAGATAATTCATTGTACGTAATTAATTTGCCAAATCGCGAAATCTTTTTCGCGACTTTTTTTCCCGACCTCCTCTTCTTCTTCTTCTTCAGAGTGTGTAAATAACAATGAAACTTTGTGTGAACGTACCTGCGATAAAGATGAGGCAAATGGTGGTCACGGTAATTTGTAGATTTGGCATGATTCTGAAAAAAACAAGAAGATAACGCAGTTTGAAAATCTGATTTTGCACACATTTCGAGAACACCTAATTAACACGGGTAATCATTCTTGACGATGATGATGATGAGGATGCACTTCGAGATGCGGACCAGACCAGACCTTCATCAAATTCTCATTATCTAATCCCCCTCAAACACACTCTCAAATTCCGGGTACACAATGGTGTGAAAATCCGGCACAATAAGCCCTCTCTCTCTCGATGATATAGTCACCAAACCCGAGGTGACGCAAAGTTGGTGAAAGTTTGGTCATAAAACGGAAAGGAAAAAAGGGGCAAGAATAAGAAGAGAAAGTCGGAATACAAAAGTGAGTGGGAGCAACAAGGGATCAATCGAACGAGGACGACGGCGAGTATCAATGGTAAGTGAGGACGAGGAGGAGCAGTGGCCGCGGAAGGTGGGGGGGGGACATTAACATTGTAGGATAGGGGGGTTATATAAGATGATGGGGACATTGTCCACACCCTTCCGCCGCCACTGACGACGACGCTTTCTTAAAACTTGTTAAAAAAGTTAGATGGCAATGTGGATTTGTCATGCAATGTGGAGGCGACCATTGTACTCGCTCCCAGCTACAAGGGAAAGTTTGCCATGTGTTGAGAGGAGAGAAAAAGGAACTCGCAAACTTCCATTGTTGGTCTCGGATGCAGTTAGAAAGTGGGCAAAATGACTTTGCTTTTAAACATCTTGCCTCCGTCGGAGGAGCAGAGGCGGTGTGGTTTGGTTTGGTTTGGTCTCTGGATTGAGTGGCCACATAAAAAATCTCATCTGTGATGACAGAAGGACAAAAAGAGGAGGAAATCGAGATTTGGTCTGCGTCGGTGACACAAGGGGCGAAATTCTCATTGAGCAGGACATTAGTCCACTTTCTCCAAAGTCATCTCAGCACTGAGGAGATGAGGACTTTTACCTTAGGACGTTTATTTCACTCTCTCCGGGATGATGGTACACAATGTATATTTGCTGCTGGTTCTTGATTCGTCCTAATGCTGGTCTGGTCGTCGTACAGGATGCTGCTGACTTTATGGCCGGGTAGTGAAAGTGGAGAAAGCTCTGTGACATGTCCCATGGTGCGACATATCTTTGAATTGGTGACTTTACCAGCATGTCGTAATCGCGAGTTAGAGCGGGCATTCGGGGCCCTGGACACGACTCGGTGACAGGAGGAATGGTCGTCCTATCGTATGAATCACATTATGGGAAAGACAAGGAAAATGAAAATCTAACCTGTGACGGGAAGAACTGTTGTTGTCCTTGTCGTCGTCGGCTGAACTCTGTCGTCTTCTACTTCCACGTTTATCTTTGCGTAGGAGGAAGAAAGTGGTTGGTCGTCTAGTGGTGGTGAAAGTGGGGGAAAAGTTGCTCTATATTCATGGTCGTCCAAACGGTACTGGTTGACCGGCCAGCCAGTGGACGAATCACTTTTCATCCATAATCTCCCCGTCAAAGGCCAAGCGGCTGTAATCTTTCTACCTGTATCTCCTCTCTCCCCCGAAAAAAACCTCAGAAGAAGAAGATGGAAAGCAGTCTCATCAAAACAGCACTTATTACCGACACACTACTACTTTCACCAACTAAAAACCACTCGCTAAATAAAATACAACTCACTTTTCACTTACTTCTAATCTCCTGGAGAAGGAGGAGAAGAAAACACTCTCAATCTCAATCTGTATAATTCCTCGTCTTACAAAAACCTCAGCACAAATGAAGGGAAAGCAATCTCACTCCAATCATTTTGCAGGCATTCAGGAACGAGTGTTAAGTAACGCTTCATTACATTCGGCGTGAAATGGGGCTCACTCAGTCGAGGAGAAAGCTCACCTCGCGAATAATTTTGCGATGTATGTAATTCATTTCCTGTCCCAAAAACCACCAAACGACACCTTGAATGAAGGAACGAATGCAATTACAGAATTATAATGATCTCCTATTTTTAAACTTTCTCCACAAATAGTTAATCCTGTAGCGGGAGAAAGTACGAGAAATAAATGTGGGTGGGAGTGAGAGTGACTTCTTTTCGAACAGATTATTTTCTAATCCTTTGTGTAATTTTCATGAGGAGTAAAACTCACTCACTCACTCGAGTCTCGAGTGGTGGAACAGAAATGCAGTGGTTGTTGAGAAGTCGAGCTCCTTTGTTGGAGGAATTCTCCGTGCTGTGTGTGTGCCTAGGTAGGAGTTGGAGCTCTGCTCAGCGACTACTGGACTGGACTGACAAACTCGCACCAGGCGAAAGTTGGGGCTGTTTTTCGGAGTGAAAGTGGTGCATACGAGCAGCAGGAGAAATTGCATTGGATCGCGGTGCTACTTATATGTTTGGAACGTACGGGACGGAGTGAACCCCTGCTCATGATCCCATTTCCACTGCTTTCCGTCGAGATGCAGACATGGGATTGATGTTGCTTTGCTTTTTTCTCCAATGTGGTGGTGTGGTGCCGACTTGGAATATAAATTCATCGGTATTTATCCAGGGTATGTTTCCCCGAAGAACGGATGGTGTAGATCCAGGTCCTCTCGGAGGGAAAGTATTTAAGCAACAAATTGGCAAGCGTAATTGATCAATGATGTCGTCCTCCTCCGCCTCCTCCTCCTTCTCTCGAGCGGAGGCTCTATTAGTGGTGAGCTATAGGAGAAAGCAGCCTCTTGAAAAGTATTACTAGGTTAGAAGATAAATATCCCATCGTATCGAACGAACTCAACTTTTGGCTCGAGCAATATATGTATTTATTTGAAACAAAAGTTTGCCTCTCTTTGCAAACAAATCTGGGTAGCAGCAGGAGGAACGACTACTAATAACTAGCTATCAACCAGATGGTTCACTTTTTTGGTCCTATTTACTCAGGAGGGCTTAAATAGTCCAGGCCCCTTCGACGTGGCAGGTCAGCCTCTGCAATTGACTTGAGCAGGAAAAAGTGACCATTAAAATACAACCCGGGTGACACAGCATACGGTTCCGATACACTTTCTTCCTTCAGGACGGCCCTATTTCCGCAGGAGCCCTTAACTAGTCTAAGTCCCCCTCATTACATCAGGTCAACCTCTACCATCGCATATTTACTTTCACCAGGAAAAAGTGACCATCACAATATCACTACAACCCTGTTCATACAACGCCATACTTTCCCTCCTCGCTTTCTCTCCGAAGACAAAAGCCACCTAAATAACATTTTCCCTCGAAAACGTCATCACATCCTCCACTCCACTCCACCCGAGAGAAAGCAGACATTTCATTCCGCCGAGTTGCACAGGGCCTAAAAATTTATATGAATGAATGATGACGACGTTGTATGAATATATTCGCACTTTCCCTGCATAGGTGCGTCTTCCAGCAAAGTTCACGAAAGGGGAAGGAGGAAATTTACAGCGAGAATTGTAAAGGTTCGTGTAACACTTCCGCTTATTTTTATCATTTTTCCTCATGGATTCATTCTCTCCTCCAAACTCAAGCACCACTTCATCCATTTAAATTCAAATTTATTTCATGGAATGACTTTCCAGTCACATAAACTAAAAGTATATACGACCCAAAGAGTCAAGTGTGTAGCTCATTAGTTGATGCCTTAAAGAATGGAAGCGAAGAGTAATAATGAACAAGAGAGAGAGACTTTTCTAGGACAAAGAACTCGTCGCTGCTTGAGAAATATTTATCAGGGAACCAAAAAGGATAACGTTTTGGCAGGAAGAGTACATAGTTCGAGATCAGATATAAAAATAGTTTTAGGGCAAATTAAGTCGGAACAAGGGGGAGAAAAAAATAAAGTATTGGCTAATCTGGGAGGAGAGAAAGTTGCGACAACAGGGAAAAGCAAATGTACACGGAAAGAAAATGAGTACTCCGATACTAAATCATGTTCAGAATCAGGGTGAAATTGGTCACCCCACTTTGCTTTCTCCGAGAAGAGATGTAACCATTGATGAGGGAGAATATTACTTTGCGGTGGCACCAGATCGTAATCTCGGTGGTCTCGTGTACATAGTACGCTTTCTTCCCGAAGTGGCCGCGGAAGAAGCCGTGGGGACATCAACATTGTAGGAGGACGGGGATGTACGGATTTATATAAGATGGGCAGACATCGAATACCCGTGGGGACATTGGGTCACATGCATAAAAATAAGCAAATGCTTTTACTTCAAAATTTCCGGCGTAAAAAAATAATTTACCAAGGAAATTTTGGAGTAAAAGCATTTACTTATTTTTATGCATATAACCCATTGTGCCTCTTTCCGCGGCCACTGCTTTCCCTCCCTTTCATTGCCATCCTCCAAGCGGCACGTCAACGGAAGTAGCAGCCATATTTACAAGAAGAGGAAGAAGACCGAATAAGGTCGACCCGTCCATGATATGATACGATATGTACTTTCTCCATCGCATTCCTTGCACTAATAACCACGCGAAAACAGTACTGTCAATGCTGTCGCAGATACGTACATATTTCCACACGAAAGGCATAATGTCCTCCCGTCCCTAAAAGCTCACTGGGAACACAGAACCATTTTATGTGTTGGCTTGGCGTGCAGAGGTGTAATGCACATACGTGTCGCGAGTGTGACGGAGCTGTCAATTCACGCCGTCATTCTATACAAAGTGGTGGTGGATCCATGTGTGTGTGAGTGTAGTCATTGACGAAAGACCCACCGCATCGACATAGAGAGAAAGTTGGAAGAAAATGTGCATGGTGTGGTGGGGTTTTGTGGTGAGTGAAAGTACACACATCCACCTAAAAACTTTCCTCGTCATGTTTCGACGTTTTCTTTACAAATTTATTTATCAACATGTTCTGGCATCATGATCATCATCGTCGTGCCGGTGGTGGTCAGTGGCCGCGGAAGCCATTGGTGGGGACATTAACATTGTAGGATAGGGGAGGGCCGGGTTTATATAAGATGATGCGGACATTGTCCCTCTGTCCCAACCCCCACTTCCGCGGCCACTGTTGCTGGTCATGCTCTCGTCTGCGGCCATGATCTTTTTTGAAAAATAAAAAAAGGAACGGTTTGATGTCCGCATTCAACTTTCTCCACCACGAGAGAGTGATGCTTTCATTCTTCTATACACTCACTCACTCACCCACTCAACTAATCCTAAGCTAAACTACTGCCAAACCTATGTATGTTTGGATCCGTCTTGTTTGCCATTTTGTTGGCAAGCTCTACAAAATTGTGATGATGATGAGGTACAATTACTCTCTCAGAGGAAGAAGGAGCCACTCCTGAAATAATCCCGTAAAAAAAGAGCAGCCCCGAAATTGGGAAACTGAACAAGTTTCTTTATTCATGATGATACGATTCCACACCAACTTTCACTTTTTTTAAATCTAGACAACAAAGTATGCAGTGGTGGTGGTGGTGGTATTACGTAACGTATGTAAATATGCATGCATAATATCTACATGTACGAAATCACCTTCACATTAAGTGCTAAGTGGAGAGAAAGCAAGGGAAAAAAGACGAGACGATTACTCTGAGAGGAAAATACAAAGTCGAAATTATTCTCATGAGTGAAATGAAAGCGAAAAAGACGATGAAACGAAACGGTTGGTTTGCTATTTATCAATTGCCGTTCTGCCGCCCATTAAAGTTCGTGTTGTTGGTTGGTTGTGGTGTGGTTTCAAAATTCAGGAACATTGCCAACAGGAGAATCCAAGTCGGGATTAGATGGTGCGGGAGAGTGTAGAATGAAGGGAGAAAGTTGCTGGGGTTGAAGTAACGGTTGGTCTTTGTCGCGAAAATTTGTGAGGAAAATGTTGGCGGAGGAGGAGGATCTCTTATAGTGCAAGCCATCACCTGCACGAACGCTGCGATAAAAATGAATGGTTTGCATTACTGCAATTTTTACACAGTGAAAGTGAAACTGACCAGTCGTCATATCGACGGAGGAGGATTTGCATCTCGGACCAAGTGCCGGGATCTCGTCGCACCTCGCGGATCAGATCGTTGAGGGAGGATGCGGACGTGGCTGGTGGAAAGAATGAGGCGGTTAGAAATTGACCGGATGATTTAATAGGGCTGCGAGTGAAAGTGAAAGTAAAAGTGAAAGCGGGGTTTGTTATGCTGGTTTTGCAACAACAGTACAAAATGTGCAGGGGTACGTATAATGTAGTTTTTGGTAGTATACATCGCCGCGTGTACTGGATTCCTTCCCTTCTTCTTGATTTATTTATTTCAAAGGACCATCAAAAATCCAGAGTTATACGACCACGGAAGCAATACTCGTAGCAGAAACGTTCACAGACCGTGAAATGAGCATTGCATGCCAAATGATGGGATAGCGGGGAGAAGAGAGAGAGTGACCTTCCACTAGTTACGATGATACGGCGACCAGTGGCCGCGGACAATGTCCCCACGGTTGTTCGATCATCTGCCCATCTTATACAAACCCGGGCCTCCCCTATCCCACAATGTTACTGTCCCCACGGCTTCCGCGGCCACTGGACCACTACCACCATGGAGAGAAAGCGAGAGGGTAAAAGTCCGTCGTGGTGGAAAGTACACGTAAGAAGACGACTTCTTCGTAAAAGCAGCCGAGAAAGTCAATGAGGTAAAGACACGATGAGGCAAAGCACCACGAAAAGCAAGAGACTCGAAGGAAATGATGATATTACCGAATGGACGTGAGGCCGCGGCCAATAGAGCAATTAATGGATGAGGTCCACAAGACTCGACGGATCTCTGCCGCACTCCGAGAGACCCGGCAGCCACGCTCAGGCAGCCGAACACCGTGCCCCACAAAAGTAACAATGACGACCACTGACCCATTACGCGGGATGACAATTCCCAAAAGCTACTTTTTTATGGGGAGGAGAAAGCAGATCTCGTTCGTTGGTCCGAGCAACCAACAGTTTGCAGAGAAAGAATGAAGTGAATGAAACACGGGGATTCTCACTTTTATACCTTGGACAGGAAACGATTAATAAAAATAATAATCAACTCAATGCCGCCGAGGAGGAGGTTCAACAATCAATCTGCCTCCTTAAATAAATTTACTCGGGAAGGATTCATTTATTTCTGAGACAACCTCTCCACAGGGGGAAAGTCGAGTTTCTTTTTTTTATTTTCTTTGTACTCAATATTATTGAAAGTAGAGAGAGAGAGAGAAAAAAAACATGACATAAAAAAAAGTAAATTTGCACTCATGAAATCAGTCCAACTTTCTCTTTCTCTTTCTCTTCAAGTGTATCAATCAGTCGCAATTTTCCTAAGAGAGCGGCACACTTAAGAAGATTTATTTGGCGACAAATTTTGGAACGTTCCCGTCCACGGCGGTAGCAGCGGTGAGGAGGATAATCGTCCCGAATTGGCAGAGAGAAAGCCCTCGTTGCCCATTAGAAAGTTGGTAGGAGGTCTACCTCCTCGTCTCTCGGATTTTTTTTATCTGCACGTAAAACCCTGAGCAATAAGTGGGAAAGGTTATTCATGTTCGTTCTTTTTTCCTGGGCCGTGGTGAAAGCGGGGGGAGAAGAAGAAGGGGAAGAAGGTGTCCAAGATTTGTACATGGTACATGGCACAGTCAGATTTTTATGCCGGCCATATCCACACCACCACTTCTTGTTCCGTCGCCTCGTTAAGACCACTTCTTCTTCGTCTTCGTGTCCTCTTTGTTACGAGATGACGAGAAAGTGAAAGTGTGCCTCGTAAAGAAATTGCTGCGAGATCCGACAGCTCATCAAAATTTACATATTCTTTTTAGGTAGCCATCACTACTCTTCAAAGGAGAAAGAGAAAGCATACGGAGAAAGTGAGAATCTCCGTGATCTTTGAATTCACACAATGTCTGCACAATTTAGCTCGGAGGCCGTGGTCGTGGTCGTGGTATCACATTCATGACGCTGCTCGTTATTATTAGAGTTACTAGGGCTGCCATGGTTTGAAACTGACAAGTGAGTCTGACTTGGGGAAGTGGTGGTGGTATTATTGGGTTGTTGCTGGATGGTGGACTGTGGGCCTGGTGATGGTCTTGGCTGCTGTCGAAGGAATGAATTTTCATCTCCCTCTTCGTCCGAGGCTTCAATCTCGTACCAAGCTTTCCTCTGCTGCTGGGGCTGCCGACGCCCATTCTGCAAGAGAGGAAGAGGAAGAAGAAGAAGTGAATACATGCTTCATACAGACATCATCATCCATCAGACGGGTGAGTTTTTGCGGTTGATTGACACATAATAATAATGCTTTTTCACCAAACCAGACCAACTACTGACACATGGGGAAGGATTCGTTCGACGGAATGGTGGTGGTCGTGGTGTGGTCGTGGCTTCTCAATAATTCGGACGATTGCAAAAATAAAATTGGTTCTATTCAATCTCACTGGATACTTCGGGGAGTTTATGACTTTTGATATTTTGGTGAGTTGAAGAGAGAAAAAATCGCTAACTTTTTGAGGTCATTGGAGGATCCTGCTATTTAGAGGAGAGATCAGTGGCTGCGGAGGCTGAGGGGATGTGGGGAAGTAATCATTGTAGGATAGGGGGAGGGAGGGGTTTGTATAAGATGGGGAGATGATGGGGACATTGTCCCCGACCTTTTCGGCTTTTCCAATTTTTGTTTAAGAATTTTGGAAAGTTAAATACAGTAAAAATTTCGAAAATATGATTTTGACTTTTTATATAAATTTTCGAATTGAAAAAAGTATTTAATTTCTTGCAGGTTTGCTGCATTTCATGCACTGGAAACTAAGAACAAGAAACTGCATGTGGTTACTTGCCCCTCCGTCCCCACCCATCCTCCGCCGCCACTAAGCGAGCGAGAGATGATATATCACAGCGTTCCCAGGAAGGGAGAACATTGATTAAAAAAGATCCATAAAACTTATTGAAGCTAATCTATGCAGCCGTGGGCATTTCTCAGTTTTCCCATCGCCTTCCTTTCTCCTTTCTCCTCCTGCTTGCTTTCTCTCTCACTCTCTCTCGTGTAGCAGATCACACCACGCCGTCAGTTTCTTTCTACTATCTATCCCTACACTTTTTTCTTCAGAAACCAAGCGGTCTCTCTCTCACTCTCTCTGTGTGTCATAAATCTCTGCAAATTGCAGCCGGGTTTTGAAGAATGACATTAATTGAAAAAAGCACATCAATTGTGAATGCAAAAGATTTATGATGTTGCTTTACTTTTGTGACGTAGTGAATGGAGGCTTTATAGATTCTCGATGATGATGATGACGGAGAAACAAGCGGTGGTCGTCCTGGTGGCTGAGGGGCATTATTTTCCTCTTGGTCGTCACGTGGTGGTGGTGGTGTTGGTAAGATTTTTCCTCTTTGGAGCTGATTATTCTCTCCAAACAGATGGGTTTCTTGTCCCGTTTCGAGATGAAGTAGTTCATGATTAGATTTCGTCGTCTCAGTTACAGCCACATGTTCCTCTTCTCTGGCCGACTCGGTGTGAGAGCCGGCATCCCCGGAGGCGTGGGATGGTGGCGGAGCGAGGGCCGACTCGGTGTGGGATGCTTCGGATGATGGTGTTGGGGATGGGGAGGGGTGGGTGGTGGGGTCGTGGAGAAGACTTCTTGACTCGAGACTCATTAGCGGGCAGCTGCCTTGGGTGGTGGTGGTGGTACTTGGGAGGAGGACGGTGCTTGACGAGTGGGAAAAAGATGAGAAAGAACGCCGCAACACAGGTGTGTTTGATGTGGAAATGCTTTCTGGGAGGAGGACGACGAGGTGATCTTGTGGGGCCGAGCTGGTGTAGGAGGAGATATCTTCGTCATAGGGATGATGGAAGTTATGCTGAGTGGTGGTGGATAAGTCAATCGGGTCATGGTCACGAAGTGTGACGACGTCTAAAGTGGTGGTGGTATCGGGTAACCTGGTCGTGGTCACGGTGGTAGAATTCAGTCTGAGTCGCCCTGGTTTCGGTTTATCCTCGGTAATAATAGTGTCAACGTTAACGTCAACGTCAAAGTCAACCTTTGACACTGTGTTCCCCTTGGTGCGGGGTGATGATGATTCCTCTTCCTCGAGACACATTACTTGCCCATGACTGCGGCGTGATGATGGATGAGGTGGCGGTGGCGGTGTGGCGAGCAACACATCTGTATCACGGCACGACGATTGATGATTTTGGCACTTGTTAGAAGGAGCAGCGGAATTGGAAATAATTGGCACACGAGGTTCCCCACCACCACCACCACCGACGAGGTTGCTGTTCTTATTCAGATGCTGTTTCAAAGAGGACGCAGAACTCCCCCTGATTTCGGTATAATTCTTTTTCGGGGAGTCTATCGTCACGTCGCCACGTGTACTTTCCCGGATGAGGTCTGGAGGTCCCTGTGCAAATAAAAGAATTGGGTTACGTTACTTACTTAAGTACTCACGGGGTAGTGAAATGGGCAGTGAAAAGGAGTAGTCGATCTACTACACAGGCAGTGGCCGCGGAAGGTGTAGGGACATATGGGGACGCTAACATTGTAGGAGAGATAGGGGGAAGGGACGGGTTTATATAAGGATGCGGACATTGAATCACTGTGGGGACATTGTCCCCCTGCTTCCGCGGCCACTGATCACCACTTCGTTTTTTAAGAGATTGACTGCACATAAAGTATGACAAGATTCTTCTCCGGAGCAACCGTTACCGTTTATACAAAGCGTTCCAAACCACCGTACACGACATGACATGAGTTGATTAGGTCTGTAAGTCAGTTTATTTCTAAAGAGAGAGAGAAACTGTATACGCATGGAAACGTCCCTTTGGGGGACATATTGCATTCCACCAGCGCCACTGCCTACACTGCTCGGGTGGTGGCAGGAACCATCCGACATTTGGATGAATGGCTTCACTTCTCCTCAAGTGGCAGTAAGTAGGAGTAGCTCTTATGCGAAGAATAAGAAGACCATCTTTTCACCCTTCTTCTCTTGGTTTGGTGATAAACCGGGGAAAACAAAGATAAAAAGGGGTGTAGGAGGACATTACATGAAGATTATGTAGTTTTGACCTTTGACCGCAACCTGACGGGCATGGATTGTTTGCAGGTAAAAAATATTTACGGGGTTGATTTCAGGGCGAAATTTCCTTTAAAATGATACCCCACATGAAAATTAAGACTAAATTTAATTCTGGACCACACCTCCTCGTCTCATGGGGATGGTCCGATTATCGAACTCGATAGATAACTAAGAATGATAAGAACAATGGCGAAAACGGCGTTGAATTATGTTAAAGCGTTCTCAAAATACGGACCGACGGACAAGCAGGCAGACAGACAAAACCATCACAAAAAGCAGTTTACCCCACGTAATAACATTGCATTCCTCCATCACTACCACCACCACCATTGTAAATTGTAACCTCTGACCCTTACATTCCGCTATGACAATAGCACTCAAGAAACTCTCCACTAATTTTCTCCTTTCTCCTCTTCTTCTTCTTCCTGTGCATCAAAACTCCTCTTGACGGTTTCATTCACGTCTTATGACCACCACCACCACCGTCTTATCTGCTTTCTCCTCATCCTTACATTACAAGTGGTGGTGGTGGTGGTGGTGGTGCAGTGCAGAAGGGAGAGAAGATCCACTTTACCAAACTGTCGCTCTGAGTGCAGCCCAGAGAGAAAGAAAAGAAAACGACGACCGCCTCGTCTTTTAATGAAAGTTAGACACAGATCATACCCACCCACCCGCATTTCCTTCCTTCCTCGCCAGCTATCAAACAACGTGCGAAAGGAGGCATTCAAAAGAGAGAGAAATTGGATGAATACATAGCAGTGGCCGCGGAAGGAGGCGTGGGGACATTAACAGGGGAGGGCCAGGTTTATATAAAATGGGGAGATGATGCCGATATCGAACAACCCTGGGGACATTGTCCCTCTGTCCTTCCGCGGCCACTGGTAAAGCGAAAGAAAAGCTAACTTTGCCCCTTTCTTCATCTTCATCTTCGTCTCAAGTGCATGTAAATGTTGGTGCTCTGCTCATTCAACGAATCATCATCAACATTTAATATTTTCTACCTTAATGGACACCAAATTTGGCTCGATGACTTCCAAAATGGTGGCTGACACGACTTTCTCCGCATTGTTGTAAAATGCCGGCGAACTGAGATCGTAACCTGCTCCACCTCCACCTCCACCTGTTTCGTAATTTCCTCCTGTTTCAACCCAAAAAAATGGTATAAAATAAAATGAAATTCATCCTCAGGTGGAATTATTGTCATGTTTCTCTCACGTGACATCTTGGTCGAGGAATACGTCGACGAGGACGACGAGGACATTCGCACCGCTTGCGGAGGAGTCTCAACCACCAAATCGAGTTGATTTAGTGGCGAAGGGGAAAGAGAAAGCACGTCGTTTTCTCCCAGTCTCGACTTGTTATTCGGCAATAGCCACGGGGCAATGGAGGACTTCTGATCAGGTTGTCCCCATTTTTGCACCTCCACCTGGTTGGAATCAAAGTAGGGGAAAATAGGCACCGGGGTGCGGAACGTGGTGGTGTCGTCCTCCTCGTCGTCGCTGCTGGAGGCGGCAGAACTTTTCCTGGCGCGGTGGTGGTGGTGGTGGGAGAGGTCACCGAGACCACGACCACGTGGGTCGTCGTACCTTGGTTGAGCAGCCGCCAGGATGTGTCTGCATTGCATGAAATGAATCACATATTGGGTGAATGAAGGGGTGAGATTGTGCATAAATGAATAGGAAATGGGACGAGTGATTTGTTACGAGTAGTGGTGCGAACATGGTATGGACAAGCAATTAGTTGACGTGGTGGTGGTGGTGGAGAAAGTAAGTGAAAGCAGGGGAATTGGGGTAGGTTACCAGTGGCCGCGGAAGATTGAGGGGACATGTGGGGACATTAACATTGCGGGATAGGGGAGGGACGGGTTTGTATAAGATGATGGGGACATTGTCCGAATTACTGTGAGGACATTGTCCCTACATCTGTCCCCTCAAGCTTCCGCGGCCACTGTTACCTTACGACTGGCACTCATAGGAATTGGTGTAGGGTATGAGTGGCCGCGGAATCCGTGGGGACATCTGGGGACGTTAACATTTTAGGATAGGGGGAAGGGACGGGTTTATACAAGATGGGGAGATGATGCGGACATCGAATAACTGTGAGGACATTGTCCCCTCAACCTTCCGCAGTCATTGTTACCGTACGACTGGCACTCACTGGAGATTAAATGCATCGCCGTTAGCAATAAGAGACTCCGTGGCGATGGTGCTAATGTTGCCGGTGGTGTTCTTGTTCCTGAGAAGAAGATGCTTCGAAGCCTGTTCCGCTTGTCCCAATTTATGCTCCATGTCGGAAAATCGTGTCCCAGCGAGGTTTTCACCACCCAGAAGGGAAGAGGAACTAGCAGACTTGAGTCCGATGGAGGAGAAATTCTTTATCAGATCCGTCCTCTCCTTCGCCAACCATTTTCCGACGCGGAGCAGTTCCCTGAAATTTTATTGAATCGTATAACTTTCATCTAGATGTATGTTATGTGTGTGCAGTGGCCGCGGAAGGGTGAGGGGGGACAGAGGGGCAAAGTCCAAAGGGTTGTTTGATGTAGGCATGATCTCCCCATCTTATATAAACTTGGCCCTCCCCTATCCTACAATGGCAATGTCCCCCTATGTCCCCACGGTTTCCGCGGCCACTGATGACAGCCCGACTTAAAAGTAGCGGAGGCATGCTGCTCCACCACAAAAGTGATCGTTTTCTCACTTTAAAATAAAATTTCATACCGAAAATGACCCCGGAGTGAGTCGTGGTCTTCTTGCAGGGCTTGAAATTCTTGGAGACGGGCGTGTAACATGGTTCCGAGGGAGGCCGCGGTTTCCGCCATGGTTAAATAATTGGCGCATTCGATTTGATTGTGACGGATCGCGTAGTCCATGGGTCGCCAGCCAAGCTCTGTCTGGATAAATAAGGGAGAAACTTGTTGTTCAGGTGATAAGTCCGTAAAAAAGGTGATAAAACAGAGGCGGTATTATGGTGGTGTCATGAGTGTCGATGGTAGTACATGACATTTCACTTACTTACAATGTGATGTTTTTAAGTGCAACACTCGGATTTTGTTGAAATTTTGGAATTATGAAGTTCAATTCAATATAACCAACGTTTCTTGACGCAATTTGTCCAATGGTTAGAAATTGTCTAAATATTTTAGGCCAAAGTTGAAAAATGTGCGATTTTAACCAAGCTTAAGAAAAAAACTCGAGTTCCCTTGGTAAAAATCCCCCCGTTTTTCAACTTTGACCTGAAATATTTTGATAAATTCTGACCACTGCGTCAAGAAACATTGGTTGTATTGACTTGAACTTCATAATTTCAAAATTTCAACTAAATCCGAGTGTTGCACTTCACACCATCACATTGTTGGTTATGCATATGACGTAGCACTATGTTCTCACCTGTTGTAAAGGGTTCGCCCCACGTGAGATGAGTTCATGACATACGAGCACTTTTCCGGCCGAGGCAGCCTGAAAAAAATTGGCATGTGTCACTTATCATATTTTTAAAAAATTTAAGAAAAAATGTGCCAAACCTCGCACAACGGTGTCATCCCGGTTGACATGTCTTTCAAGTCGAGGGAAACTCCCCTCTCGGCAAGAACTTGGGTCAACCATTGGACAGCGACCAGGTTTCCGTCGCAGGCCGCGTGATGCAGGAGGGAGCGTTCCCTCTCCACCGGGACGAGCGCCTTGCCCCCAGCCAACGTTTCTAGCACCAACCATTGGAAACAGGGGAGTCTCTTTTTCTAAGGAGGAAAAAATATGCTTGATTTTTTTGACGTGCAATTAACCTCATTTAGACCAAACACGTCATATCGCGTATTTTTAAAAATTTCAGATTTCTCAAAATTTCTCATAATACGAGTGGTTTGTTGGTATTTTGTGGAAAACTCTTTGATTTTTTATAGTTTTCTTCATAAGTTTTGGAATTTTCCCTATACCGAACAATGCCAAAAAGGGGATTTTTCGTGATTTTAGGCAAAAAACTTAGAAACTGGTTGAACTAAATATTGGTTTTTTTATTGGAAATCATGAAAGATTAATTGGTTAATTCAATATTTTACTCAAGGGAGATTTCTTCTAGAATTTGCATACGTACTTTGAGCGCTTTCAAAATGGGGGTCCGTCCACTCTGGTCACGGTCGTTCAGCGCCGTGTCCGCCAAACGTCCCAGGATGGAAACTAACCACTGCAAGGTGCCAAGCTGCCCCCACCGGCCGCACAATGGAGCAAGTTTCCTCCCTTGGCGTTGACCAAGTGGCGAATCACAGTGGCGTCGAGGCCGGTAAGGTACATTTTCTAGAAAAGGACAAGAAGTATACAAATGAGAACAAAGTTTTGTCTCAAGTAGGAGACAATTGCTGCTCGGATCAGTGGCCGCGGAAGCTATGGGGACATTTGGGGATATTAATATTGTATATAGGATAGCATAACATGGGTTAAATAGCATGGCGAGATGATGCCGACATCGAACAACCGTGGGGACATTGTCCCTCTGTCCTTCCGCGTCCACTGGCTTGGAGGACATGACGCGCAAATTGATTCAATTTACATAAGATTGTTGTCTCAAGTTATGCGAAAAGTTGGCATGATTTCGACCGACGCGTCTTTCTTTCTCCTTAAACTTGTAAAACACATTATGAAAATTGTCATCAAGCTTGTTTAGCATTTCTTTTTTCGAGAGTCAACAGCTTGTCGGTCTCGTTGAAACGGGATCTTCATCACCGTCTGACGCGTGTCCTCCTAGGAAAGAGCTTTGCAAACCCAAGCAAAGTTTTCCCTAATTTGCAATACATCTCTGCCAAGACGGGTAATCGGGGAAATTTATCATATCCTCTCCGTCTCCGAGATTCCTATGCGGGAGGAGGGAGTGCAACACGTGAAAGTGAGTGGCGTGGCATACAACAGCCAGCTCAGTCTAATTAGGCACGTGCACTGGTAGAAATCTGGTGTAGTCATTGATTTCTCGGTGTTAAACTTGCTACCGGTTGGTATTAAAATTATACCAAAATTTTGCTACCGATATGGTCAAATTTCAATACCAAGTTATTAGAAGGTATCACTACCACTTTTGTATAGAGTCATTCATGAATACCGCTTGGTATTAGTTTAATACTGGATTTCTACACTGTTCGAAATCTGTTATAGTCAGGCTTCAGGCAGCAATTGATTTCTCGGTGTTAAACTTACTACCGCTTGGTATTAAAATTATGTATATACCGGTCCATAAAAATTTGCTACCAAACTAGTAAAATTTTACTACCGAGCCATTAATTACAACACGATATCGCTTATCAATACCATTTTGGAATATAGACTCATACATACATGAATAAATACCGCTTTTAACACCGGATTTCTAAGAGTGTCTCCCTGCCTGAAAAGCATGCACCTACCAATTCATCCAGCCTTCCAGATTTGATAAGCAGGAATATCTTCTGGATCCAGTCTGGTGGTTTTGGCGTGTTGAATTCGACACCATGCAATCCTCCTCCCACGTGATCACTTGATCTGCTTGAGGAGGATTGTGGTCTGCGAGGAGGTGGGTGGTGGTGGTGGTCCTCGTGGTGGTGGGTGAAAGCAGCCCCGGAAAAAAACCCAGTCTCATGCGGAACAGTGATACGGTGCGCCTTTCTCTGCTTGGTTGCCCCTTCACTGGTGGTTATCTGGTGGTCTTCCGCTGCCACACGTCCCGGGAGAGAAAGCTCTTCTACCCCATTGTTTCGCTCGAGATAGGACACTTTGTCAAATATGGACAGCTCATTCAACGCACTTAATATTGAAAATGTCCGAGGGCCTGGACCCAAAGGTGGTGGTGGTGTGGTCGTATTGTTACTCGAAAGTCTTCCCATTTTTGAGGTGGTTTTGTACTGCTGCGAAGAAGATAACATTGATTATTTGTGTTAACGATATAAAAAAGGACAGATTTTTGTTATCTCACAGACCTTATTCTTTTTTTTCTCCATGTTAATTGCACCACCATTCTGACCCTGGAATTATTTCAGGGGTGGTGTAAGTACGTAACCACGTGGTGAAGAAATTCGCGTACCTCCCAAAGGGGCAAGATTTGTGATAATGCTCTTATCGAGTAGATTGTACCACGACGACGCTTTAAAAACTCCTTTTCATCAGAACTTTAACGTATAATATTTCACTTATCTGGGGAAATGTGAGAGAGAAACGATAAGCTTCTGAAATGCATACGTATAAAATGACCCCACAACTCCATCAAACATCACACTTTGCATCGCATTACTTATTTCACTCGACAAAGTCACCACTCGTCGTCCTGATTTAATTTCCAGACGAATTTCAAATCGTTATACTTCACGTTGAACAGGACACACTCGGCTCGTCGGATGGATGGATGGATGGATGGATGTGGAGAGAGTATAATGGCAATTGTCAGAACAAAAGTTATTTACTTTCTCCTCGTTCTGAGAGAGAGAGAAAGCTCAGAGAGTTGGTTGCCGTCCAGGAGGACGTTCATAATATAGCCAACAAGTGAAGGATGATGTTGGTTGCCTGGCTGGATTTGTTCTCCAAACTGTTCCAGCTCCTTTTCCTGGAAAGTTTTGCAATTAATTCACTCCCTACAAAACTATTGTATTGACAGCGCTCTGCTTTACTCTGCTCCTTGTTGTTTGTTGAATCCGAATCTACATGATTTCATCAAGGGGAGGGAGTAATGTTACTTACTTACTTTCGGATTCTTGAATCTTGTACGTACACTTTGTCGGTTTATTTAGTAGATTACATTCCTGATTTATTATTGGTTTACCGAAATTTGTAATTGAATAATGCCCATTAAACCGCTACTACAGCCACGCTAACTGGAACGGTTTCCCTCGTTAGCGGAAACTTGTCAATCTTCTTGTTGTTAAAGGAAAATTAATTCTTGGTGTGGTGTTTGCAGATTTAAGGCGTAGGATTGGATTGGATTTATTTACGTTGTTATTACGTGGTGTTGTGTTTGGTTAGAGGTTGTGAGTGAAGGCAGGTGTGCATGCAGGTAGTAGGTAGTAAGTTGGTGGAATGGTATGCATATAGATAGACTCCTCCTTAATTTGTAGATACGGCATCTTAAGAAGAAGAAGAACGTGCCCTGGAGACAGGTAGTAAGTAGGTAGATGTGTATGGAAGGTATGTAGTAGAGGTGAGCGGGGTGCGGGTTAAACCGGGCTAAAATCGACCCGACCCCCCGTTATCTGGTCGGATTCGGGCGGATTAGGTTCAGAAATAATCGGGTCGGGTTATATCAAAATGTGTGACCTACTCAACTATAAGAGGTGGGTCGGGTTACGGGTTTACGGGTTAAAAAAACGACCCGCCCGTAATCCTGATCGAGTTCGGGTTCAGAAATTTATCTGGTCAGGTTTAGAAATTTATTGGGTCGGGCGGGTCGGTTTTTCAAAATATGTGACTCGACTAACCTCTAAGAGATGAGTCGGGTTTCAGGTCACCCCGATTAAACCCTACCCACCCGTAACCCGATCGGATTCAGAGATTTATCTGGTCGCGTTCAGAAATTTATCTGGCCGGGTTTACAATATGTCTGACCCGACTCACCTCTAGTACGTAGACAGGTATTAGCATGCTTGGTGGAGTGGATCAGGTGTACATTTGGGCGAAGGGATTATGTATTTGCTGTAAATAGTTATGTGATGTGATATCTGCATCGGATTCATTCCTCAGCCCGGAGTTTTATTTAGTTTCATGGTCTCGACTCCCTTGTTACGGGGAATTTATCAATGAAGCGAGATATTTTGGTGCCTCTGGCAAATTGTGGGACTCACAATGTGTGTCTGTATGCATGCCTACTTTGTACTTACACAATGGAAAGAAAATGAGGGAGGAATTCTGAAAATTTAAGTAATTATAGGACATTTTGAGGCTTCTTTTGTTAACTTTTCTACTACTCAAACAGACCGAAAATTGTGTGAATAGATGGCTATTAAAAGACACACAATCATGCACAACAGACTTTCTCTTCAGCTTTCTCCAAGTTGGTTGTCTTGTTCAAAGAAAGTTTTTGAGGAGAAGGTATTTATTTTAGCATGTTATGTAGCAGCAGACTGACTTCTTTACTGGATGGATGGATGATGAAAATGCCAATACTTTCAGAATTTGGGGCTTACCTAGATAGTTCTAAAATAGAATAATATATTTACTAAAAAGTGTATGAAATTTGGGATACAAGTTTCTACAAAAAGCTGGATTCCCGACTTTTACTTATGTAATAAAAGTTATTAAATTAAGATTATGATGATTTTTCTTTTCTTATCTTGGATCCATGTAAAAATTGTGTTACTCAGCAGCTTAACGGATCGGCTGATGTGGGTTTTGGTGTCCGTTTGATGAATTTATTGCCAATTAATTCGCAAATTTTGAGTATCTCGTACACGGCGAGAAAAGAAATTAAGTGGCCGCGGAAGCTTGAGGACAATGTCCCCACGGTTGTTCAATGCCCGCATCATCTCCCCATCTTATACAAACATGTGCCTCCCCTATCCTACAATGTTAACGTCCCCGATGTCCCCACGGTTTCCGCGGCCATTGAAGAAATTTGGTGTGTATGCGGTTGCTTGTATATATTTTATGGCACGCTCTGTTGATCGTGTCCAATCAATATTGTGTAATTATTCCATGAAATGAGACGAAACCACTGTTTCTTTTCGAGAGTCAAGTGAGAAAAGGAACACAATGCGGAATCAATTAATGTCCTGTCAGCATTGTGAAAATTTATGGGACTTGTCACTCCAACGTCATTTTAAGCGTGGCCCTTATTACACGACTTTCTCTCCAGGATGAAAAATTCCGTCATTCATCATCACCTATGTACGGACGCACTAACTGGCTGCGTGTGTGTGGTTTATGTGTGTAGCTCCTGACTTGACTTGACCAAAAGATTTTTGGTCAAGTCAAGGAATGAGAGAAGAGTTAAGGAGGTATTGTATACGGGTTTTGAATTTAAATTTTGGTGTCTCAACTTTCCCTTCTTCTATGTATTTAAATGGCGATTTGGGTTTTTTAAATGAAGATTTTATAAAGTTCGGAGGTTAGAATTTCGATTTTTTTCTTCCATGAGAAAATTTAAAAAAAACACAAAAAGTAATACGTAGAAATTGAATACTTTCTCATAGAAGAAATAAAATCAAAATTTTAGCCTCCTAATTTTGATAAAATCCTCAATTTTTAAAAAACGCGATGAATTGGTTTCAAAATCGCCATTTGAATACATACAAGAAGGGAAAGTTGAGACAAAAAAAACGCACTCAAAACCCGCATACAATAGCACCTTAATGCAATGTGCGAATTATTCTACGTGGGAAAAAAGTAGACTAGTAAAACATCGCATTTTTTATGACACGTTGCTTTCTCTTCTGGTTAGAAGAGCAATCTTTTTTTACACAAACTTTTTTTTTTCGAGAAAATAAGCGTAAGCAGTGCGAAGCGAAACGAAGTGAATGCGATATGATAAAAGTTGTTTGCATTTTGTGACAAGTTAAACAAATACGTAAACAAGGGGAAAGGTGTCACTTTTGCTAAGCTGTAATTGTGTACGTAGTCACTTAAGGATGCAGTGAAGCTGTCAAGAGACTCGAGGACACCCTTTTAACATGTCCTCATTTCAGGGGGGGACGACACCAAATTTTATTTTGTTTGACGTGCAAATTTATTTTATTTATTTTAAAACTTATTTATCTTACACGGGATCAGGTTAAAGGTCAAATATTGACGTTTTTAGGGCATGAATTGGAATATAAGACATGATTCTTCACATATCTTGTCGACAATTTAAATTAAAACTTATTCTCCAGTTTTCTATATCAAGATTTTATTTTATTTATTTTAGATATATTTAGCTTGTTGTATCACGGGATCAGAGATCAAAGGTCAAAATATTGACGTTTTTAGGTCATCAATGTTATCTCTGCTAGAATTTAATACATGATTTTCCCCACATTTAGACGATAATTTAAATTTGACCCGTTTTCTATATAAGGATTTCATTTTACTTATTTTAAACATATTTAGCTTGTTGTATCACGGGAGCAGAGGTCAAAGTTCAAATATTGACATTTTTAGGATATGAATATAACTCTACGTTAGAATTTTATCCGTGATTTTGTCAATTTAAATTAAAACGTGTCCAGCCTTCTACACCAAGAACACACCAATTTTTAAATATGTACATATCCCTCAGTAAACACATGTATCTCCTCATCTCGGAACTTTCACAAGGCGAAATTTTTGATCTGTTTAGCAACTTCCACCCGACACATTTCTTCCTCGTTTCCTCCTTCCTACTTTACATTTCAAACCACCAGAGAACGAGAACCAGGACAAAGCGAAGCGAGGAGCACCAGTTGGTTGGAAGAAGAATTTTGGAATTTGGAAATCCCATTTTTAAAACTTGACTCAGGAAAAAAATGTCGTTTCAAGTGTTTTTTCATGTATGTGCAATTCCGAGAACAAAAGTCACACGAGGAGGAAAAGGAATAGAGTTAAACGTCACGGGATGCGAATCCCATCGCGTCCCGGGAGTCGAAGTGCTCCTACTTTTTTGTTACCTAAAAGAAGAAGAAGAAGAAGAAGCAGGTCAGAAAATGTTTGGCAAGGTAATTGCTCTCTCTCTCTGAATACATACACGAAATGCGATACAATTGCAACTATTGCCTCGTTTTCTTCTTTCTTCTTCTTCTTCTTTCGCAACAAAACAAAAGTTTGACAGCATTGTACATCAAACAGTGTGCGAAGTGGTGGTGGTTTGGTTTGGTAAAGTTTTAGTAGGTTTTCTTCTTCCTCTTCTTCTTCTAATTCTGTTACCTGTTTATTCTTCCCCCCATTTTTGGGTGGATGTCTGTTTTTGTGTAGGTATCCTCAGTGGCCGCGAAGCTGTGGGGGACGTTAAGATTGTAGGATAAGTGGGAGGGGACGGGTTTATATAAGATGGGGGGATGATGCCGACATCGAACAACCCTGGGGGCATTGCCCCTCTGTCCCCTCAAGCTTCCGCGGCCACTGGACATCCTTCTGTCTGGAGAGAGAAGCAGTAAGACACAGAAGAAGAAGAATAAAATACCAACGAAATTTTATGTTTTACTTTTGTTTTGTTAAAAAGAACAATTTCAAATGGATGTGTGTGTGTGTGCATGAATTCGCTTCTTTTTCATGTCTGTTTTTGTCATAAAATACATGTCATTACTGACACAGCATGAAGGATGTCATATGTACAATGACGTCAGAAAGAATGCATTACAATGTTATTGTTGTGTGTACACGGAGAGAGTGAAATTCCCAGATTTGTGTAGGTACACAGTGGCCGCGGACAAAGGGACAATGTCCCCACGGTTGTTCTATGTCCGCATCTTATATAAACCCGGCCCTCCAATGTTAATGTCCCCACAGCTTCCGCGGCCACTGGGTGTACCTAAATTGAAAATGTGGCCAATAAGTGAATACAAATTTAGTTTAGTGGGGGGGAATAAGAAGGAGAAGGATTACGGGGAGAGAGAAGAGAGCCTTTTAGCCCCATTTTTCGTCTTCCACATGGTCTCAATTTTCTCCGTAAAAGTTAAGTTAAGAAACGCTGACAAACGATGAAAGAATAAAATCGTAATTTTTTTTTGTCAAGACAGCTTTATTAGAATTCATATAACGATCAGTTTAACTCTGGTGGATGTGTATTTGTATATATCTGCATAACAATGGAGAGCACCTCATTGTATGTGAGCTACTAACAGGGGAGGTTTCCCAGGGGATGCTGTCTGGTTTTGGGCAAAATCGAGAGCAAATTTAATTAATATGAAATTTGCGAAAGACACGATCTCCCAATGGGCACGTTTGGCCGAGATATTTGCATCCGAAGAGGAGAAAACCCACCCAAAAAGTCGACAATTTTACACCTTCCAAATTTCCCGCGCGTTTTCTCCTCTTCGGATGCAAATATCTCGGCCAAACGTGCCCATTGGGAGATCGTATCTTTGTCCAAATTAAATACTAATTAAATTTCCCCTCGATTGACACTAGTTTGCCCAAAATCCGAGAGCATTCGCTGGTTCACCACCCTTCTAACTATGTAGGCTTGTACCATGTATGAGAATATAGTATAATTTAAAACTGGCAATCCTCATCTTCATTCAGTGAAAGGAAGTGGAGAAAGAAAGAAAGAAATCAAATCTGTTGGATTTAGTGAACCAAATCTTTAAAAGTATTGAGAATAGAGGAAAAAAATGAAAAGAATACTAAAAAAATCAGATATAGACACGAGCAGAAATCCATTTACGACTTGAACATTTCCAGATTTAAGATTTTTGTTTGAATGAATTTTACTCAAGATGCAGGATGGTTTGGTCATGCCTCCCCCGCGACGACGACGACAACTCCCACTGCCGGCCTGTGCATACGTGGTTTGCATGTACAAACATTGGGTCCTGATTTGCATGCAATTTCTCTCGTGGAAAAGAGAGAGAGTTGCTAAAGTAGACAGTGGCCGCGGAAGGAAGCCGTGGGGACATTAACAGGGGAGGGCCGGGTTTATATAAGATGGGGAGATGATGCCGACATTGAACAACTGTGGGGACATTGTCCCCTCTGTCCTTCCGCGGCCACTGTTTGTACAAGTCAAGCATCCCCCAAATAAAAAAATCGGCTTTTATATCAATGCCCAACAATTTCACTAGTGTAATGTCAACTATGTCGATTTCCTTGCGTACTTTTCTTACCAAATTCATTCAATGAGTGTGCTGTGAAATCGTGTCCCAACTCCCAAGGTGGGAATAACCAGTGGCCGCGGGACAATATCCCCATGCTTGTTCGATGTCCGCATCATCTCCCCATTTTATATAAACCCGGCCCTCCCCTATCTCTCCTACAATTTTAATGTCCCCACACGGCTTCCTTCCGCGGCCACTGGGAATAACAAGGGAAGAAAAATGTACTATACACAAGGTAAATTCGGGGTCGTGGCAAGATTTGGAATTTAAATCAGCGAGTAGTCTTCTCCTTAATGGATGGAGGGGGGTGATTTCCGCTGGGAGTAGATTGATTTTAAGTGGGTGCATACCCATTTAAGTGGATAATTCGATATGGAGCAAGGTGACACGTGATGGTTGGGTTGCTTACTTTTAGTTGTAGATAGGCGAACAAAAGAGAAATGGGTTGATGAGGGTGAATAATTTAGTTTGCATATGTTACGAAATGGAATAATAATATGTGATGTTGACTTGATTTGAATGGCTATTTGTCAGGGAAGGGATGAATTATAGATGAATTAGATGTGTTATTCGTGGTGGTGGGGGTTGTGTGGATAAGGATAAAGTATGGATGGATATTTTTCATGGAAAAATTCAGGGTGTCCATTTGTCCTTTACATTAGTCATTAGTGATAATTATGCAGGGGTCATTTTGGTATGAAAAATATAATTTTGTAAATTTGGTAAATATTTTGATCCACGTGGAGTGAAACCATATCGATTTCATAAATAAATAAATTTCTTTATCAAGTAGCAGAATCTTGTGATCAATTTGTCCGTCCGTCTTTGTCTGTCTGTCAGCATACATCAATTTTTTTAGTTTCATTTTTTGATAGAGACATAATTGTGTATCCAAGGTGGAGTTCGTTGACAGGTCAAAAGGTCATGGCACCAGGTCATAATAAGCATTTTGCTTCCGCTACTTCCTTGTATCTGCTTCTAGCTGGAGTTTATGTACATATTTCGTTTCACAGACATCCCATCTCATCACGAATGAATGGTATATAGCATTGAAAATTTCAAATTCAGAGATTTATATTCCCCACTTTTGTAGGATTTCACTTTTTGAACCACTTCCCAGAACAATTTGTATTGAAATGTGCCCACAAAAAGAGAAGGATTGGAGTCTCAAAGTGGCATTGTGTTAGATAATATGAAGCCCAAGGAAATTATCTCTCCCTCATCAGCATAATATTCAAATAATGTGGTTCTCTGGTCTCAAGTCCCGTTAAATGCGCTATTTTGTGGCCATCGTAGTAGATTTGTTTGTGGTAAGTACAACTTTACGAAATACTCTCTCTCTCCCTGCCAAAATGCCAATTGTGATGGATAAACCATTTTCCGGCCGTACTTTAACTTTCATTTTGCTCCTTCCGGTTGCTTCAAAACGACGCTATTTTATTTATACGGCACACACAAAATCCTAGTTTTGTGCGTAATGTTGCTGAAAATGAAAATGAGGTAGAAAAAATCGCTACAATTTATTTAACACTTTCCACTAGAGCAGATCTACATTGCCACTTGTTAGTTGCATACATAGCACGAGGAAAAAAATAAATTGGCAATGAAAAAATTCATGCAAAAATATTAAAAAATCGCAATAACAAAAAAGAATCCCAGACATTAAAGCATCGCAAATTCTCAATGGAAAACTAAAAATTTACAATTATCGCAACAATTGGCAATAACAAAAAAGAATCCAGACATTTTTTTCAATAACAAAGCACATTTTCAATAACAATGAATAAATACATACATACATAAATTCAAATCCTTCCCATTGTAAATGCAGTGAAATGCGACACCCTGACCATCGTTGATTTGATCGTATCGCTTAGAAAACAAGGGAGCGAATGTCAGTCAGGTTGGGTGGGTGTTAATTCGATGAGAACACCGTGGTGATAATTCAATTAGTCGAGTTAGTCAAATGTCCGGATAAATAAATCGTTAAGTGAGTAGGCGAGCTGCTGCTGCTGGTTCTCGTACACTGTTCAAACACCAGTCCGCCGGGTAAGGCCAAGGTCAAAAAATCAGGGCAGCACCACCACCAACCACACAAAGACAACGAGAAATAGGTACATATTTACTGTCCAAAAGTGCTACTGCTGCTGCTGAACAAGGAAACGCAAACAAAATTCAAGTAGTAGCATTACATTATTATTATTGTGTGAGTGTTATGTTATGTTGAGCTGGGTTCACATTTGCATAATAATGCGTGACATATGGATGCTGCTACTGCTCCTCGACTTTGGTTTGGTTGGTTATTAAATATTTACCAAATGGGAGACCAGACGACCAAGAAGACGACGACGACGACAGTGACTTCCTACGTACAGCAGATGCTTAAGGCTACGTAGATAGTTGAGCTTTATTAAAATTTAAATTTATCTACCAAGAAGAAAACTTACCTCAACGACTTATATATAAATGGAGAGAGAGCATATGTTCTTATCCACCACAAGTTTAAGCCCGAGATTTCTTGGTCCATCCAAAAGAGAAAAAAAAGTACAAGAAAAATCTCATCATCCATCCCGATTCAATTCATACTTGATGACACAGTTACTTACTTACTTTTACGAACAAAAGTAGCAGAAGGAACAGCAGGCAGGAAAATTGTCCTCCGAAAGTCGGACGAGTTGAACTCTCCACAAAAGTTTTGAGTGTTTCAAAATTAATAACACAGATTCGTTGGAGTGACTAATTTCAAAGAAGAGATTTAATCTCTCTTTACACAACTTGCTCTCTAGAGCTTGGTGACAAATTGTGTTTCACGTGGTGGTGGTATAGATAGTTGTGCCTGTAATAAAATGCATACTTGCTCCTTCTTGCTGTAACAGCAGCCTTGAAGCCGTGCAATCTGTGAAATCTTCTTAAACGAAGACGTTCCTCCTCCACCCTAATTTCCTCGAGAGGAAACATTTCGAAGGGGAAAATCACCACCACCGCCACCCGTTCGTTATTGACATTTCTTCATCCTGGGCGAAATGTTTCTCAACAAGCAGGACGTCCTCCAGTTGCAGAATGGACATCATCCAAGTAAGAATTTTCATTACGAGATGATACCCATGATAATGCAGTGGCCGCGGAAGCAGGGGGACATTTTCACCCAGAATTCTATGTTACTTAGCCCCCCCCTCTTCCCATCACGGAATGCGAATGTCCCCAGTAAATGGCTTCCTCGGCCACTGCATGATAATGCAAAGTGTATAGAAATATCGTTATCCTGTGCTGTATCTCGGGAGAGAGATGATAATAATAACGGGGTAATGGGTGCTAGCATAATAATAATGAAGGAAGGCGAGTGTATTATTCGGTGGTATGGTTAATGAGGAGTCGTCGTCGACTGGTGGTGGCGACGGGGTAATGAATTTTATAAAAGATTGGAACTCCAGCTAATCGAAATTTATTTGGGAAATGTTATAAATTCTAATTGCGTGATGTGCCCTTGCGAGAGAGACATAGTTTTTTTCCCACAGAAGAAAAGAAGTTTTAGTGTGTGTGGCGAAATTGCGGAGGGGAGAGAGATTAGAAACACTCACTGACTGGGTGGTGTGGTGCATTATCAGTGGCCGCGGAAGGTGTGTGGGGACATTAACATTGTAGGGCCGGGTTTATATAAGATGGGGAGATGATGCCGACATCGAACTACCGTGGGGACATTGTCCGCGGCCCCTGCTTCGTTGTGGTAACGTAATAATGGCGAACAATGGAGAAAGGATGAAATTGATGAAGGCGTTGATTCATCTTTACGCCAATTTAAAAGTCCCTTAATGACCTTTCACGCCAAACTTAATTAGCAATTATACCTCGAATGTCTTCCGCTGCAGGGGAGAAAGAGAGAGAGAGAGACTGAAATTTGGAAGAAGAAGATGGTCCATTTATACATAAGTAATATTCTCAAAAAGTTTGTTAACACTGCGGGATTAAAAGATTATAGGGCGAAAGGGGAGAGATGTGTCGGTGAAGTATTTATGCCAAGATAATACGAATATCTGGTCCCCACCAACGCCAACAAGCAGGCAGGCATTGTACGTGGTGTAAGACCACTCATTTCATTAGCACATTAAATGGCGTTCCAAAAAGCTCGTCGACCTCGGAAGAAGAAGAGAACCAAGGATGAACTGAATTATTTTTCCGTCCTATTAGTTTACTTACTTATTCGGACTATGCTAAACTACCAAAACGGAGGTTTTAGCAGAGTGAAAGCTTTGTAGGACCGGGTGAAGGTGGTGAAGGTAGGAAGTAGTGGTCCTTGTTGGAGCTTTCTCTCTCTGGCATACGATCATGCAACGTATTTTTGCACAGTGGCCGCGTAAGCTGTGGGGACATTATTAACATTGTAGGATAGGGGAGGGACTGGTTTATATAAGATGGGGGATGATACGGACATCGAACAACCGTGGGGACATTGTCACTCACGCTTCCGCGGCCACTGTATTTAACAGCAACAGTGATGTGCTGCGTATTTATACGAGAGGAAGCATCAGGAATGAGAATATAGCGACCCGTGCAAATTAAATGTTTGCCTGAGCTGACATAATAATAAGAAATTTAAACTTTCTCTTTGTTGTTGTAGTTCCTCATTCATTTTGAAATCCCAGTATGCCAAGAATTCCGAACTTTGCTTAACATTCAACGAATTCAACCCTCACTAAATTAGGGATAGATGTGGCTGAATAATTAAACTGGGCACCGGTCCTCCACGTCCGTCTTACTGCCTCTTTTACACAATCTGGCTGGCTGGCAAGCACCCCACCCGAGTTATTTTCCGCACCCGCAGTACCACCACTTTCACCAGCATCGTTAAATTCTATGGGCCGTGTGCATATGCATGTCTACCTCTTTCGTGGCGTGGCTTGTGATCTGTACATGGTTCATCTCATGAGAGATGATGATGATTAAAGGCACTCTGGGAAAACAGGGGAGACAAAACTCGGAAGGAAATTAAGTACATCAAACAAAGGTTTCGACATTGGGAAGGAAGGAAACATGCAATCGTCGTATCCAATTCGCAGAATTCAGTGGCCGCGGAGGGGACAGAGGGACAATGTCCGCATCATCTCCCCATCTTATATAAACCCGGGCCTCCCCTATCCCGCAATGTTAATGTGCCCACAGGTTCCGCGGCCACTGGGGGTGGTGGTATGTGCAGGAGAAAGTACACATATTGAGTACAGTGGCCGCGGAAGGGTGAGGGACAATGTTCCCACGGTTGTTCGATGTCGGCATCATCTCCCTATCTTATATAAACCCGTCCCTCCCCTATCCCCCAATGTTAACGTCCCCACCCCTTCCTCCGCGGCCACTGCATTCCCATTAGACGTAGTTTGGCAGTGAGGAGAACATAATAAAAAACGAAGCATCAATGAGACATCACATCCTGTATAAATTAACATGTATAAATTAACACGGAAATAATTTATCTACTTTTTGCTGACATTGGACACCATGTTTACGTACGTACGTAAGTAGTCTGGCGGCGTCAAATTTCCATCTGCCAAACAGGCAAATAAATATGTACTTGCTTTTTCGGGGGAAGAAAGAAGAAAGGTGGTTGGAGGAAATTCGAAATGTTGCGCTGCATCAATCACTCACTGTAATTAAATTAGCGGACTAAGAGCATCCCAAAATACGTCGAGGAGAAAAGAAGGCTGGTCTTTCTCTCTGTAAAATAATTAAATTTTGCAACTAAGCCAATCTTCCAAGTGCACTTTACATCATTGATGTATGGAATTTGGTGGTGGTGGTGAAAATGGAAATTGTTTGTGATTCGAGAAGAAGAGTGAAATGTTGGTGGGTTGGTGAGGATATGCTTTATCAGGTGGAAAGGTATTTCATATATGGATGGAAAGTTCCAATTTTTCTATGTGGGGTGGTGGTGCATGCATATTATTATTATTATTGGTTCAAAGTGAATGGAGGGGAAAGTGGTTTTGATCAAATATTTTATAAAAATGTGGGAACAGACTTGTAAAAGAGGGTTAAACTCGTGGCTAAACTAGATTTATGGAGAGGTGCTTGAAATGAAAACGTGGGATACGATGTGAGATATGCAGGCATGCTTTTCATTGTGATGTATGAATAACGAGGTGGATACAATGTATCCCAAATATGTATGCGTAATTTCAGATGGATACAGATAGACTTACTGTAATAACAATGGAGGTCTTCCAGCGTATGCTATCCGATTTTGAACAAACTAGTGTTAATCGAGAATAAATTTAATTAGGGTGAAATTTGCGTAAGACACGATCTCCCAATGGGCACGTTTGGTCGAGATATTTGTATCGAAAGAGGAGAAAGCGCGCTCTAAAGTTAATAAATTTTACACTTTCCAAATTTACGATGTGCTTTCTCCTCTTCGGATGCAAATATCTTGGATAAACGTGCCCATTGGGAAATCGTGTCGTTTGCAAATTTCATGCTACTCAAATTTGCCATCGATTGACACTAGTTTGCTCAAAATCGGACAGCATACGCTGGGAGATCTCCATTGCAATAGCTTTTTAGATACAGATTTGCATATTCTGATATAGATATATAAAGATTTAAGGTAATTCTAAGGTATTCATGTAAATAACACCCAGAATTACAAATAACCATAGCCATTTAGCCATTTCAAAGTGAAAGTTGGCGAGGACTCGTGGTCAGCACACTTCCGCCATCTCCTTCCACAAAATCCCACTTTCACCACGGATACAATTTCATAAGCCTCTTCACCACGGTTTATCACATGGTCAACTCCACCTGCTTTTTTCATATGAAATCAAGCCAGCCTTTATGCATTTCCGTGTTAAAAGTTATGCCAAGAAGTACAAATTTCATTTAGCGCTAATCAACCAAAGCATGCCGAAACAGTTATTATTTTGACAGTATTTAAGTACACAGTATTACCAAAGAGCGGATATTTATTTATTTTGTTAATAGTTGTGATTCCGACCGATGATTAAACTTTGTGGGTGTGTTCCCTAACTTGCCTAGATCACAAAAATTTCAAAATATTTTTTACATATTGTTACATATTTCTAGGTTTTCAGACATATTTTATAAAGATTTCCGCTATTATTTCAAATGTATTTTTTCAAAAATACATACATTTTTAAGCATTTATTTCGACGATATGAAACGAATTTTTTTCCAATGAAGAAACAGGATCACAAAAAAATCCAAATTCAAAAACACAGATTTTAGCAAAAATGTGTATCCTCATGTTTTTTAGGGGCATATTTCGTAAACATTTTGGCGTTTTTGTCCTGCATATTAAATACATATTTCAGCGATTTTTCGTCAATACATATCCTCCCTCTGATTATTAATGGCTGCGTTATGTAGTCAACTACCTAGTTACATAAGTCTGGATGACTTGATCATTTAGCAGACACAATTGTGTTAATATGTCACTTACTTAATAAGCCCATGTTACATATGAATTTTCCATGTGCATTGTACACACACACGTATGTAACCAAGTAGGGAAGTTAGTTCTTATATATGCATATTCAATCATTGTTCTATTGTTTGTATGACGAAATTACAATAACAATTGTATATGCTCCATTTTTCTCATTTCAATATCAAAGTCATGCACGTGACATTCCATACACATTGGGCAATTGGCAGTTCGAAAAAAATTCATTTTGAGAAGACGGATATTAATTCCATAAATTTCTCAACTCCTGTCCTTCAATTTCAAATTCAAGGTTGCGCAATACTGCAGCTTTTAACATGATTTTTAAACGGTTAGTTTTGCATTTAGTTAGTTAGGCGGAAATGTTTATAAATGCGGGGTTCCAATTAGGCGAGAGAGTGCAAAATTCATGTAATAATTATTATGTTACGACTTGCAGCAGTCATTTTTATTAGTGTTTGGCTGAAAGTGCAGTATCACGGTTTTATGGGAATTATGTATTGGTATATTAATGTACCTGTAATTGCGTGTGGCCTGTTGACGTATGTCTGCATATAGTTAAAACGAATAAAATAGCGAATTTTTACTGTTTCCAACCATATAATCATGTCAATTAATGACGCAATTAACGAGATGCATTGTCAAAATATTTCTGGGTAGGTTTGACCCACGTAATGGCGACGTGACGTGAAGAAGGGGATCGATTTCTGAACTATTATTAGTAGTGACATGAAAAATAAATTGAGACTGAAAAAATTCGTATATAGAGCATACAACAAAATATGGTTTTGAACATTGTACTAAATCATAATACATAGTTATACATTCCTCTGCGACTTGTTTGGTGTCTCATTTCACATTTATTTTGTGTGACTGCCTGGGATAAAAGTATCTACAAAACACAAAGCAGTCATTACCAGTCACAAGCTATGCATCGAGCAGGCGTATGGATGGATGGAATATGAGATTATTATTATTATTCAGAATGGAATCACTTATACTTAAAACTTTACCAGCCAGCTACTGATATTCACGTATGCATGTGCAGGCTGGAAGAATAATACAAGCAGGATGGAAGACCTAAATTATCATCATTTACATAACAATTAAATGCGTTTAAATACCATGTCGTCGTCGGGATTATCATATAACGATTAAATAAAAGACATAGGAGAGAAAGAAATGTGCAGCCATGTCAAAATTCAGCCCAGAAATTTGTAACTTATAATTAGAGCAGGAAATTATTACGGTGCTTGATTTTGATTTTTTGCCACAATATTTCGTACGGGATTTCGCACTTACTTTACTTACATGTAAAAGTAAGTATGATGATTAATAGCAGTGTGGTTTGGCTTGGATTCGCGTTACATTTTTTTTCGTGACGTAGAGTAAAATACAGCTGGCTGAACTGAAATCTCAACCCTTCTAAAAGTTGTTTGCCGTATGCCGTATGCCGAATTTATTAGACATATTCCTGTTCGTGTGTCACATTGCATTGATTCCTGAGCTGGATGGACCAGACTCATCATTCATTAATAATCAGGATTATTAGTCAATAAAATCTGGGAGAAAGGTGGTGGCGGATTATTATCGAGAAGTGTAGGAGGAGACGACGGTGACGACGGTGATAATAAAACAATTTCCGTCAGACGAGACAATCCACGTCGTAAAAATTGAATGATAAGTATTTAGGCTAGTTTTTCTGGTTTTCAAGAATCTCTAAAAGTCGTTAAAATAAAAGTAGCGAGAAAGTTGGTTGGACGATAAAAGAAATAAAATTCACTTTCTCTCACAATAATTGTTTGTCAGTGTTCTGTTAATTTATGTGGGTCAGATTGGAAAACATCTAAAAGAAAGTCGTTAAAAGTATTGAAAGTTGGTGGTGGATTGGATGATAAATAAAAGAAATAAAATTCACTTTCTCTGTGTTAATTTAACTGGGTCAGATTGGAAAACAGGTCTCAAAGTTGAAAACAATACCTCTGGCTGGAACTGGTTCTTCTTTTCGTAAATAGAAAGTTAACGTGGTGGTGAAAGTGTGCGAATAATTTGATAAAATACTTACACACGGATGCCATAAAATTTTGGATAAGTAACGTGAAAGTAAAGTAACTAACCGAGATTGACGAGATTATTAAATAAAATTACGCCATGAGAATTATTATCGTTGAACTTTCTCCACGCCAAAAAAACTGTTGACGTTGACGAAGCCGTAATAAATTAAGACTTAAAAACTACTTTTGTTTCCACAGTGGTGAGTCTATCCGGCAAGATTGCTCGGTACAAGATATTCGTCAATGTGGGTGGAGCAGATATGGCCTTCAACAACGGAGGTGATGAGCGGATCGCGTTCGGACCGATGGCGAAAGGACAGAAAAAATATGGGTCGACGACATCCTCCCGAAGCAAAAAGAATGAACAAGTCGTGGTCTACAATGTCCAAAAGGGCGACACCCTGGCCGGGATTGCGATCAAGTTTGGGGTCAATGTGGGTCACAATATTATTAATAATTAAATTTAAGACAATGTTAATTAAAGTATTGTTCTTATTTTTTATACAGACGGAAGCAATCCGACGTGTAAACCAATTGTGGGCGAACGACAGTCTATTCCTTCGTGATAAGTTATTAATTCCCGTCGAGCAGAGCGAAACGAATGGAGAATTGGACAGTAGAAATAGTAGCAATCTCTGCTCCCCACTCGATGATTCTGGCGGATTTAAAATGCAACCCCATTGGACCCACCCACTCTGTGATTCCTTCGAAGAGGACTGTATCGTTAGTCCAGAATCGGTTAAGTTAGGCTCAAGAAGTTCCAACATGGATTTGAACAGTTCTGCAGACACGTGGTGCTCGAGTAAAGATAGTTTATTTGCTAATAATGTGGATGGTTTGTCGAATGGGACGCATTCTTCGTCCCATTCACCGCTTGCCTCCACCAAGTCGAAACATTCTTCGATGGATAATGGAACGTCGTCGTCATCCTCGTACCAACACTACTATTCGGTGAATGATAATAGTCAACAGCAGAACAATAGTCATCATCACCACCACAACAATCATACCGCATCTTCGTCAACAACAACAGCGCCAGAAACGCCAACCTCACCCTCGTCCGCGTCCGCGTCTTCATCGAGAAACTGCAGTATAGTGGATCATTCGGAGAAATCCGCGCAAGAATTTCTTTCCAGGATAGATTCGGCTATTGCATCGAGTAAAAAACAGGCAAAGAACAAGGCTGACGAACAAGATAAAACTGCCCCTTGGGTTACGTTTGACTCGGACAGTGAGTCCAGTGATCATCGCCACTCTTCCGCGTCTGGGACATCGATCACGAGGCAGGGGCGACATTTGCGGTATTCATTGAGAAAGTTGGAGAAAGCGCAGGAAGAACTGTTTCAACTATAGCGATAAATTTAGTAGAGTCGAAATGGTTTTAGATGAAAAATAATTAGGCATGATGGCAGCTATTACATCGCTCATCCGCCAAAACAACAACTGAGTCACCGTTTAGGAAAATTGTAATTAATGTTAAACAATAACTAACATTCAAAATTCACCACCTACAAATAATGTGTACCTATTTACAAACATGCATCTTCTTTTGGCAATGTCAAGTTGAAGTTCTAAGTCAAAATGTAACTATATCATGATATACCTAACTAAATACAGAAGCACCGTTTATGCCCTATATAAATGTTATTATATTCTTGTTGCAAGCATTATTTATTTGCTAGCAATTAAGTATGTAAGTGAATTATTTATGTCCGTAGATAAGTATCTTGAAAACGACACACGCATGAATTTTATGTATTATTATTTAAGTTACAATTTGACACGTTTCTTCATTTAACAAAAGTAACTAAACGTGTATCTCAATCTTTGTATCAATACTGTTTGACAAAATGTGTTAATTAATATCTCAAAAAAATTCTATTGCTCAGTTTCATTCAAAAAGTCAAGACCCAAACGGAAATTGGGTGAATATCGCTAAAATATTTATTGTATATTAGATTATATCAGTGTTATCCAAGATAACTTATCTTTGACAAGATTGTATATAGTGAGATGGACGGATACCGACCGACCGGCAGCAATGATCATCATGATGGCGACAGATTTCCTGAATTAATTAGATATGCACTGCACTCATTCATATTTAGAAAAACGGATACTGACTGATTCTCATGATAACTGATTAATTAATAGAAAAAAGGCAATCACGACTCTAATCAAAGTAATGTTTATTGTTAATTAATTATCCATCTTTATAACTAACTTTAGTAGTTTCTTCGTTGTTCATTGTTCCTATACTTGTAAAAAAAGAGAGACATATTTCCAAGCCAATTATTAACCCCTTAAATATATTCTTTACTAATTAGACTAATAAATAATTAGATCACACAGAATTATATTAAATATTAAGTATCTATTGCATGATAATAATAAATAATGATGTTATAACTATTCCGAAATGAAATACCTCTAAAACTAAAATCATCACCTAGTCTACTTAACTTTTACGACATATCTATTTACCAAGAAATCTATTTACCAACAACGTATCTGTCTCGATTATCATCTTATCTTATCTTATCCATCTATATATGTATTTATAGATATAAATATTATGTTGTTGTTTTCTCTGCTGATCTGGTCATTTCCTATTTAACCCACCAGTCTCCAGCAGAGTTGACTTAATAAATAAATAAAAATATATACGGAAAAACATTTACCAATTTTTATTACGTCATATTTATTGATTTGTAATAAATAAGTAAGTAATTTGCATAAATGCGAACCTCCAGCAGATGCGTCGTCATTTGCATATCCATCATGTATAAGTACTTATCGAAACATTGGTTAAGCTTGTCTCATGATGTAAAATTGAGACAATTTTTTGTCCGGATTGGTAAGAAAAGTCGCAAAATGCCCGTCTGGCCGCTGCTCAACCCACTCCTCACTCCATTCCATCCACCATATTATTTACGACTCTTCTCATTTATAAAGATCTCCATTCACTAATAACTTGATGACATTTTGTGATTTTCTTGTTGATAAATGACAAAGGAAAAGATAACGTTAATTGACCATTGATTGATAAGTTTAACGACTATTGTATTTCTTCCAGAATAATTAATTAATTAAAAGGTGAGAAATAAATTAGATGAGTGATGTGTTGATTAAAATAGGGATATAATATTGTGTAATGAATTAGATTTTATGTTGTACTTTATTATTTTCAACTATTGACGACAAAATTGAAAATTTCGATTTGAAATAAATTAGATGACTAAAAATAGGCATAAAATGAATTAGATTTTTATGTTGTGTTTATTAATTGTGTTCAACTATTGACTATAAGGAATTGATTTTGTGCAGGATTTTCGCCATGGGAGGAGGGAGGAAGATTTCTGACCTTCGTGTCGTCGACTTGCGCAGCCATTTGGAGAAGAGGGGCCTCGACACGAAGGGCAATAAGGCTGCTTTGGTGGAAAGATTGACACAGGTGGGTGGAGGTATTTGGTAAAGGATGAGAGATAAGTAGGGGGACATAAGTGGTTGAGATAATGAGTGATGTTTAACCATTATATTATTGCGAGTTTGAGTAAGATAAGCGAGATTAGGAGACGATGTGCTGGTGGGTTGATGATAAATGAACGATGCATGTTGTTTTTAAACGTAATTCAGTCTGGTGTTGGATTTGTAGTGGAAAAAATCTGGTTAATTTGGCTATTTACGAATTAATTTTTGCGTAAGATTGAAGGTTAAAGTAGAAGTATTTTTTAGGAGGTATAATTTTTTGTTTTTATAATTCCAGGCTCTGGCCGCAGAGGGGATAAATCCTGAAGAATATTTGATGGGTGACGTAGAAACGGCTGGCAAAGATAAGCCTACGCAGTCTTCCGGAGGCGAAACCACCGGTAAGAATTAATAAAAACGAACATATAGGTTTTATGCTTGTTTACTTTATAATTATGAAATTTTCAGAAGCTGATGCTAGTGAAGAACTTCCCCCAGAATCGGAAGAAGGCCCAGAGGCGTTAACAGTCATGGAGGTTGTAAAGATCACGGAGAGTGAAAAACAAGAAAATGAAGGACAAGAAGAAACTGTTGATAAACCAACGACAGAGCAAGAAAGTGTAGTTCAGGACCTAAATAAAGAAGAAGAAAGTGTAGCTCAAGCCCAAAATAAAGAAGAAAGTGTAGTTCCATCACAAAATAAAGAAGAAGAAAGTGTAATTCCATCACAAAATAAAGAAGACGAAAGTGTAGTTCCATCACAAAATAAAGAAGACGAAAGTATAGTTCCACTACAAAAGGAAGAAGAAGAAAATGTAGTTCCATCACAAAATAAAGAAGAAAGTGTAATTCCATCACAAAAGGAAGAACAGGAAAGTATAATTCAACAACAAACTGAAGAACACGAAAATTCAGATCACGAAAACAAAAAGGACAAAAGTCCAGACCAAGAAAGAGAAATTGATAATTCAAATAAAAAAGACGAAGAACAAGAAAAAAAAGATGACTCCAAAGCATTGCCAGAAAAGAAAGATCCTGTAGAAACTGATAAAATAGAATCTAAAAATGATACCTCGACCGATGCTGGGGTTGACGATGTAAGATAAATAATTAACTATGAAATACTGCGCAACAAAATGGATATTAATTTTTTATCTATAATTCAGGACAATTACGCACTAAACCTAACGATTGGGGATGAAGAGGATAAATTTATAATGGATGGAGAGGTATTAAATATATTGCAATTAAAGGTTTAGTAACGCCACTATAATAAAACATGCATAAAAATGTCCTTGTTTTGTGTAGGATGGAGCTGAAAGTGAAACAAATCCTGATACAACTCTTGACAACTCTTTCCATTTGAAACTAGCAGTTGTGCCATTATCATCAATCACATGTGAAAACGCCGACGAGTCCAAGTCGGCATCACCTGGGCCTATCAAGTAAGTGACTTTTAGATTTGTCTGTTTCGTTTATATAATTTTCAGGTCAGGTCAACGTGGCATATTCTAAGAGTAAACTGGGGAAAATATGACTAACTGCCTATAAGTCGGTTAATCAATCATTGGACCAAGAAATATATCAAATAAATTGTGGAAGATTCGGAAGATCTAATCAAACAAGCAGTGTTTCAACAACTGATAACTTGAAAAATAATTATCCTGCTCAACGTTCGACGATATGTTTCAAATGGTGCTGTTTTGAAACAAAAATGTGACAACATCAAGTCAAATTGGATTCAGGATTTCTTAAATATTTAATATTTCACTCCATGCTGACTGGGCCGTGACTCATAAAACTCTAAATCATTAATAATATTAAACCAAACTTGTTAAAAAACTAAATAACATCATCATCATTACCAAGTTGGATCAAGTTAATTAGAATTCAGCCCTATCTGAGCAACAAGATGAGAATTCATTAACAATTCAAGACTTTGTTAACTTGAGAAAATCTGAATAAACGCTACATTGACTGACGACTGACTGGAATTTCCATGCAGAAACATTTTGGAACCTTTGTCAAGTTTATTTCGTTCGTCAGAACATCGACGGAGATTTAAAAATTATCATCTTCTTCCAATATTTATTAAACGATGGATATGTTTTTAGTGCTACACAAGCGGAACCTTCATCCGAAGAAAAACAACATACTGAAAAATCATCCGAGGAAGGAGGAGGTATTTCAAAATATCATTTTTCACTACTCGTGCTGCAAGCAATTGAGACGACCGAGTTAAAATAAATATATATAATTTAAAAAAAAATGTTTGATACATAATCCTACATCATGCTGACCGCAGGAAACAAGCCGCCACGAAAATCTAAAGATGAAGACCGAAATACCCTTCTGGTCACGGGCTTGTCGTCACAGACTGCAGCGACGGAAATCAAAGCGGTGTTTAAGAAACATGGAAAGGTAGCGTCTGGTTGTTGGCTCTTGGCTCTTCATTTTTAAATCGACGGACTCTTACCTATAGAGTCTTGGCTTTTTTACATTATCAATCATCGTGATATTTTGATCCCGATAATCGAGCGTTTATTGGTCGATATCTCTTATGTAGATTGGCGGCGTTAAGATAATGTCCAATGCGAAGGATCCCGAGGGTAGTCGATTTGCATTGGTGTCAGTAATGTCGTCGGAGGATGCCACGATCTGCATTAAGAATCTTGATGGTTTCGCACTTAATGGACACATCATGCATGTTGAGAAAGTATTACACGGTTTATTTCAATCTCTTTTCTCTCTCACTCCCTCCACTTAATTATTTTGTAGGTGTAAAAAATACGCCTGTATAGATTTCCATATTTCCCCATTTTTAATTAATTGTCTGATTTGATCATGCACTTAATTTCCGTCTCTTTCAACTCTTTATCTCGCCCGCTCTATTTCCCCAAGAAAAACGGGAAACCTATTGATTATGTGGTTATGGTAGGCTCGGGACGAAATGTTGACTGCAGATTGGGTGAACAGTCATTCCTCCAAGAACAAAAATAAGGACGGGAAAAAATCGGGGAACGGAATCCCACCTGGATTAACACCACCTCCTACGCCCAAAGAAGACTCGGCCAACATTTCTATTGATCCCGCAACCGAAAAATCAGATAGTTCGAAAGACATTGTTGAAGTTAAATCAGTCGATCAAAAACCCGACGTAGAAATGCCTGCTACTAAATCAAGTCCCACCGGACCAGCCGTGTCGTCATCATCCGACGCCGCCACCAAAGCAAAAGTGGAATCAAAGTCGAAACGACGATCGTCCAAAGATTCAGGATCCGGATCCCACAAACACCGGCTTTCGAGGAGCCCTGAGGAGAGAAAGGGACGAAGTAGGGAGGTAGTTTTCTTCAAGAGACGAGAATTCCACCCGTCACCATTCCGAGGCGGGATGAATTCACGCCTGATAAGAAGTCGTCATCCCAGATATCGCTACCACGACGAGGACGAGGAGGAACGAAGGGAAGAATATCGTCGGCGACTGATGGAACGCAGGGAAATGCAGCACCGTCGTCGCCACGGTTCTCCACATCGTCACCACCGCCACTCCCTCGTGCGTAGAAGTCGAAGTCCATTGCAGCGAATTCCTTTCCACAGGGGAGGATCGTCACCAGAAGGTCGGCGGAGCAGGCAACCTGAACTTACATTTGAAGAAATCTATGTAATTTTTATTCATATTTTGCTCATAGTTTATATAAAAGTACAAATACTTATCTCTCTATCTCTCAGTGCTCTGAATTTGTTAGAATGCTGCCACGATTCAATAAAATAGTAGTAGTCGTCATACATACATGTTAAGATCGTCAAGACGAGTGCTTGATCGGGAAAAAGTGTTCATTTTTTTTATTTCTAAGGGTAAAAATGCTATAATTTTTGAAATATGCTAACTAATTTTACCCATCATGTGGTACAGGACACTCATCAGCGTGAAAAGGATCGCGAGATGGAGAGGGAACGACGAGAGATAGAGCGACGAAGGATGGAGGAAGCACAAAAACAGCACATGTTGGATGAAGAATTTCGCCTCTTGGCCAAGTAAGTGAAGAATATGAATAATAAGTTTGGGAACTTTGATTTATGAATAACTGTTTTTGTTAATTTTGTAATGCAGGGAGCGTGGAAGGATTGAGGCGGAGAAGGCGGAATTGAAACGTCAAAAGGAGAGAATGATTATGGAGGAGAGAGAAAAGCAGAGAATTGAGCAGGCCGAAATTGAGAGAGAAAAGGCAATATTGGCACGAAAGGTCAAGGTCAAACGGTTAAATTTGGAAGAGCAGTATAGAAATTTGGAGGATAGTGAAGAATCAAAGAAGGCTGGACGACATAGCTTTGTGGACCCGTAATACATGAACTTTGTTATGTTTGATCATCGTTGGAGTATGAATAAAAGTTTAACGGTGTTTTTCATATTTATAAAATTATTTAGACGATCCGACAAGGATAAGATGCGACCGCATCCATATCGTAAAGAGGACCCTGCTCGATTTTTGGACCGTACTTCAGGAATTCGAGGTGCACCGATTAGAAGTGCTCCGGTACGCGAAGTACGTGATCACGTGTCACCAAGTTGGGAACCTAATGAAAGGAGGGACACTAAAACAAGAGTTAGTATATAAATAACATGGTTATGCATTAAGTGAAGGAAGTATTAAAATAAAATAAAAATTTATAGGGGCACGTTAAAGGTCGTGACGATACGGCAATTCCATCAGGTTCCGGGGGGACCAGATACTCCGCTCCATTTGATACTTCTGGAGCTGCACCTCAACGCATTGTGACCACTCTCCCAAGAAGTAAGTAAAAACATTACATTTGAAGTAAGTAATTAATGAAGAAAAGATAACAATCGTTTACTCTATTTTTTTAGCTTTAGACTATTTATCTCGGGACCCCTCCTGGCGACCGGGTGGAACTTCGTTCACCGGAGATTCATCAATGTCCATATTACGCACAGAAAATTGGTTATCTAACCGAGAATCGACCTGGGGTGCTTCAGAAAGGTGTGTATCGCAATGATTAATCACAAATGAATAATGAATTGTAACCAACCACGTATTTTTATATTATAGAATTGCCAGTCGTACTGGGACCGAAATCCCTGAGCGTTGGGGGGGCGGTACTTCCAATCTGGGAACTAGTGCCGGGGCACGCCTTTCAATTCCAGTGGCCCCACCTCCGCCTATTTTCTCTACTGTAATTTAACATATTATTCGACATATGTTGCAGTAATAAGAATAATTATTTTATTTTTGTTTCATTTTACAGACTAGCGACAACTTGAACTTGAATTTCAACACGGGAATGTACAACAGCAACTACAACTATAAACTTCCTTCATCAATGTCATCACATCGTCGTTAAAAAATTGTATTCGTGTCTAATTTTATTTTCATAAATTGTTCCTGATGACGCTAAAATGTGTATTTACGTTTGACTCTAGTGGTATTAACGCTATACTATCTTGACTTGATTCCCGAATCTATATTTATTTTAGGTAGTAGCGACTTTGATCTGGTTCTTGTATACATAGTTAGCAAAATGGAATAAAGTTCTACTAGTTAGTTACCTAAATTTGTTAGTGCATGAAAAAACATCATATTTTAATGTTATGTCTTCATTTTTTTATTACAACTTCCTAATCAATTGTATCGTAGTTTTCATATAGTTATTTACTAGAAAAAGTGAGAATGTTTGTAAGTCAAACACTAAACAAATAAATAAAATGTTTACCTTATTTCTGCATAAAAAATAATAAAACAATTTGCGGTCGGTAGCTTACTTATTATTGCGTCAGTCATTCAAATACTTAATTGTAAAAGTATGGATTCAGCGTCCTTCACTTGGCTTAATGACTCATCCGAAAGGTAAAACTTGATAAACATGACATCATAAATATTTAGATAAACGACGTCCCATTCCTCAGAATTACGTACGTATGTAGCTAGTTATTGACAGGAAAGGTAAATCGAGTCATGATAAATAAGTAGTCAATCCATTGCATCACTTCCACTTTTGTGGTGATCACATCCGATCTTCGTTTCTATTTTAGTGTCGGTTAAGTGTTAATAAGAGCAACGGATGGAATGGAAATCCCAAAATCAGAAGCAATTTTATGCCTGAAATGAATACCTATGTATCCTTCAACTTGTGGAGATTTGCTGTGTCCAGTAGTTCAACGGTCATTTATCCTCTTACTTAATTCGGCATAATTAATAAGCACTCATCCATTTACAGAGGTGGGCAAAATACTACGTCAAAATATTGTATTTTGAGCTCTAGGGTTTCGATTTCCGGGGCTGTTACACCCACAAAAAGGTGAAAATCTACTAGAGGTGAGCGCGGGTCCAAATTTTAAAAACCCGACCCGAACCGTACCCGAAAATTTCCAAAACAAAAACCCGAACCAACCCGAACCCGCGGGTAACAAAACCCGAACCGAACCGAACCCGAAAATCATAAAAATGTAAAACCCGACCCGAACCCGAACCCGAACCCGACCCGAACCCGAAATTTTGTAATGACAGTGCAAATATTATAACATGTCAAAATGTTAATATGACGTTAACATTTGTGATAAAAATCAACGATGAATTTCCCATTAAGAAATCCTGTTCGAGTTTTACTGCTAAATTTAAAACCGTGTAATAATTAATACCGACTCAAATCTTTTGTCAAATATGAAAAGTTAATAATTGCCATCAAAAAACTGTTAAAAAGTTAATAAGCTTATAATAAAGTAAGTCTTAAACAAATAAATTAAATAATCAAATGCAGTTAAATAATGTGCAAATATATTTCTGTACATACATTATTTGCAATATATGTACATATAAGTACAGAATATCAGCACGACATAAGGACACAAGTACAAACAATAATATGCGGCGAAATTAAACAAATTTAGGGTTTTCGGGTTTTTCGGGCCCAAACCCGAAAACTCTTTTTAAAACCCGAACCGACCCGAAACCGTTATCGTTGAAACCCGCCCGACCCGAACCCGTTCGGGTTCGGGTTCGGGTCGGGTTTGCAGGGTTGGACCCGAACCCGCGCTCACCTCTAAAATCTACATGCAGAAGACGAAAGAGTACAGCTATTGTACAGAAATTAACTTTTTACCGCTCTCAAAATATATTGTTTTCATACGATTTTTTAAGAATCAAGATTTATTTTGACCCCGATAAAAAGTTAATTTCTTCAGAAAACCTGTATAATTTTCGACTGAATGTAACACTCTCGATGCAGATTTTCGTCTTGTTGTGGGTGTAACAGACCTAGAAATTCAAAAATCTAAACCCTGAGCTCAAAATACTGTATTTTGCCCACCTCTGCCATTACAATTATTCCGTTTACTTCATCTCAGGCACATCTGCCATCACTTATTTAATTTCTGCCGTCTTTTGTTCCTCCATGCACGAAATGTGAACCAGTTCTCTGGCCATTGTCCCTCCTTCTCCTCCTCAATTTTATTACCACTCGTTAAATTGATGTTTCTCGTTTGATTGTCAATTCCACTTATATTTAGTGTCTCGATTTGGTTGGTGGTAGTTTCTAAGTAGTTAATTAATCGTGAAACAAGACAAGACAGGCCATGCCACCAACCAACCATACATTTCTGCGCCCTGGAAAGTTAAATGACGATAAGCAGACAGGCAACCAGCAAATGTGTTCTGCTAAATGCTGCATCGCAATTAAGAACAAAATAATGGCACCCATTAATACAATTTGAGCACAATTACTAAATATGCATACATAATAAAGATAGCAACATTAGCGTTGTTGTCATTATTAAATACGAGCTCATAGTCAGTGATGTAATATCGAAAAGAAGAATGAGTTTGCAAACTCACCCACAAATTTAAGAAGCACGTTTACGTTTGGTTTGACGCAGGGTGGCTAAAATCCAAGTGAAATTATGTTCGTGTGCATGTAAAGGATTTTGCGAATGTTGGTTGAGTCTCAGTCTCATTTTGCACTCGGATCCTCCAACTTGCTTACGATTGGAACTGTGCATAGCTCTCTATTCCTTTATATATTTGCACAATTGGCGTCTCACCACCACTCTTGCAAAATATTTGGTCCAGTGGATTAGTTAAATTAAAAGTTGTGACCACAAATTAATCACTTTTGAGTGAAAATAAAGCCACTTAACGTACTTTATTTGGCATTTTTTTGTTGGTGCTGGTGCAATTCAGGACACAAATTTATCTACAACTCATCCAGGACTTTGCAGGTATTTATTTATATCTAATCTCAATTCAGTAGCAGTAGCAGCTACTTGCATGAATGATTCAATGCAAATATTTATCGTGAATGATTTAAAAGAATGAATTAAATCAATGGAACGTCAGAATCAGCGGAATATTTCATTTATCATCCTCGTTTAATGTGATTATTAAGATAACTACTTCCCTTCCATTTTCATTGAATTTAAGCAAACCCTTCGAATAAAGAGGGCAGTTTAGTTTAATATTTATACCGTTTTGATATTACCTGGAGGACTGTAAGTATTTTTGGTAAAAAAAGATATATAATTATTTAAAAGGACATTAATTTTTATCTGCATGAATAGTTTTCTGACCATCTTTATTTATTATTATTCCTGCAACAAATGTATCGTGTTCAGTAAATTATTAATTTACTGAACACGGTTTATCTTGTCTATCTTTGAGTAATGGAATTGTTCGTGGTCAGGGTTAAGAAATACACGACTCATCAATTTTGGTTGTCTTATTAAATCTCTCTCTCTCCCCACCTGCAGAATAGCTGGGGTGACATTGTTTTTTTTGTGTTCCACGGACGGAAAGGGAAGTTGGTAAAATTGTCAGAGGGAGATGTTTGCATATGTAAATCGTGCAAATAATATCGCAAATATTTTTTGGAGCCATATTTCTGCCGACAGCAGTTGCTACATGTCCAGTGAATTCTCGACCTTTGGTTTTTCCTAGTCTCAAGTTTCACGATTTGTTGTTGAGTTCCCCTCAAAATGAGAGAAGAGATTATGTATTATCCTTTTCCCATTGTTGCACGAATATTGCGTTACGTTGCGTTGCAAAAATTTGACGGTCAGATTGTTTAACAATTTGTTACGTACGTACGTATTTACAAAGTGGCGTCCTTGAATTTATGTATTCAGCGTTATTAGCATAACTCGGCTGTCTTTATCTGTTTGAAACTTGATCTATCTTTTGTTTGGAGAAATTCCTACGCAGGAGGAGAGGAATGAAAAAAATGGGAGGTTAACAGACCAGTGGCTGCGGAAGGACAGAAGAGGGACAATGTCCCCAAGGTTGTTGGATGTCGGCATCATCTCCCCATCATGTATAAACCCGGCCCTTCCCTATGTTAATGTCCCCACGGCTTCCGCGGCCACTGGTCCAGAAAGAGAGGACAAATTGCCAGATTGTTTGGTTAAAGTGTGAAATTGTGATGTTCAGTCAGTTCTGTCTGCTGCAGATTGAAATCGTGTACATAATCTATCTTTAGAGAGAAAAGGTGCGTATTCAGCAGCAGCAGAAGAAGGAAGTCGAAGAAGTGTGTAGATTTTTGAAGAGAAAAAAAATCCTAACCAGAAAAAAAGATTAAGACGACGACTTCTGCGTAGACTTTAGAGTTTTGTGGGAGACGAGTTTTTTAAGAATTTTGGGCGAAGAAATAGCCTTCTCCAGCAGTGGCCGCGGAAGCCGTGGGGACATTAACAGAGGGCCGGGTTTATATAAGATGGGGAGATGATGCCGACATCGAACAACCGTGAGGACATTATCCCCCTGTCCCCTCAAGCTTCCGCGGCCACTGTTTTCCAGCCTTCCTTCCTGAGGAGGGGAGCTTGCGAGGTTGATAATAACAGATATTGGTGCCCTTTGGATATGTGGTAGGGACCCATGAGTGTACTATAACCCTGAAGTAGTTTGACTCCATGGCCACATTTGCGCCCGCCACACCCACTCAAAAATGTCCAAAAAACGCTTTCACCCCAGTTTTCACTCACTCAAATCCACGCCAAAAATCCAATTTTACTCGGATTTTGAAATTTCTTTCACCATTATACTCCCAGATAGTTGCTTTCTTCAATCCAATATCAAACTCAATTTTTTCGAAATTTTTAGTATTTTTAAAATTTAAAATTCTGAATGAGCATTGTTGTAGTCATCAACAAAACAAAGTATGTTTGCGAAATAATCATCAATAAAATTGAGTTTGATATTGGATTGAAGAAAGCAACTATCTGGGAGTATAATGGTGAAAGAAATTTCAAAATCCGAGTAAAATTGGATTTTTGGCGTGGATTTAAGTGAGTGAAAACTGGGGTGAAAGCGTTTTTTGGACATTTTTGAGTGGGTGTGGCGGGCGCAAATGTGGCCATGGAGTCAAACTACTTCAGGGTTATAGTACACTCATGGGTCCCTACCACATATCCAAAGGGCACCAATATCTGTTATTATCAACCTCGCAAGCTCCCCTCCTGAGTGAGTGATGGCAGTGATTTTGCAGCAATTCGAATGGTTCAACGGCAAAAAAAAAGTGTTGGGATTTAAGTTTGTGCATGATTTCCTGTAGCTTAAAAACTTTGTGCCAACATTTGTCTGTTGGTGGATATTTGACTTTCGGGTGTGATTTCATTGCAAATTTAGTTTTTGTCGAATTTCTCTTTTCTTTTTTTTGTGGGTTAGATAAATCCGTCGTGTCATTCATTTCATTTCGAGGGATGAGAGAGACAAGGAGATGCGTACATATAAATAAGTGATTTTTTCGTCGGAATATAATGGGCTCCTTCTTCTTCTCAGGTTTTACATGGTGGTGTTTTATTGGAAAACATTATTAATGCCGGGTCATGAGCAAGCTGCTGAACTCACAATAAAGAATTATGCGATCATTTGCATATTGCTTCCTTCTTGCAAAAGAAGTGCAAAATTTCCAGCCGCAATTCGCTCCTTGGTATGAAATTCATGAGGATAATCCCATTCCAAATTGGCATCAACCACTGGCCGCGGAAGCTGTGGGGACATTAACATTGTGGGATGAGGGGAGGGCCGGGTTTATATAAGATGGGGAGATGATGCGGACATCGAACAACCGTGGGGATATTGTCCCCTCAAGCTTCCGCGGCCACTGGTACTGGATAGCATCACCGGTCGCATTATAGGTCATGAGTCATCACAATTTAGATAATATGCATATAAATTTTTGTTTACTACACCAAAATTGTGGTCGAGAAAAAATATTATGCACATTTTAAAGGAAAAGAGTATTATTTTTATTGTTTTTTTTTTGTGTCAAAATTTATAAATAGTTTAATATTTTGCAGACTAACCTAAAATGGCGACCGGAGCAATGCGCGTCGTACCAGAGTTGCAACAGCAACAAAAACAGCAACAACAGAGGCGGGAGGAGCAGGAGGGTCGCGGCGGCAAGATGAACCTTGACCTCCGTCTGACCGAAGAGCAGGAAGAGTATTTGGAGCTGCAGTTTAAAAAGTCGAAGAATCCACACCCCTCAGAGCTCATGCTCACCGCCGCGGAAACCGGCCTCCTCGAGGAAGAAGTTCAAGTAAGTGGGGGTCACACCACGCTTTTTCATAAGAGAAATGCACAAGCGACCAGAAATTATTGTGAAGAAATAAACCGCATGTAACGAAGGGGCGAAACCCGAGGGGTGTGCCCATCTTCGAATTAGAAACACGTTGCAAAAAACCGCATGTCTAAATTCGCATCCGTTCAAGCGTTATCGGACCAACAGACGGATAGACGGACGGACATGACGATCTTATAAAGTGGTTTCACCCCTTAATCAATAGGCAACTATACATAAATCTAGGACTTCTTACATACAACAAAGTTCTACATACGTACGCAGACCATGACAATGATATTCAATGTTAAGTGCACAGAATTACCAAGGATTTCGTTCATGATCCATCCATCTCTTTTACTTAGCTTACCTTTCATTGATATTAAGTATGATTAGTGAATTTTATCCCATAAAAGAACACACACATACACCTTTGTTATTGTCAACAATGATCTTTGTCTACGTTTGGCGTGTAGCATTATAGAGTTTATCCCATATTTATCTCATGTATTTACTACTTACTATTATTTACTTAGGGGCGAATTAGCTGGTTTCTTACTAAGAAGTCAGGTTGAAAAATAGTATACTTATTTTTGCATAGAGTGACAAAGTTTAACAAGCGAATGATTAGATTATGTAGTAAGTAGAGAAGTACGTGTACAGTGGCCGCGGACAGAGGGACAATGTCCCCACGGTTATTCGATGTCGGCATCATCTCCCCATCTTATATAAACCCGTCCCTCCCCCCATCCTACAATGGCAATGTCCCCAGATGTCCCCACGGCTTCCGCGGCCACGGCGTACGTACATGTGTTGGGTTAGGACGCCGATCATGATCATGACTTCAAGCAGAAAAGGAGAACCAAAACCAAAATCAAGCCACAACGAGAATGCGAAGCCTTGGATGGAAATCTCGGCTAAGGAGGGGAGCTTGCGAGGTTGATAATAACAGATCTTGGTGCCCTTTGGATATGTGGTAGGGACCCATGAGTGTACTAAAACCCTGAAGTAGTTTGACTCCATGGCCACACCCACTCAAAAATGCCCAAAAAACCCTTTCACCCCAGTTTTCACTCACTTAAATCCACGCCAAAAATCCAATTTTACTCGGATTTTGAAATTTCTTTCACCATTATACTCCCAGATAGTTGCTTTCTTCAATCCAATATCAAACTCAATTTTATTGATGATTATTTCGCAAACATAATTTGTTTTGTTGATGACTACAACAATGCTCATTCAGAATTTTAAATTTTAAAAATACTAAAAATTTCGAAAAAATTGAGTTTGATATTGGATTGAAGAAAGCAACTATCTGGGAGTATAATGGTGAAAGAAATTTCAAAATCCGAGTAAAATTGGATTTTTGGCGTGGATTTAAGTGAGTGAAAACTGGGGTGAAAGCGTTTTTTGGACATTTTTGAGTGGGTGTGGCGGGCGCAAATGTGGCCATGGAGTCAAACTACTTCAGGGTTTTAATACACTCATAGGACCCTACCACATATCCAAAGGGCACCAATATCTGTTATTATCAACCTCGCAAGCTCCCCTCCTAAGAAATTGTCTTGGTATTATTTGCATAAGGAATATAAGAATGCCAGTTACTTATTATTCCTTGATGGGTGTACAGATCACGATGACGATTTTATTCGCATATTATTGTTGTGCAGAAAGTTGACCCTGTAACAAGGCCACCGCCACATTTTGCGAATATGTATGACTCAAGTCTTTTATTAAATGACACAACAACGAAAACTCCTGTGCTACTTATGCCGTCGTTACTTGAGTGACAGTTAACAAGGCACAATTAATAATATTCTGATGTGGTTGTCATTTTATTAGATAATAATTCGCGAATTTTTTTTGCAAAGATTTTTTTTTGTAAGGTTACGCACCACCAAGTTTACATACGTCATACAGATATTTACAAGTAACGACTTTTGTCTTTGCCTTATCGTATAGGCGACCCTTAACTCTTTCTTATCGTAAAATTCCACCATTAGTGAACGGTAAATATGCTGGCTGGCTGGCTGGTCACAAGTATTTTTACGATAAAATCGTCGTCACAGGGTAGATAGATTTCAGACGAGAAATTTAATAGCTTTTTATTGAATTATCGTGTTCAAGGGGAAAATCGTCATTGTTGTTAAGAATGGAATGCACACATATCGACCAACTTTTCGAAGGAGGAGGGAGTTTTTGAGTGCTTTAATTAATGGTGTCAGTTATCTATATCGGTAATGAAATTTAAGCTGCTTCGTCTGGTTTAAAGCGATAAGAAATTCTCAAGTTTCTGCCATTTTATTTCTTGATGCACTTTAAAAACATGTTTTGCAGGAAAATATTAACGTATTCAGTATGAAATTGAGAGCAGAAGTAAACCATGCAAATTTACATGACCATTTTACATACGTATGTACATTTCTTCCTGCAGTTGCAACGAGTCAGTACGAATTATGCATGTTTTTTTATCTTTTTTTTTAAAAAAAAATATCATGTATTTCGAAACTTATGACTATATTTGCAAATTTGCAAATTAGGAAAAAAATTCAAACTAGTCAAGAAACACATTACATTTTTGCAAGACTTGCTTACACAAAGTCACTTATTTAATATCCCCATTTTCAAACAGGTTGGATAGCAGCATGACGTGAATATATTGTAGAATTAATTGGTGAGCGGATAGAGTTAGTCCAAAAATAAGTATTACAACTTCTCATCAAAATCTGTTTGAGGGTTTATGTAAAAGAATTATACAACTTTAACTTGTGGGTCATGATCTAGTAATTTGTTGGTGATAAGTACGACATTTGTATGTATTTACATATCTATGCACGTAACATTTTATTATTATTGCGTTCCATGACATTCTTATTATTCTCTGTCCGTCAATCTTATCCACATTACGTAATTGGCATAACAGTTAGAATTTTATCCAGTAAAAAATTACGACTGATTAATGTAACTAGTTTTAAATCGAGTGAAACTGCTTTATTTCTCAGTTTTGAAGGTTAACTCTTCACTTTGAGACAACAATATGTGTTCATAAAAGAGTGGATCAAATGGCACCCAAGTCTGGACTTTGTGATAAAACGGAGCACATATCTGTATTAGTGCAAATATTTTTGCTTTGTAGAAAGTTTCGGATAGGCAAAAAGAATCAGTCAAGGTCTGAAATTGAATCCTATTCAGCAGTTATTGTTTTTTAAGAGAAACTTGGGCACATTAATAATCTGCTCTGTTTTCTCATATTCTTTGTAAGGGTGGCATTAAAAACTTAATCTGTTTATGTCAACATTTGAAATTTTAAACGGTTTCTAAATCATTTCGGGCAGTACTAAATAATATATGTGGCTAAAAAGTGTTGTAAAATGGATTTTTAAATGTAGTAAAAGTAGTAAGTTTAACATAATGTTCTTGTTTTTTTCTTTGTAGGCTTGGTTCAAGCAAAGAATGGCCATGTGGAGGAGAGATCAAGGCCTGAATCCTGTCAGTAGTCGAATTTGCTAAAGAGGAAATTTAGCACATGGATGGATGGAATTTGGACACCAACTTCTGTTTTATATTATTGCAAAGATGTCAATTATCACGAACGAGAGAAGAAAAAACCGGACAGAATTATATACACACACAAAAATCCTTCAATTTGCGAATATTTAGTGATTGATTATTATACCATAAATACAAACATTAAAATTAATGAGCTTCGTTTAAGTATTAAGTTAATACCTTTGAAATGCATATTATTGAAATGTTCCCATGAACAAATTAATTAATGCAAATTATAAATATTCATGTAATTAATTCCTGGACATAATTGAATTGATGGATTATTGCTAAATAAATTATTCCATGAAAAAAAATCTGCAAGTATTTTATGGGGAGAAATATGTACCATGCCAAAATGGGAATTGGAGCGTTGTCCTGTTTAGAATGGAACGTGTTTATTCGAAACCTGGAAACCTGATAAAAGAAGGAATTTTGGGAAGGAAAGTAATCTAAATATTTAACTGGGCCATGCCATTTCATGAATAAGTACGAGTTCATTCCCTTACATATCCAGTTTCAAAATCCACATCTGGTTTTCGTTTTTGTACTTAACGTCTCCAATTTCGGAGTTGAAATGAAAGAGTTGAAACGATTCATTCATTAATTTCATGGATTTCGATGAATGCAATTTTTATTCTATTTACTTTCACTGCTCATCCAACAAAATATGCAATTGATGCTGCACAAAAGTGCAAAAAACACGAGTCAAAGGGATGCAATCTCCGAAAAAAATGGGACACGAATAAAGAATTACGCCATAATTCGCTAATGACCATCTCAACGTTTATTTATTTACAGAAGATTAAGTAGCAATTAAGTACTTACCTAAAAACACTAGCTTTGAAGAAAAATACAGTTTCGACACTATTAAAAACACACCATGAATTGAAAGTGAATGATGTTATTCTGGATGAAAAATATGAGATTTTTTTTACCCTAATTAATCACCCATATCCAAAAATAAGTGATCATTCCTCTCATGTAAAATTTTCCTAATCGATCAGAAAGCATGAGACTCTCCACTCCACCACGTGCGTCAAGTAACCAACGTTTGTATTATCTCTCTGCCAGTTAACCCAATACATAAATATCTACTTACACAAGTTTGTCCCATGTTTTTGTCCTGTTTTGTCCTTTTCTGTATTAACAGACCACGACAACATCAGCAAAGCATATGTACATACATACATACACATTACATAGCGTTGTTTGGTACCGAGCCAGATAGAACGGCGTATCATCCTCAAAAACAACATATGCATAAAATAACAGCGATTGGATTGGATGGATGGACGTGGTTTTGCTATTTTATACATGTGAGAGTATATTATGTACATTTTATATGTTGGAGATAGCATCAAATCATCACTATTTTATAATACATTGCATTACCATGTGATGTGATGATACTGTATTTTGTCCAAGCAGTTGTACTTCTTCTGTTGTTTTGCACGTATGTATGGGTCGTGTAGTGTTTTGAACGTAAAAGTTAAAAAGCAAGTTCAATATGTATTATTATTAGCATTTTTATGTACTTTTTGTTGTGCGAGGTTTCAGTAGTAGCTTGTACAACGGTATATCTGCGGGAGAAAGGACGTGCAAAAATAATTCGCAAGTGCAATAATAAAAATAGCAATAATTAATCAGTAAGCTTTTCACAGTTATTTAGTTCCTGGCGAACAAATCAATAACTTATTAATTGTTGTGATGATAAGATTGGACATTTTTTAAATTTATGATCAAAATAAGTGTTTCCAGTGATGGGGAGAAGAAGAAAGGGGTTGGAAGGTCATATTATTAACTAGTTGGTTTAGGGAATAAAAATTGAAAATTGTTGGAAAAGTGGGATAAAAATTGTATAATTACCGGTCGAGGACTATTTTCTTGTCAACTTTAAAATCTACACGAGCAGTTCGTGCCTACATAACAAGTAAGTCAACATTATTCTGTCATACTTTACTTAATTCGTAGGTATCATTTTTATTCGTCGACAGTTGTTGGCGACATGCCGTATTATAGAATAATCATGAAAAGCACACATGTACGGGTGGCATATGTATGTTTTGAAGGGTAAAGTGGATTAATTAATGAAATATGTGTTACATTGTAATTTTCAATTTGCTGAATTAATTTCGTAATGGAGACGAGTTACTAGAATTTTTGGGAAAATGAGAAACTCTAGGTGGAATAATGTAGCTGAGATTTGAGATTTTGGATTGAGATTGATCGATTGATTTCCCATCTTCTCTTAGGAGGGGAGCTTGCGAGGTTGATAATAACAGATCTTGATGCCCTTTGGATATGTGGTAGGGTCCCATGAGTGAACTAAAACCCTGAAGTGGTTTGACTCCATGGCCCCATTTGCGCCCGCCACACCCACTCAAAAATGTCCAAAAAACGCTTTCACTCCAGTTTTCACTCATTCAAATCCACGCCAAAAATCCAATTTTACTCGGATTTTGAAATTTCTTTCACCATTACACTCCCAGATAGTTGCTTTCTGCAATCCAATATCAAACTCAATTTTTTCGAAATTTTTAGTATTTTTAAAAATTGCAATTCGGAATGAGGATTGTTGTAGTAATCAACAACGCAAATTATGCCTGCGAAATAGTCATCAGCAAAATTGAGTTTGATATTGGATTGCAGAAAGCAACTATCTGGGAGTGTAATGGTGAAAGAAATTTCAAAATCCGAGTAAAATTGGATTTTTGGCGTGGATTTGAGTGAGTGAAAACTGGAGTGAAAGCGTTTTTTGGACATTTTTGAGTGGGTGTGGCGGGCGCAGATGGGGCCATGGAGTCAAACCACTTCAGGGTTATAGTACACTCATGGGTCCCTACCACATATCCAAAGGGCATCAAGATCTGTTATTATCAACCTCGCAAGCTCCCCTCCTTAGTTTTTAATCAAGCAAATGGATGGTCTTTAGAGGTTGGATGTATGGAAGGAAGCACGGTCATTCATGTCCGTTGCATTTGAACAAGGTATGGAAAGATAAGTAGGAACTTGGCTTTTATGTACATATTTACGACCACTGCAATCCAAGGTCAGCGACATGGGCATTTCTTAACCCTGACCCCGACGAGTCGTTTCCATCGATTGAATTTAAATAAAAAAACAACAATACTGAAATAGAATTGGGCAGAATTTTCCATGAACTTAAATCTCTCGTTAAGAACACTGTTGGTTTAATACCTTGACTTAATGTGACTCCTCCTTCTTTTTAAATATGTAAATCTCCCAGATTACACAGATGACCTTATCGATCACAGAGTGAGTTTAATAAAATGCCACTTTGTTTACTTTACACGATTCCATAGCTCTTTCCTCCTCCTGTCCGGGTGCACTTGCATAAATAAATACGACTTTTTGATCCTATACGAATGTTTTTGGTAAAATATTTAAGACTTAGGTTTCTTTCTGATGATCCAAATTACCCTTTTTTCTGAAAATGTGCATGGAAATGTACCCGTCTACTAGCTGTTTTATCATGAGATAGAAAATTCTCACTTTTTCATACCAAGTTGGTTGAGGTCTTGTTTGCATAGGAAAAGGGTGCATGAAAAAGGTCTACATTTTTATTGATTTAAGAAGATATGTAAATATATGGGTTAAAAATGCATATTTTTCATATATCAACAAGTACAAAGTTTAAGTTCATATCAATTTTCCCAGGTATTACGTTTTGGGGACAAGAACAACTTGATACTGTTTCGGGGACAATTGTACTATTGTACTTCGTACAATTCAATTACACAATCCATCCGTATATGTAGCAATTACATGAATTAGTGTTATTATTTTTCACTGTTGACTGTCTGTGTTTATTATCATTTCACGAGTAAAGTATTATATCCAGAGTTCAATTAATCAAAAATTGCAAGCTTATTACTCTTTAATAAATAATTACGACAACAACAAAAACAAAAAAAATGTTATCTGGCGAGACACGGGGGATAAAAATGCTGATTGTCCGATGTTTATTATACATTATACATAACCATTTGCAATAAATATTCCCATTCATGAAAATATGGCTCGAGTGGATTAATATCAATACTAAATGTTGATACACATATTTACATACTGCACGGGGGTCGGGTACATGCGTCTTATTTTTATGGACACACATTTTTTTATGGTGTGGTGCCTCATTTTTGATGATGGATAGATAAGCCGCGTATACCTACATATTTATACCGAATTGTATTTAAATAAGTATACAAACACTTGAGTGTATGTATTGCGGTGTAAAAAAATCTGTGGGATCGGCTTTGCAATAACAGAAGTAGTCGCAATTTACACGGCGGACGTCAAATGTATCGATTCAAAATTGTAGGTCAAGAAGAAGAAGGAATAATAAATATCTCAGATTTACTTAGAGGACAGAACAAAAGAGAGGGTTTGGTTTAGAAGAACAGACTTCTCACTTATGGTTTTGGTGCCTTATTAGCATAACATATGTACTTACGTGAAAGATACATATGTATTTGTGTATGTACCACCATCATGAATTTTTACTTAGCTTATCACCACTTTATGTAAGTATAGCTGAGAGTAAAAATGAGGAACTTAACGTCGCTCGTAAAGTAATAAAAGTTGCACTCTGGATTGGAATATGTAAGACGTAGTCAAATCACAGGCTGGACTTTTGTACGAAATAAAATCTGAGAATATTTATTCATCATCAAATCTCTGTGAAGAATGTTTTGCAAGAATTGGTGAGTGAGTAAGTGAGTGAACTAATAAATAAATATTTCCTGTATTGCAGAACTTGGTGAAAAATATCGGAAATTGGAGAACAACTTTATTGCCTGCATGAAGAAGCGGCGGACAAAGAATTAGAAATACTTAAACTGGACAAAAAGTGCAATTGTTCGGCAAGAATGGTGGCCTTAACGGAATGCTCGCAAGGAGCGGTGCTACTTCATAATGAATTTCGACGTTTCACCAACAATAGTACAAAATTGAGGAAGATTTATTCCGAAACGTTACGCTCGCTTGATGATATTTCTTCCAGTGGGGTTGTTCCCAAGGGTAAGTGGAACAGAGGATAGTGGGTTCGATTTCTATTTTTTGGAAAACGGGGAGAAGAAACTTCGCACGATCTCGCCCCCGCTTTTCCGGTGTCTTTCAGCGTCTTTTAACGTTTTTGCACTACAAATCGAACCCACGCTAGGAAAGATTAAAACTTGATCAGACCAGTATTTGCAATAATTTGCATATGTACACTTATCTGTTTACAGAGGCGCTTAAAATGCTGGAAACGAAGATTAAGGATGTCCAGCTTCAACGACCTTTGGTGGGGAGGCCGCCATGTATCATCGTGCTGGGTCAAAGTGTCAAAGTTAAAGCTATTTTAGTCAACGAGTTGTTTAGTCAGACACATTTGCCCCTCATGGAACCTGACCAGAGTGCTTGGAGGATGGTCAAGTTCAGATATGGGAAGAAACCGCAGGTATTTACACACTGCAAAAATTTATAGATTGCAAAAATATAAGGTCACGTAATTTAAATTTTTACCTGTTCTTCAATCTTCAGGTCCTGTTGACACTTGGGTCAAGCTACGAGTTGGTGGAAAATGTGCAGGACACGCACTGGCGAGCACCGAGACAAAGGATACGGAAAGTGGACTTGGCTGTTCCGGATGTCGAGGCAAAAGTGAGAATTAATTCAATTACTTCTTATGAAAGATTGACTAATTTAGTTAATTCGTGAATACAGGGAAATGTTGACGAATGTGCCGTCGTGGAAATGCAGTTGGAGCATCCAATCCTTTGCGACAATGCGCAAGTTGTCGTCCCTCCGACTGGAAATCTTGAGAATTTTCAACAAATCCTGAAAACAACGCTGGATTCGGTGACTCCCATTGTCATGTATGGCATTTCAGAGGATAAACTGTCCCCTGAGGTAAATACTTAATTATACAAGACTTTATTTTATTTTATTTTTACTTTTCGCCTATAATTTTTAGGACGAGCTTCAACTACTAATTCTGCGCTGTCAGGCCCCCACCATTCCAATTTTCTTTGTACAAACCCCATCTTCCGAAGAAACCTCCGGCCTCACGGAGGCCGATTGCAACGAAATGATGAAACATGGACAGCTAAACTTCACCTCGGAAAACGATAGCGTATCGAAGAATCCAAACGCGCAAAATTGTGCCTCTATCGTCGACCAACTTGTACCTCTTGGTAATATAAAAAATCACATTACATAATTTTGAAAAATTTCAAAATTGAAATTTTTCTTCAGGATTTCTACACGAGACGAAAACCTTACTGCTTCGACCCTCCAACCGACATCATCACCATCATCATGCTCATGCTGCCAATTGTGGGGAAAATTCCACCCCTTCGATTCCTCATGACAAAGAAGGATTTTGGTTGCAAACGACAGAAACTTATAAACCTGCCTGCGTTACCAGTGAGTACATTAGCTGCCTGGATGATCTCCCTGTAAAATTGGTGGAATTTGTGCGACACTACTTGGAGTCGCATTTGATCTCATTGTCAAATCATTTGCATGGGGTAAATAAATTCGAGTAGATTCAGTTTAAGTAAACCGTTACAACGCATGTAACCAAGGGGTGAAAGACGTCAAAATGAGTATCAGCTTTTCGAAAAGCTGTTAAACGTGTCTGACGTGTTTTCGGCATTTGTGACATATGTATGCAATTTAACATTTAGTAACCTTTTTGCGATCTTTAGTCACCCTTAAGGTCAAAATAGAGGTCACCATTAAATTCGTTAAATTTCCGTTCAAATTGATATGCATGTGCAGCTTAACTTTTTTAAACCGTTTTTGACCGGACAGACATAATGATCTTATAAAACACTTTCACCCCTTAAAAATACTTTAGATGACGGTTTTACTAATTATTCCGCTCTTTTTGTATCCGCAGGTGCACAACAGTTGTTTACAAATGTTTATCCTGGCTGCATTTGAGATGGCTCGAGAAATGCAAATTACACCTAAACGCCTGGAATATGCTCGTATGAAGGAGTCCGAACTGTTTGAGAGTCTGATGCAAATTGCGGAGAAAAAGCAGGACGAAATGTGCACCTTGATTGCCGACACTATTGCAGAAAGGCGAGAGGATATTTTACAAAAAGCAGAAGGGCATCAATTCAAAGGGCCAATTCTTCGTGAGTGGGAGGGCCCACTGTCTGGAAAATTAGTATCTCAATGTATGCAAGAAATCAGAGAATTGGTAGTTTTGGATCTAAACAACATTGTGGCACAGAAACTCATCAAATCCGTGTACTGTTTACATGACACTTTTCTCGGAACGTTAGAAAGGTGTGTTAACAGTTTGGAGAAGAATTTAGAATCTGAAGATGACGGAGGATTAGCGAGTGTGGCGTTAAAACAGGTTCGTTCCAAAAATTTGCGGATTTATTATCGATGTGACCCCAAATTTCCTATTACAAAACTAGCAAATTTTGCACACTTTTTGCAGATCTTAACCTCCGCATATCAAGTTGAGGTGCCTAACCATCAATCCTCCTCAATTCTTCGAGGTCTGTATGAAAAGATGAGACAGCTCCTCAGCTCTTTACCTTGGTCTTCCGTACCAGCCATTGATGCCGCGTGGCGTCGAAGCGTAGCCACCGACATGTTGAATTCTCTCTGCCAGAAACGTCTCGCCAAAGCGGTTTGTTCTCAACTGAGGGACAAGTTGAAAACTTCTCATGAAACGTTTGCCGCTGCGCTTAAAAATCTCGAAATGCATCACAACGAAAGATTGGAAAGAACGGGAGAGAAAGGATTTCGACTCCGCAAAGTGCATGCTCCAAGGTTGGCAAGACTGGCGTTGGAAACGAGCTCAATTGTTGATTTTTTGAAATTTGGTAAATCAATTATATAACGTTTTTAGTCGGTTTTACATTGTCGATATAATGATCTAATTGTATTTCTTAACTTGGTCAGGAATGCCTCACTGTGGAAAAGAGGTGGGAAGGGGTCAGTATGGCGTGGTTTATGCGTGTGAAAAATGGGCCACCTTTTCTCCTTGTGCCATAAAATCGGTGGTTCCAATGGACGACAAGCATTGGAATGACTTGGCCATGGAATTTTACTACATGAGGTTTGTAATTCATTTATTTGTCCAAATTTGACCTTTCCTGTGAAATATTTTGACAAATACTTTTAAATTTCATGGTTTATAGAAGTATCCCTGAACACGATCGGATCGTTCGCGTCCGTGGGTCTGTGATTGACCACTCGTACGCTGGTGGTTCAATACCTGCAGTTCTCATCGTAATGGACCGACTGTCTCGAGATCTTTATTGCGCCTTAAAAGTTGGTCTTCCTTGGTTGAGTAGATTACAGGTACATATACAACAAGCTAAATTATTATACCTGTAAAAATGGTATGAATTACGAATCTATTACCAAAATCTAACCAATATTCTGACATTTAGGTCGCTCTCGACGTTGTGGAAGGAATACGATTCCTCCACTCGCAGGGTCTCGTACATCGGGACATTAAGCTTAAAAATATTTTATTAGATTCTAACAATCGTGCAAAATTGACTGATCTTGGGTTCTGTAAACCGGAAGCGATGATGTCGGTATGTCATTATTCATATTTGATTGACCAATAATGTGTCAATTCTTAAATTTCATACTTGACACAGGGATCCATCGTTGGCACTCCGATCCACATGGCACCAGAGCTCTTTTCTGGCCAGTACGACAATAGCGTTGACGTCTACGCATTCGGGATCCTGTTTTGGTACCTCTGCTCCGGAAAAGTAAGACTACCCCATGCGTTTGAACAGTGCCAAAATAAAGAACATTTGTGGACAAGTGTTCGAAAAGGTGGGTCATTTACTCTATAAATATACTAATACAGTGTAAAAATATCAAGTTTTATGTGCAGGTGCAAGACCCGAGCGATTGCCCTACTTTGATGACGAATGTTGGCGACTTATGGAGTCATGTTGGGCAGGAGAGTCAGCACAACGACCCCTCCTTGGCGTCGTTGAACCAAAATTAAAGGGGATTAAGAAACGATTCTCGAAACTCTGGCTTGACAGCCAATACCAGTCCGCCGTCCATGACCCATCAACCACGGACGGTAAGTAATGAAATGACACCCTAAAATTCAACCCTGTTCCCATTTCCACTCTAATAATTTCTGTTTATCTATTCCTCACAGAATCTGTCGGAGTAGATTCCGAGCAGGAATTGGAAGAGAGCAGCGATTATCTAAATATTGAGATCCCCTCACAGTTCAAAACTGATATCGAAACATTAAGAAAACAAGTTCCTTCTTCTTCTTCCGGGAATGCTGCTCAAGCTGTAACACGGAGCAAAGGCTTAGTTGAAGAGGAGGTCCGAACGGGTGAAGACGACGACGACGACACCAACGGTAACAATACTGGGACACGGGAAAGATATCAAAGGTTGACGAACCCACCAATTAAAGAAGGACGGAGATTCAGTAAGGAGAGAGAGAGACTGTATTATAATTCCAATTAGTATGTATGTATAATTTAGTAAATATATATATATATATTCATAATAATGATCATTATTAATTCATTCAATTTGTGATACAAGAAAAAAAGTGATCTAATATGTTATTATTTGGCAATTGGCATGAATGACACATTTTTAGAACATGACATTTTTGCTTAAAAAATGAGACAATATCGCAACTTTCTAAATTATACAAAAATAAAGTAGTGTTCTTCTCTCGTGTGTTTTTTGTTAGTAAATAATCACATATAAATAATTAACCTTATACTCAATACTTCTACATAATTTCTAATAAAAAATGGAAATGTTTTTTTTTGAAAAAAATATTGAAGATCTTGTAGTAAGTAATATAGTGCGAATAGTATTGCGATTTATTCATTCATTCATTCATATCCTATCATGCATTTGTATATGTCAAATTTGTCACATGATAACAACCAAAGAGTAGTTATCTTAAAAAATCTATTTGGAATTAGTGGACTCTAGCTCGTAAATTTTACGAGCAGCCATATAATGAAGAATACGGTAAATGAGAAGAGGGCGAGGTACACGACAATGTAGGACTGATGACCGCTCGCCAATTTCTTTACGCGACCCATCGCCTTGCCCAGGAATCCGCCAGCAGAGTCAAACTCGTTATCCTGAAAACATAAGATAAAGGATGTCATTTTAGACATGTGGACAAATTAAGAATTAAAAATGGAATCTAAATTGCAGGGATGGTCAAAATACTTTGTCAAAATACAGTATTTTATTTGAGCTCCGTTCTTTCAAGACTTTGGATTTCTAGGATCGTAACACCCACAAAAAGATGGTAATCGACATGGGGAAGATGGCAGTCATAGGAAAATACAGGTTTTGTTAATTAATTAACTATTTACCGCTGTCATTTTCACTATTTTATAAAAATTATTTATTTGACAGCGATAAAAAGTTATTTTCTTCACAAAACTTGTATTTTCGTATGACTCTTGCTTTCTCCACGTAGATTGTCGTCTTTTTGTGGGTGTAACAGCCCTGAAAATCTAAACCGACTCAAAATACGGTATTTTTGACAAAACATTTTAACCATCCCTGTTAAATTGTTTAGTTATTTTACCATATCGCCAAGATATCTGTTTTGGTCTCGAACTTCCGACCCTATTTCTATCGATAACTGCGAATCGAAAAAATATATCAGTAAATAAGGCTTATCAATTTCCACGTGAACTTACGGATTTGAGAGAATTAATTTTTCCTTTGAGTTCGTCCGTCATCCTATCATTTTCCGGTTCCAGGACAGAATCTCCCCCATGTGTTGACCCATTCCCGTAATGCGGGTAGTTTCCTCCTCCAGCGGCACGACGCATTTTTAATTAATAATTTGTTAAATAAATCTCACAGTTAATTTTAATTTGTCACGACTAATATTAATTTCAGCAGTCTGTTAATCATCATGCTTTTACAAAAAAGTGGTTGCAATTTATATAAGCTGACGTGTAATATAAACATTCCTTTAATCAAGAGAAAGTAGTCATTGAGCAAGCTCGCGGTTGAAGGGGCAGTTTTGAGAAGAAAAAATTATGAAATTTTGAAAATAAATTTCATCAAAATTTTTTTTGTATACCTTTTTTGGATTTAATTTAGAGTGGGTCAGGCCAGAAATGTGCATTTACAAATTTAATTTAGATACATCCACGGCTAAAAAGACAAGTTTCATCGCGGTTGAATGGACAATTTTGAGAAAAAAATAATGAAATTTTGGAAAAATCTTATCAAAAATTTCTTATGCCTTTTTTGAATTTAATTTCTAGTGGGCCAGAAACGTGCATTTCGAAATTTAGATGAATCCACAGTTAAAAAAAACAAGTTCCTCCTCTCGATCTGAAAACCTTTGCGGCCATTGAGGCCGCAAAGTCCCTTATTTTTTCCTTAAAAAATGCCAACATTTACCAAATAAAAAAACCACCCCGTCACATTTTTAACTTTTAAACAATGGTGTTTTGTTATTAACCAAAGGCAATGTGTTAACATCACTGCATACAATTTTTTTCCTGGTATTATATATTATTACATGGTAATTTTGACATTTTGCTCTTGTTTATTTGTGTCATCATCCTGTCATCGCCGCACGTACTAATTCGTTCGAAAGCCAGAGTGAGGTCACTCGCTCGCTCAGAATTAGTACACACTCAATAAAAATTACTTGGTTGGTTGGTCCTAGTTTTTTTAACAACAAGTAAAAACGAAATAATCGAAGTACAAAAATTTAATGCTTGGTGACAGAAAAATTGCTTCTTTTCTTATCCATCCTGTAGGTGTGTCGGTCCGTTCGGGGTGTGTCTGTCGGGTATTTAGTGGTGGTTGGTGGTTATATAGGAAGGGAATTTTTTAATTAAACAAGTATCGTTTTGTTCAGCAGTAGCAAGGGGAAATTTCACTATAAATTTAGCTAGGCGTTATATATTTATATATATTTTTTATAGAGAACATAAAAATATGTGGTGTCCTTTTTTCATATTTTGGTTGCGATGAAGAAGAAGGAGACCAGTACAAGATTGCGACTTGTGTGTGTTTTATCATTATATAATTATTTTGGGTAGTATAATAATTTTCTAAGTATGATGATTATATTCACTATAAAGTTTCTTTCAGTTCTCTTTTCTTAACCCAATTTTTTCATATATTTTAATACTTTAATTTGAAAAAAAAAATTAAATCGATGAGTTATATAGGGCATCATCATTTCAACTAGAGAAATTACTTTGATAAAAATTAACTGAAAAATGGCGGAATATGGCTCTTTTTTGGGAAAAGAGTTTTTCTTTGCCATTAGTAGATTGCAACAATTTCAATAACCACCGTAGTTAACGTTTCATATAATATTTTTGCACAATTCACTTGAAAAAAGGGATTTTTAAAGTATTAGGAAAAGAAAAAAAAAAGATTCTGTTATATACGTGTCCATATTCGTTTTGAAAAATACTGACTGGAACACCACTAGTCATTCATTTAAATATTATATACTATGTCTTATCGTTAATGTTGAGTCGTTATTAAACCAATAATAATTATAATAATATAAATCTCGCATCCACCACAACGAGCAAGGCAGACCTAGTAAAATAAATATTTCAAATCTACTAGAATTTAAATTTTTTTTTAGAGTAAGGTACATCATTTTGCATTCGATTCTAGTCTATAAACTTGCCCCCCATTGTGTGAATGGAGTAGTATGTAGTTGTAGTTCATGGTGAAGACGGTTGTCTTCTAGTTGACTAATTACTTAATTTCAATTAAATATATGTATACGTTATATATATACTTAATGCTTGGAATAAAATAATGCGGTAGTAGGGCTAAGATCTAATCTACCAATAACAATTATAACAATAATAACAACAGAGATGACCGGATGCGTTTTGTGGGTAAGGGTTGGATTTCAATATTTTCACTGGTTCATTACATTACAGACATGAAGAATTTGGCAACATATATCAATATCAATTATACTATTTAACTAAAAAACAAACAAATTTGGTTGTAACACGTAAAGTGTTTTAAAACAATATTGCCAATTCAAAAAAATGTCGTAGTGGTGATTTCCGGACAGATATTCAAAACGGGTGTGTGTGTAGATGGTGGTGTTAATTCCGTAATATGGTGGTAGCTTTTTGAATGAATGGGTGCGTGTCCAGTTACAAAGTTTCCTCTTTAATTTTTCCACCGTCACCTTCGGAGACGAAACGCTTTCGGCCACTGGAAATTAAAAATATGAGTATACTAGTTAGAAATATGTTCACTACAGAAATACAACTAAGGAAGTATGATGTTGCAAACAATACCGAATTGGAACTTCGAGCACGAGTTCCTTCGTAATGATCTCTGCAGCCAATGCCTTGTTAGCGAAACGCTCAATAAGAGAATACACCAATGGGACATCAATGCAGATATCCGGAAGATCGTCGAAAACACGCTGAAATCCCTGTAACACAAGCAAATAATTTAAGTTAGTTAAGTTCAATTAATTATTATAGCAATGATGATGACTTATTTTCACTTACTTGTTTCATCTGATCGGGAGTCACTAGGCATGACGTGTACAGCGACTTTAGCAATCGACAAATACTGTCCTCATTAGTTTCCAACATTGACTCGAGGGCCATCACAATCGCCTATTATCAATCAAAATTGTTTAGTATTTATGTATTTATGTTATTTAAAAAATACTGTAAAAATTGTATGCGCACTTCGTAAACAAGTTCATGATGGTAATGCGGTACTTCGAGCTCGCTGAGACAACGAGCCGCTTCCGTGGCATCATTTGAAGAGAGAAACTCTTTAAGAAGCATATGAATCCGCTTGGACAACGCTTTGACCGGCTGAGCCCCACCACCAACTCCCCAGACATTGTGCAGACGAAGCATGGCAATCTTATCCAAAAGTAAGACTTCAGCGTGAGTCACGGCGGCCCTGGTAATTAAAAAATAATAATTAAATCTTACAATGATGAGGATGGTTAAAAGTGAGGTGATAATGAATTAATGTCTTACTTTGCGTGCTCATTCTCCATTACATCTTTCCTGGAATGAACAAAACCGGCAGAGATGCAGTCATCAGCAACAGCCCGAGCGATAAAATTCCCAAGAATTGTTGCAGCATCTGGGGCATCCAAAACCAAGTCGGGCAGGTTTTGCAAAAGCACATCAAATGCTACAAAAAAATAACAAAATTATTATTTTAAATATTCATGTGCAATAATTTAAAAGTAATCAAGGCAAATCAGTTTTAACAAACCTTTGGCAACGTCCTCTTGCCCAATGCCAAGTTCATCATCAGCCAATTCAGAGATCAGTACCGAGGTCAGTTCGCGGTGCGAAGGCTTATGATCCATGGCTGCCTCGACAGCAATTACAACAATCTAAGGAACAAAACAATCTTGTTTAGCAATGTATTTAAAATTGGGTGAAAACAAACTATTCTAAAGTAGTATTTTATTTATTATGTTCTAGTACCTGATACTTTTTCTGACCAAAGTTCAGATCGGAAAGAGCCGAAAATACTTCACCGGTATCTCCCACCTCAAAATACTCCAGAATCGTAGATTCAACGTTTTTCTATAACACAATGTCAGGAAAGTTAGTTGAAAAAGAGTACAAAACAAGCACAATTTCTGAGATATATTTTTAAAATGTATACTTGAATTTCATCATCAGACATCTCCGGAATGATAGCCTCCAAATGAATATCTCCGTTATCCAACGATTCCGAGTCGTAGTTGGGATCCTTATAATCAAGAGCCGCACCGTCAGACCCTTCTGAGCCATATGCACCCCACGTGTGCTTGCCACCAGCACCGCCTGCAATTAAAGTAACAGATATTAAGTGTATGAGTAAAATTTGTAAACAAGAAATAATGAACTAACTAATCAGTTAATTTATATCTACCTTTTTTGGGAAGTCCACGTCCAAACCCGTTGCGCGGCTTGCGTGAATTTTTCAAGTATCGAGACACAGGAAGGGGAGCAGTCCCATTCAAAACTTCCTTCGACAAGCCTTTTGTCAATCGCCTGGCCTTACGTTTGATACGATCCGCAGGTGAGTCCTGCATGACGGCGGCCGCCCCACCAACGCCACTGGGGCTCTTGGATCCTTCATCACCTTCTCCATCGATCTCCTCTCCCTCGCCATTTACTAGCACCGGCACAGTGGGCTCCTCGTCCAAGGAGTTCTTCCTTAAATCCCCATTCATGAACTTTGCTCCGTTTTCCATTGTATCAGCGATTCTTGATTATTCTTCTTGTACTACAACTAATTTTGCAATGATGATGATAATGACCTGCGTTTTATTGCTGATGATTCTGTCTGACTTGATCTTGTTCCCTACGACGATGATAACACACCACTCCCAACTTACAAATATACTACTGTCTACACACACACACCTTTTGTACTTTCCTCCGAGCAGCCCCTGGTGACGGACGCCCAAATAATTAAATTTCAGTCAATGGTACATCAATTAGTCACCTAAAACCAGGAAGTGAAAATTTTTAGGATACAATGCATAATTAACAATTCGTTTATTATGTAATTCCACATAATGTACAATCGGACCATTAATTAATTAAGAATTGAACGAAAGTGAGTACGAAATAAGACAAAGTTTCGTTATTTAATCCAATACTTTCATTTATAATTCTATAACAATAGAACCAGTAAACTATATTATTCAGCCGGTGAATAATAATTTGTGACCAAAATACCTTTATTATTTTCATATTTGCTCTATTTTATATCAAAAACTAAATCAATCCATCCACTTACCCACACACACGCTACCTCAAAAAAGCTACTCCTATAACCAACCCGGTATTCAGTCAGATAGCAACAAACTACTTTAAGTTGCCTACTAACACAAAGAAATAAAACCAGAAAAAACTACCCACTCACGACACGACAAAAATATACAAACACTCAACAAGTCCATGACGCCTTTTCTCATCCATCGTTATGTTACTTATCATGCATAAGGCATTCAAAATCTCAATTTTTCTCCGTATGAAACCATATATATTCTCCTACAAATCTAATATGATGCTTGCACCTGGAGAAAAATGTGGAAGAATGTCATCATCATGCATGTATTCTCTAGAATTTAATCAAATCGCTACACTACCCGAATATCGGATAGAGTTTGAAACCAGATATGATAATAATAATAATAAGCCAGCATATTGCATACTTTTGTCCCAATGTCCCAGAAACACAGAGACGAACGGATTATTATTATTATGCTGCTACGGGAAGAAGAAGAAGGCAAAAGGGTAAAAGAGAAGAAGAACATACGAGAACATGAGACTAGCTTTGGATTTGTTGTTGCTATGCATTGGAGCTCGGAGAAGAGTGAGTTGGTTAGTGTGGAACAACAGATGATAAGTATGTTTTCCAAAACAGTGCAGCTTTCCTCCCCTCAGTTTCCAAAGTGAGAAGGTGTTTAGTTCGTCCTATTGGTTTTGTCCCCATCTCGGATGATGAAACTCTGCCCATTTCACCATCATTGTTGCCAAGTCGCAAAACTTCTACGCATTTCCAACCAATGCTGCTGCTGCTGCCCAGGCTCACATCACGTCTCCCTGTCTGCTACCTTTTCTGCATGAAATGAAAACCCAACCAATGCAGCAGGCTGCTGGCCAACCAACGAAGAACGCAAATGATTGATACGTATGCATGAAATGAAAATCAACAAAGAATTTGATAACATTGGTGGTGTAGTGATTACATATGGTAAAGTTGTTGTCAAAGGGAAGAGAGATGCGGAATTTGGAGGATGGATGGATGGAAATGTAACCGATTTCAGGAAACCTTAGCAACAAGCCGAGACAGCCAGCCACCCTCACCAGATTTTTCTCTCTGAGAACTTTCCAGACTGTCGGGGTCATTCGAAATTTTATGCTTCACCCCGAAAATAAATATGTTTTCGATATGAGTGAGACTGATTCTGAGGGAATAATGTGGTGAGACATGACATATGACATAGGGAATCTCATCAATCTTTTTTTCTCTCTCTCTTCTCCTCGTACAAGAACCTTGGCCTGGTTAAGTGCCAGTGACCCATGAGTACAATCCTACCAAAAATGACCTCTGACTAGCACAATATTTCCAAAAACTTGCCGGAATCTAAACCCAACTCTCAATGACGTTAACCTAGTGAGAAAACTGTCCCCGGAAGAGTTGACCTTGACGTGAAAAATTCGGAAAAAAAGTTTTTCCCCCAAATAATTCCTACTCCCCCGACTAAAAAATGAATCAAAATATGCCCCCTGACCAAGAAAAACTTTTCATTTCGGCCAGAAGCTGGCCTTGAACGTGAAAACTGGAAATGCGTCTCGCCAAGAAATGCCGGTTGGGTGAGAAAAGGGTGAAATTGGGGATTTTTGCAATTGTGATGCCAATAGGGGGGGGAAGGACTTACCCGAGTTTAGAAGAGGGCTTCACTGCCACGGGGGACGAAAAGAGGGGATTGCAAAAAAGGACGAGATGGACACACCAGACAAGAGTTGCTTTTCACCGGACGACGCAGAATAGACTGAAGAGAAGAAGAGTGGCTGCTGGCGAGAAAAAAGAGGAGAGCTGCTGCTGCTGCTTGTTTACGAAACATGGCAACCTCACCATCGCTCGCCACCACCGGCACCACGACCATTGGCCGCGGAAGCGTGGGGACATAGGGGCTATGTCACGGAAATTGAAATTTTGACGTGGGGACACGCAACGCATTTGTCTAATGAGACTGAAATACAAAAATATCGATAAAAACTCAAAAAATAATTAAAAAATTATATAGCACTGCTAAATCCAATTCTAAAATATTTAATTAAATTTATATGTAGTGCCATTCAAGTGCATAATTCATTTTGTAAGAATCTGTCATACTTCGGTTATACTCAAAGTGAGTTAGTTAGTCTCTGTGCGGGGGGAGCAAAATAAGCGAGAAACCCTGGCCTCTTGACAAGATAGTTAAGGAGGCCGTTGGTTCTCGCTTATTTTGCTCTACCCGCACAGCGACTAACTAACTTTGAGTATATTTGAGAACATATGGGGCGGGTTGTGCGGCTGGGGCCGAGTAGCGAGAAAGCAGCAGCTTTGCCTCAGTTTTTCAGTAAAGCTGAGGCGAAGGTATTGGTTCCTCGCTATTAGATTAGCCCCCCCCCCGAACAGTCCTTACCTCTTTCAACCAAAGTATATTTTTATTTTTCTAACTTTATTTTAAAATTTTTATGAAAATTATTCGTTTTTTTACTTTCGAATTGCTGTTTTATCATTATTACCAAATATTAAATTTTTTTGCAAATACTGATTTTTTTTAGTAAAAACATTTTTCTTGAAAGAAGGCAACCGGAAGGAAAATTTTCGCAAGCTTTATAAGCACGAGCGGCTTATAAATATAATATATCCCCACTGTCCAAACTACTTCCGCGGCCCCTGACAACCACCACCACCAGCAAAGCTGCAGCCCTGCTGAACTACGTAGTTGTAAACAAGGGGACATCCATCCCCCACTGATCAAGCCTTATCAAAATAGTCGCCCTGTTCTTTTCCGGATCATTTAACGAGCAAGGACAAAATTTGACCCCGGAGAGATTCGACCCAGTCACCCTTATGTCGACAACGCCACGCATGGAGGTATCCTGGGTCAATCGCTACTGGTGTTTTTTTTTCTCATCTCATCGTCTGCTTCATTTAGCGTGTCGTCCTTTGTCTCCGGTAGCAAAATGATGATGAAGATGCGTGTCGCATATCGTCAGGTCAGCATGGTCACAATGTATGCAACAATGTATAATAATAATGATAACCGTACATAATAAATACGAAGGGTTGTACGAAGGGTAGGTGCACTTGAAGGGGTCGATCTAGTAAAAAGCGACCTGATCCTGAAGAGACTTCTAGTTACGTGATCTCTTTGTTCAGTTCTCAGGAGGAATGGCCATATGCCAACAAACTACTACCTGTATTGTATAAATTGCACCGGACAAAGTGTACTTACTTGTATGTATAGTAGTATTATATAGTACACTTTGTTGTATTATTGTTATTGTACGTACGTTTTTTATGTGTGTTGTGTTGATTTGATGATGTGTATTTACACACGTATGTACATACATATATCTAAGTAAAGATAGATAGAGAGAGAGGGTTGTATTTATATTTAAGGCCCTGTGTGTCTCGTCCTCGTCTTCCAAGTTGTTTACGACGAGATGTACATTTACAACAAAAAGTGAACGAACGAACGCACTTTTAGTTTAGTTTATGTTGATCTTCTCATCTTCTTTATCTTGTACTTTTTTTATTGTTATTGCGTGTACAGTGAGTATTTTAGTGAACGGAGGAAGGAACGGTCTATTTATATATTTTTAGGATTGGATTGGATATGTATGATATTTGAAGTGGTCTGCTGCTACTGGGCTTAAAATTGAGTCTGCTTATATAGTTTTACTTACATTTTAGTAGTCGAATTGTTTTATTATTATGATACATACAATGACTATCGTAAATCCAATCCACGCGTCATATCGTCAGACAGTTAAGGATGAGTCAATTTTATCAGGCATGAGTTAAATTGTTACGGAATAATTGTCCATTATTATTTACATGACATGTAAATTCCAAAATCGGAATCTTCCTAAATTTTGGAAGACGGATATTATCCGTCTTCCAAAATTTTCTCAACACTAGACATTCCTAGACAATTTGCCTACAAATTCGAAATGACACATCAAACCAAAACTTGATTTTTTCCACTGGTTCCACCGGGGTGCAAATTTTCAGCAAGATTGACGGCGGGATGACCACGTAGCATGAAAATCCTCTCCTAGACACGGTCTGAGCGTGGAACGCTACGACCGGCATTTTCCAGACTTCGATCTGTGGCATGACAAAATATTTAACAATTAAAGTTATTCCTTCTTTCAGTTACGATTTTTTAAATCACCTGGTCTTGCCCGTCGTCCATCTTTTTGAACAATTTCAACTCGAATATGTACTCCGCGGCGATTTCCAGACCGCCTAACACGGTCATCCAAAAGTAGACTGTGTCATCGCCACGAATTTCATTATGCAGCAGAAATATTTTTTCCTCCTTCTCCAAGATTTCTACCGGCCAAGACCCCTCAGCTGAGGAAAATTAGAATACAAATATTGAGGCAATTCATGCAGGGCGTGATAACATTGTAAAATTAGTAATTTTTACAAAATTTGATATTTGTGTGGAAAAGTAGCTCACAAATTTTTGAAAACTTGTACAGATCAAGGTGGTCGGATTATTTGGTAAAAGTTTGTAGCATTGCATTACATACTTCACAAAACGCACGGATTTTACAAATAACCAATGATTGACAATCATTGGTTGCGTGAATTGCCGTATTATAATTCGCATCCGTTTTTGTCTAAATTACTGCGAAATTTAAATACGTACCTAATAACTTGTCATCTTCCAAAATTGACAGCCAACGTCGCGCTGATGATCGCAAGTAGTATTTGTGGCGTTGAGTTAAATGCTTGACGCAATCCGACATGACCTATCACGCATACTCAAATAGTGCACAATTCCATGAAATGTGCGTGTATTTAAGTTGTTCATGACCAGAAATTGGGTCGAGTCCAATTTGAAAATTCCAAGGGGTTTGTATTTCACTGTGGACGGAATATATAGAACTCTTTATTATAAGAACAGGATTATATTAATTTGGAAATTAATACAACAAAAAAATTGATCCGTAACTCGAATGCATTTTCATCGTTGAAATATGTCGGGCCTGTCTTTTGCACAAAAACTGTGGCTTTTCGTTCCTCAAACATGGGAACCTTACGGACCGTCGCCAAGTGGAGAAGATATTCGCACATGGGAACATCTTCCACTCCACATTCGACATGACAATCGAGTTTGATCCTGCACAACGATTGCTATTTACCATTTGTACTTACCACCTTAACATTATCCAATTTATGACTCTTTGAAACTTACCGATAACCGCAAGTCTGTTTGTGAACCTTCAACTCGGAATCTATCTGTATAACAGGACAGCCATCGTAAAGACAATTCTCAATGACTTCGTTTGATGATACTTGCATATTATTACAAGTTTTAAAATTGTAGTTATTAGGGCGGAACAATCAATAACTCTTAGAAATCTCAGAAATCTTGGAAACTTATTAACTTTTAAGTAACTTGTTAACAGTCGAGTAAAAGGAGACAAGCACAACCTTATCGCAGCATATCGGCGTGGCGTTCATAGCGCCCAGATGTTTCCTTTGTTCAAATTAACTACGGAATTTGTATATGTTTCGCTCAAATAGAATCCAGACCTTATTTGTGTTCTTATCCAACCCCTTTGTGAATTCAATTCGTACATATTATTATTTAAAGTTTAGAATGTATGCTTTATAATTTACTCAAATAAAATTTAGACCTTCTTCCACCCAGTTAAAAAGTGGGGAGCGCCGATTGAAAATAACTTATCAATCTAAAAGTTATCAAATAATTTGATTAATAATTTGCATGCATGTTAAACAATATTATGCAAACAAAGACAACAAATCTGTGTCGCCTCGGTGTCTGGCACAATCTCAAATCCATCTTCTCCTGCGCCTCCTTCCGTCTTACTAAGGTGTGAGAAAGACCGTTGATCTCCTTCCACGTCATCCATCCATCCATCTTCATAGTCGAGCAGCTCACTGTCGAAGGGACGGACGGATTTTGAGACTTCCTCAAATTTTGTGAAATTTAACAGTTAAGGTAAACCTCCTTTTAGTAATTAGTGTATTAAGACAAATTGGGGGGAGGTGCTAGATAGTGCCGAGCAATAAAATTCGTCCCCCCACCTATTAATAGTAATAAATAGTGATGCCGCATTTAATATAGGAGTAGTAGTAGTCCTTTTCTATTCAGGGTCTTCCCTCTCTCTCTGATAAATTAATCACACCTGTATTTATTTGCAGGTCCTAATTAACCATTATGGCAACACAAGGGAACTTCGCCGTGGCCGTGAAGGATGAGCCCAAAAGTTCTAACGCACCCATCATCTTCTCATTGGATGAATTTGAAGATGGGTGGTTACCCTACGAACTTGTCCGCGTTGACTCTGGAAACTACCCAATTTTGAGGGGTCAAGACAAGAGGAAGCGACTACGAAAAGAGTGCTTGGAAGCTGTCAAAGCAGAAAATCAGTTTTTCGACGACTGCCAGAAGGATGAATTGGCTGAAGGAAACCTCAAGGGCAAACGAAAGTCGGCAAGAAAACCAAGTTTGGTGGCGACTGAGACAGCTCGGAAATTGCCACTTCGGGCGACTCGACGAATTGGAACTGCAGGAGAAGGAGATCCACCAAGTTTCGTGCCATGCAATCTGCCACGACAACGGCCTGCATTTGAAGTCAGTCCTGCCAACTTTGAAGCCAACGGGATTCTCGGAAATGGGAAGGGCACTGTGTTTCCCAAGTATGAACTTGATTCGCAGTACAACTTCATCATTCCCGAGCCGCACAAGTTGAAGAATGCTCCGTGGAAGCAGAGTCCAATTGAGCCGCCGAAAGGGTTGGAACCAACCGTTTTGTAAGCTCTTGCAATTCCAGTTAACATTATTCTTAGTATTATAATTATTATGTGAATGGCAATAAAAAGTTAACTGATGGTGTTTTAATTCTGCTCTTATTACTGTTGCTTGCAGATCTGTGGCGGCGTCGGTGAACTTGGGTGCAGATTTGGACCTGAAAGCCATTGCTGATGCATGTTTGGATTTGAGCTATAATCCCGAGTCATTCGCACCCTTGGTCATGCGTCTCAAAGATCCAATCGCCACGGCGATGGTCCACCGAGGTGGCCGAATGACCGTGGCTGGAGCCAAATCGGTGGAGGATTGCAAGATTGCAGTGAGAAAGTTCACAGCGATGGTTCGGTCGGTGGGATTCAATGTGAGACCATTTGGAATGTTGATTAAAAACATCTCTGCCACCTTCAGTGTTGGCTTCAAGATTAGGTTGAGGCACCTCTCCAAGAATCGAATGCTCACCCCACAAATAACGTGAGAAACCCATTCGACCAAATCCATATTCAGTAATAATCCATCTACTTAATTAATAAGTACGTTTATCATTTGATTGGCTGACAGATATGAACCTGACTCGTTTACCGGAGTTTCGATGGCTTTGCCATTTCCGAAAGCTAATGTGATGGTGTTCCGGACTGGAAGCGGGATGATACAAGGTAATTATCATATTTACCTACATTTATTTTGGAGGGAGTGATTTGAGATCTTTTTCAGTTGGCACTACAATTATTCAATATCTTTATTTACAGGAGTTACCACTTTCAAGGATCTCGATAAGGTCTTGAAGATTATTTACCCCCACCTCAAAATGTATGCAATGTAGGAAGGTCAGGATCGCAAGAAACTATTTGGCACTCGAATTCAGGATAATCTTCAACTTTGGAAATTTTTTTTGGAAAACTCGTAAACGAGGATCAAATTCACATCAAATTAAAATAACTTTAATTTCATCTTATTTTATTTAAATATATTGTTACTATTTGATAGAAATTTGCATACCAATTCTAACCAATGGTAAGAATTAAATATGCACTTATCTTATGTATTATAATTGTTCCATATAAAGTATATGCAATAAATAAAGCGAATCTCCGATAATAAAATTGAGATAATTATATCTTAAGAAGTATTTAATTTGTAATATCTAAAACACGGAATTACAAAGGTGATGATGATTTGAATCCGAATTGTGACAACTTTCACTACCGTCTTTGTTAAAATATCTCGTTAGAAGGTTCCGTTTTTGGATTTTTAGAAGAATAAGTGTGGATGCTGCATGTACTTCTTGGAGCTGATGATTGGAACAATTATTTTCTTGTCGTTTCATTTTTTGTAACAAAAATTAACGGGAAATATTGCAGAGTTGAGGAAATTTAGACCAGGTATTCCCCACGGGCACAACCCCATTTAGACAACATTTGTAGGCCTGCATAGCAAACAATTTTATCAATTTATTACCAATATAAAAAGACATTCATGACATTCATTACAATTTGTATCCATTTTATCACCCACCAGAGCAGGATAGTAGCTCGTATATAACGGAAGGGAGCAAATTTCATCCGCCCGGAGCGTCAAAACTTGATCAGCATCAATCAGTTGAACTTTATGGCATGGAATTTCACGCTCAGAAACATTAGTAACGTTCGATTCTAAGATGACACCTCGGAGCCAAGTTCGCACGCCCTTTTCCATATGCCTCACAGCGACCAGTTCCGTCAAGGCGTAATGGGCTGACTGGCGTTGACGCCATGTCATGTTGGGTTCCAAAAGTTCGTTCAGTTTGGCTTTAATCTTGTCAAACGCCTCGACTCCAGTGCCTAAGAATGAACACGAGCAAGAAATTCATGAAATTGACCACCACATCCTCATTGTAGATTTTAAGAGATCATATCAAATCTATATTGATTACCAAACTCTTCCGTCACCGTGTCTGGAACATGCTTCATCGACCCATTATGCATTGTCATTGGATTCATGGGTGGTGTACTCTTTGAGGTTGCAGATGGAAATGCGGCTCGACAAGTGCATTCTGCCGTTTTTCTAGGAATTACGTAAAACTCTGAGGGCAAAGCTATGTGCATAACTTTAACATCTATCCACGTTCCATGTTGCAAAGGGGGCTTGTTGTCCAAAGTGTAAGAACTGGTAACCCTTTCCTTTCCCAGATCAGCGACTGCGAAAAAGACAAGGAACAATCATTATCTATCAGTTGATCATTTATGCCACCAACTAAATTTGCATAACTGACAAACTTACCGTCCACCACTTTATGCAACATTCGACACCTCATCCCCTTCCAGCAGTACTTGCCCTCCCCTTTGTAAAACGGACATGACGTCTCAGTCCATGACTTCTCCTTGTGCTTGACTCCCATGAAAAATGCCCCCGCACTCTTGTCGATATCGGCAGAGATCACATTTTGTGCCGTGTCGCAGTCAGTCTTCTCTTCATTGGGTTCCATTCTCTGCGAGTAAGATCTCCTCTGAATCCGGTGATGCAGAAATGGACACATTTTCTTTTTCAGAAGTACCAGAAGATGTTCTGGTTATTTTTGTCGTGTGATATAGTTTTTGAATGTGCTGGCTGGGGCACACACTCATCGGAAGATGTGTAGTAGGAAGACAAGTCGTCGTCGTCGTTGTCACGACCGTTGGTCAGAGCATTATTATCACTGTCGACATTAGCATGATGACTCTCCGGTGGATCATCTCCTTCTCCTTTTTCATCCTGAATGTTATCCATCCTCCTGTGTAAGTAAATAACAGTTAATATAATGTAATTAAATGTAATAAATAAATATGTCTATATTCAATAATTACATTATATTAACTGTTATTTACTTACACAGGAGGATGGATAACATTCAGGATGAAAAAGGAGAAGGAGATGATCCACCGGAGAGTCATCATGCTAATGTCGACAGTGATAATAATGCTCTGACCAACGGTCGTGACAACGACGACGACGACTTGTCTTCCTACTACACATCTTCCGATGAGTGTGTGCCCCAGCCAGCACATTCAAAAACTATATCACACGACAAAAATAACCAGAACATCTTCTGGTACTTCTGAAAAAGAAAATGTGTCCATTTCTGCATCACCGGATTCAGAGGAGATCTTACTCGCAGAGAATGGAACCCAATGAAGAGAAGACTGACTGCGACACGGCACAAAATGTGATCTCTGCCGATATCGACAAGAGTGCGGGGGCATTTTTCATGGGAGTCAAGCACAAGGAGAAGTCATGGACTGAGACGTCATGTCCGTTTTACAAAGGGGAGGGCAAGTACTGCTGGAAGGGGATGAGGTGTCGAATGTTGCATAAAGTGGTGGACGGTAAGTTTGTCAGTTATGCAAATTTAGTTGGTGGCATAAATGATCAACTGATAGATAATGATTGTTCCTTGTCTTTTTCGCAGTCGCTGATCTGGGAAAGGAAAGGGTTACCAGTTCTTACACTTTGGACAACAAGCCCCCTTTGCAACATGGAACGTGGATAGATGTTAAAGTTATGCACATAGCTTTGCCCTCAGAGTTTTACGTAATTCCTAGAAAAACGGCAGAATGCACTTGTCGAGCCGCATTTCCATCTGCAACCTCAAAGAGTACACCACCCATGAATCCAATGACAATGCATAATGGGTCGATGAAGCATGTTCCAGACACGGTGACGGAAGAGTTTGGTAATCAATATAGATTTGATATGATCTCTTAAAATCTACAATGAGGATGTGGTGGTCAATTTCATGAATTTCTTGCTCGTGTTCATTCTTAGGCACTGGAGTCGAGGCGTTTGACAAGATTAAAGCCAAACTGAACGAACTTTTGGAACCCAACATGACATGGCGTCAACGCCAGTCAGCCCATTACGCCTTGACGGAACTGGTCGCTGTGAGGCATATGGAAAAGGGCGTGCGAACTTGGCTCCGAGGTGTCATCTTAGAATCGAACGTTACTAATGTTTCTGAGCGTGAAATTCCATGCCATAAAGTTCAACTGATTGATGCTGATCAAGTTTTGACGCTCCGGGCGGATGAAATTTGCTCCCTTCCGTTATATACGAGCTACTATCCTGCTCTGGTGGGTGATAAAATGGATACAAATTGTAATGAATGTCATGAATGTCTTTTTATATTGGTAATAAATTGATAAAATTGTTTGCTATGCAGGCCTACAAATGTTGTCTAAATGGGGTTGTGCCCGTGGGGAATACCTGGTCTAAATTTCCTCAACTCTGCAATATTTCCCGTTAATTTTTGTTACAAAAAATGAAACGACAAGAAAATAATTGTTCCAATCATCAGCTCCAAGAAGTACATGCAGCATCCACACTTATTCTTCTAAAAATCCAAAAACGGAACCTTCTAACGAGATATTTTAACAAAGACGGTAGTGAAAGTTGTCACAATTCGGATTCAAATCATCATCACCTTTGTAATTCCGTGTTTTAGATATTACAAATTAAATACTTCTTAAGATATAATTATCTCAATTTTATTATCGGAGATTCGCTTTATTTATTGCATATACTTTATATGGAACAATTATAATACATAAGATAAGTGCATATTTAATTCTTACCATTGGTTAGAATTGGTATGCAAATTTCTATCAAATAGTAACAATATATTTAAATAAAATAAGATGAAATTAAAGTTATTTTAATTTGATGTGAATTTGATCCTCGTTTACGAGTTTTCCAAAAAAAATTTCCAAAGTTGAAGATTATCCTGAATTCGAGTGCCAAATAGTTTCTTGCGATCCTGACCTTCCTACATTGCATACATTTTGAGGTGGGGGTAAATAATCTTCAAGACCTTATCGAGATCCTTGAAAGTGGTAACTCCTGTAAATAAAGATATTGAATAATTGTAGTGCCAACTGAAAAAGATCTCAAATCACTCCCTCCAAAATAAATGTAGGTAAATATGATAATTACCTTGTATCATCCCGCTTCCAGTCCGGAACACCATCACATTAGCTTTCGGAAATGGCAAAGCCATCGAAACTCCGGTAAACGAGTCAGGTTCATATCTGTCAGCCAATCAAATGATAAACGTACTTATTAATTAAGTAGATGGATTATTACTGAATATGGATTTGGTCGAATGGGTTTCTCACGTTATTTGTGGGGTGAGCATTCGATTCTTGGAGAGGTGCCTCAACCTAATCTTGAAGCCAACACTGAAGGTGGCAGAGATGTTTTTAATCAACATTCCAAATGGTCTCACATTGAATCCCACCGACCGAACCATCGCTGTGAACTTTCTCACTGCAATCTTGCAATCCTCCACCGATTTGGCTCCAGCCACGGTCATTCGGCCACCTCGGTGGACCATCGCCGTGGCGATTGGATCTTTGAGACGCATGACCAAGGGTGCGAATGACTCGGGATTATAGCTCAAATCCAAACATGCATCAGCAATGGCTTTCAGGTCCAAATCTGCACCCAAGTTCACCGACGCCGCCACAGATCTGCAAGCAACAGTAATAAGAGCAGAATTAAAACACCATCAGTTAACTTTTTATTGCCATTCACATAATAATTATAATACTAAGAATAATGTTAACTGGAATTGCAAGAGCTTACAAAACGGTTGGTTCCAACCCTTTCGGCGGCTCAATTGGACTCTGCTTCCACGGAGCATTCTTCAACTTGTGCGGCTCGGGAATGATGAAGTTGTACTGCGAATCAAGTTCATACTTGGGAAACACAGTGCCCTTCCCATTTCCGAGAATCCCGTTGGCTTCAAAGTTGGCAGGACTGACTTCAAATGCAGGCCGTTGTCGTGGCAGATTGCATGGCACGAAACTTGGTGGATCTCCTTCTCCTGCAGTTCCAATTCGTCGAGTCGCCCGAAGTGGCAATTTCCGAGCTGTCTCAGTCGCCACCAAACTTGGTTTTCTTGCCGACTTTCGTTTGCCCTTGAGGTTTCCTTCAGCCAATTCATCCTTCTGGCAGTCGTCGAAAAACTGATTTTCTGCTTTGACAGCTTCCAAGCACTCTTTTCGTAGTCGCTTCCTCTTGTCTTGACCCCTCAAAATTGGGTAGTTTCCAGAGTCAACGCGGACAAGTTCGTAGGGTAACCACCCATCTTCAAATTCATCCAATGAGAAGATGATGGGTGCGTTAGAACTTTTGGGCTCATCCTTCACGGCCACGGCGAAGTTCCCTTGTGTTGCCATAATGGTTAATTAGGACCTGCAAATAAATACAGGTGTGATTAATTTATCAGAGAGAGAGGGAAGACCCTGAATAGAAAAGGACTACTACTACTCCTATATTAAATGCGGCATCACTATTTATTACTATTAATAGGTGGGGGGACGAATTTTATTGCTCGGCACTATCTAGCACCTCCCCCCAATTTGTCTTAATACACTAATTACTAAAAGGAGGTTTACCTTAACTGTTAAATTTCACAAAATTTGAGGAAGTCTCAAAATCCGTCCGTCCCTTCGACAGTGAGCTGCTCGACTATGAAGATGGATGGATGGATGACGTGGAAGGAGATCAACGGTCTTTCTCACACCTTAGTAAGACGGAAGGAGGCGCAGGAGAAGATGGATTTGAGATTGTGCCAGACACCGAGGCGACACAGATTTGTTGTCTTTGTTTGCATAATATTGTTTAACATGCATGCAAATTATTAATCAAATTATTTGATAACTTTTAGATTGATAAGTTATTTTCAATCGGCGCTCCCCACTTTTTAACTGGGTGGAAGAAGGTCTAAATTTTATTTGAGTAAATTATAAAGCATACATTCTAAACTTTAAATAATAATATGTACGAATTGAATTCACAAAGGGGTTGGATAAGAACACAAATAAGGTCTGGATTCTATTTGAGCGAAACATATACAAATTCCGTAGTTAATTTGAACAAAGGAAACATCTGGGCGCTATGAACGCCACGCCGATATGCTGCGATAAGGTTGTGCTTGTCTCCTTTTACTCGACTGTTAACAAGTTACTTAAAAGTTAATAAGTTTCCAAGATTTCTGAGATTTCTAAGAGTTATTGATTGTTCCGCCCTAATAACTACAATTTTAAAACTTGTAATAATATGCAAGTATCATCAAACGAAGTCATTGAGAATTGTCTTTACGATGGCTGTCCTGTTATACAGATAGATTCCGAGTTGAAGGTTCACAAACAGACTTGCGGTTATCGGTAAGTTTCAAAGAGTCATAAATTGGATAATGTTAAGGTGGTAAGTACAAATGGTAAATAGCAATCGTTGTGCAGGATCAAACTCGATTGTCATGTCGAATGTGGAGTGGAAGATGTTCCCATGTGCGAATATCTTCTCCACTTGGCGACGGTCCGTAAGGTTCCCATGTTTGAGGAACGAAAAGCCACAGTTTTTGTGCAAAAGACAGGCCCGACATATTTCAACGATGAAAATGCATTCGAGTTACGGATCAATTTTTTTGTTGTATTAATTTCCAAATTAATATAATCCTGTTCTTATAATAAAGAGTTCTATATATTCCGTCCACAGTGAAATACAAACCCCTTGGAATTTTCAAATTGGACTCGACCCAATTTCTGGTCATGAACAACTTAAATACACGCACATTTCATGGAATTGTGCACTATTTGAGTATGCGTGATAGGTCATGTCGGATTGCGTCAAGCATTTAACTCAACGCCACAAATACTACTTGCGATCATCAGCGCGACGTTGGCTGTCAATTTTGGAAGATGACAAGTTATTAGGTACGTATTTAAATTTCGCAGTAATTTAGACAAAAACGGATGCGAATTATAATACGGCAATTCACGCAACCAATGATTGTCAATCATTGGTTATTTGTAAAATCCGTGCGTTTTGTGAAGTATGTAATGCAATGCTACAAACTTTTACCAAATAATCCGACCACCTTGATCTGTACAAGTTTTCAAAAATTTGTGAGCTACTTTTCCACACAAATATCAAATTTTGTAAAAATTACTAATTTTACAATGTTATCACGCCTTGCATGAATTGCCTCAATATTTGTATTCTAATTTTCCTCAGCTGAGGGGTCTTGGCCGGTAGAAATCTTGGAGAAGGAGGAAAAAATATTTCTGCTGCATAATGAAATTCGTGGCGATGACACAGTCTACTTTTGGATGACCGTGTTAGGCGGTCTGGAAATCGCCGCGGAGTACATATTCGAGTTGAAATTGTTCAAAAAGATGGACGACGGGCAAGACCAGGTGATTTAAAAAATCGTAACTGAAAGAAGGAATAACTTTAATTGTTAAATATTTTGTCATGCCACAGATCGAAGTCTGGAAAATGCCGGTCGTAGCGTTCCACGCTCAGACCGTGTCTAGGAGAGGATTTTCATGCTACGTGGTCATCCCGCCGTCAATCTTGCTGAAAATTTGCACCCCGGTGGAACCAGTGGAAAAAATCAAGTTTTGGTTTGATGTGTCATTTCGAATTTGTAGGCAAATTGTCTAGGAATGTCTAGTGTTGAGAAAATTTTGGAAGACGGATATGTATTAATTAATGTTTCAAAAGGCAAAAATGATTATGTAAAGTCTCTGTGATGTTGAAATACGCTTTTTTTGAACTATTTCGAGTGTACCGCATGTACATTTCATTTTAGCCAAAGTTTGTGTACTTACTCTTTAGAAACACTTGATTTAATTTAATCGACATTAAAATAAACAGCTTGTTCGAATTACATTTTACTAGGTATGTTTTTATTGAAACGGAAATTGTGTATATTTTAACCTAAGAAAATGTCGTTATTAAAATAGTTGAAGGCGACCGACTAACAGTTAATCATGGGTTTATTGAGAAGGATTTATTTTTGCTTTGTTCGCCATGTTCATTAAAAATTTGTAGAAGTTAACCCACAAATCCGTCATTGCGAAGTGGAGAAGTAGTGATAAAGCGTTGTGAGTGTTTTTTAAAAGAAATACTTTCATTAATGAAATAAACATGCGGATGTCTTCGATAATTAAAATGCAGGTCAAAGTACTTTTTTGCTAAGCTCGGGTAAACTAACGAAGATTTTTAATTTTTTTAATGGCCAAAATGCCCTACAAAATAAATGCCGGGTAAATAAGGCAAATACCTGATGCCATAAATGCCTAAATGCCGAAGGCGCTGGCATTCCTCCAACCCTACCCATCAATCTTTAACATTTCATTATGATAAAATTTTAGTAAATTCGTTGATTATTACCAAAAGTTTAAAGTTGCCAATATTTTGGTTCTTCTTCCATATCATAATTTTAAGATATCGCATCACCAACCACAGAAAAACGCACCTTTGACCTCTCTAAATAAATTCGTCGTCACATGTTTAACGCGTATTGACGAACGTGTTTTGTTTGTGGCATGCGAATCTGGATTGAGCGTCACTATTTTCATTCCAGGTTAATAAGTGTGTTGAACACTAAAAATAACACTTCTCAGTAATGTTTTTGATCAGTCCTTTTGAGATAATTCAGCAGCTGTGTTTATGATTAATCAAGTAAATTTGCAGATATTAAAGTCATGTTCCTGCTCGTGTAGTAAAATTCCAACCGGTTTGTAGCACAATTAATTAGTTGTTCTTATCATTTAGATAAAATTGCCGATAACTTGCATAAAATGGGTTGTTCAACCACTTGTGTTTTCTGTATATAAAAAGTATATATAATATACATAACATATATAAAAAGTTCACATCCTCGTCATTTCTGAAGGATCGCCAATAATTTTGCTCAGAAACGTAATGTTTTCTAAAACCTTTGTCACATTTTGGGCGTCAGTGCTTCTACTGCAAGCTCTCTGTGTTACAAAAGTTGATTCCCAATCTGCCGATGATTATCCACTACCATGTAGCAGGTAAAAAAGTCATAAAATCCCATTTCTCCCTACTAAAAGTCAACGTTTTTACAGTGAAATCTACTGTCACGGTCCCCTCCTCGAAACTGTTCAGCTCAGTCGTCGCAACATGACCGACGCTAGCAAAAGTTTTGTCGACATGTCGCTTCGACACTCTCCCGAAGACATTCTCGCCTCCTTCGCCAGGCTCAACTTCACCGGCGACGTGTCAGGAAACGCTACCCAACTTGACCAGCTTAATGTCTTCCTGGCCGAAAACTTTGCCGGACCAGGGACGGAATTCGAAAATATTACTTTTCCCGATTGGACCGATTCGAATTCGATCCCATTTTTCGATACTATTGTGGACCCCGATCTGAAAGATTGGGCTGTGCGGCTGCACTCCATTTGGAATGAGCTGGGTCGTCAAATAATTCCGAGCATGAACAACTCTGATCGCACTTCGATTATTTATTCCCCCAATCCTGTCGTTGTTCCGGGGGAACGGTTTCGTGAATTTTATTACTGGGATTCCTACTGGATTCAGAGGGGGTTGCTTGTTTCTGACATGGCAAACACGGTGAAGGGGATGATTGAGAATTTCCTCGACTTTGTGGACCGTCCCGACCTGGGTTATGTGCCGAATGGTGGTCGCATCTATTACGAGAGGAGTCAACCTCCCCTACTGATTCCGATGATTGAAGCGTATTACAACCACTCGGGGGACGATGTCTTCATTCGTGAGAACTTTGCCGTGATGCAGAAAGAGTTCCAGTTCTGGATGCAGAATAGAACGGTCACTTTTGAGAAGGATGGGGCTAATTTTACCATGGCGAGGTATGCCGTGGATAGAAAGGGGCCAAGGCCGGAAGCGTTCCAGTGAGTGGTTGAGTCGAATTTATATTTACGTGGGGATATATTTATTGTTTACTTTTGTAAATATATTCAGGAAAGAATTTGACCAAATCGACCCCCTCGATATTAGCAATACGACCAAAAACGAGATTTATTCACATTTAAAATCTGCATGTGAATCTGGCTGGGACTTTTCAACGCGGTGGTTTGTTGTGGAGGGTTCGGAAATTGAAGGTGGTGTTCTGAATGCTGTGTTTCTCACAGTGGCGGCGGAACCAGGAAGACATTGTCCCCCTCAGAAATTCAGCAAAATCGTGTTAATAAGTCCCTCCTCCCCCAATCTTCCTAACGTCTATTTCTAACGTTTCTAACGTTTAATTTCTAACGTCCCCACATGTTCCCCCAACTTCCGCCGTTACTGATTTCTCATGAACTATAAAGTATATATAAATCTTGACCTATATTCTTATCTTAGGTAATTTCTCCTCAACCCGAACCCGTGACATTATCCCGGTCGACCTCAACGCATTCTTGTACTGGAATGCCGTACTTCTCCAAAGGTTCTGCCTCCAGGTCAACATCCCTGTCGAACAATGCGCCTACTACGGGAACAAGGCGGACGAGTTGAAGACCGCGATTCACCAAGTCCTCTGGGATGAAGGGACTGGATCTTGGTACGATTACGATTATGTTAGAGGAACCACCCGAAAGGACTTTTACACCTCAAACCTTACCCCTCTCTGGGCGAAGGCGCATCACGACGCAGCTAACGTTTTGCCAAAGGTCATCAACTATTTGGAGACCAGTGGGGCGCTCGATTATCCGGCCGGAATTCCAACCTCGCTCAGAAACGAGTCTTTTCAACAGTGGGATTTCCCCAATGCTTGGCCACCCCTGGTTCACATGGTTGTCGAAGCCTTGGAAAATTCTGGGAATGAAAATGCGAGTCGGATTGCGTTCAAAATTGCGCAAGATTGGACGGACGCGAACTATATCGGATTTAAAGTTTCTGATGAAGCCATGTTTGAAAAGGTGGGCTGAATTTGAGTTAATTTTATCATGCATTTTTAATAAATACGATTTTTCCGAAAAGTATGACGTGCGAATACCCGGCTGTCGTGGGAGTGGAGGTTATTATGAAACCGTGCTTGGTTTTGGATGGACGAACGGCGTGATTTTAGACTTTTTTCAAAAGTACGGGGATCGATTAGTGGCTCCAGTTGTGCCTGAAAATCTACAATGTGGAGATGTTACGAATGCTCAATCCCAATTAATCCCTGTGAATGGCGTTTATCTAATTGCACAATTTTTTCATATCGTAACTTATTTTATCTACAGGCTAATTTAACTTAACTTTAATCTTTTAGTAAGGTTACTTACAATTAAAAACTTACAATTAGATACTTACAATACTGAAATATTAAGTCTTATCTAAGGTTATCAATGACAATACATGATCCCACCCCCAAGAGTATAAATAATTCTAGAATTTATAACTAAATAGTGAGCAATTAGTATAATATAAAGTTATGATGAAGATACAAATTGAATAAAACAATGTGGTACTCTTCGATTTCAAAGGTTATCATTCGAATAAACATATATAAATTTGCACAATACTTGACTTACAATAGTTGAATCTGATAAAAATATATGACCAAAAATAGCACGTTTTACCAGAAATAAAAACAGACCTAGCAAATTAATCATGTCATTATTTATTTCTTTTTTTTACTACTTAACGAAAGTATAAAGCAAATGTATGCATCAATCTCAATGCGTATTGAGAGTCTCAAATTGGGGAAGAGGAGAGGAGAGGAGGCAAGTCGAGAAATAGTCTCAACTTGCCTCCCATACCAGCTTCAGTGCGTCATGTTGAGGCCATAGCACCACAAAAATACAGTCCAACTGCTCATTACAGAGAGGGATCTGAGAGGTTTCTCTCTTATCGGGACGTATTACGTACGACACGTACAAATTGTCATATGCAGAAAAATGAAGGAAATTTGTGTCAAATTTCACAAAATTTCTAAAAATGAAAATTTCACAAAACTCCCAAATTTATATACTTTTATTAGTATTCGTACAAATGCAAATTTTTTATCATACTTAGAAATCAGGAAATTTTAAAAATGATGTAATTTCTAGACTAATATTTTTTACTGTACAATTCTACATTCTTCTACAAGACTATTTTATGGTTGATATCATAATGATTTTGCAATCAAGTAAAGCTTAAAATTAGCAAAGGTTTTATATACATGCAAATTAATTACAATTAATAATTATCCGCATCCAAATTACAAGTAAGAAGCATCTCTCTCGCCTCACTGGAATAAATAATACGCATCCATAATTTTATACCCAGTGCAGTTTTTAATTTACATCCAGGCAATTTAAAAAAGTGACAAGCCAATTAATTATTTTGGGACACTGGAGATTTTGAGTGAAATGTGGACGGTACAAAAAAATGTGTTCATTTACTGCTTAAAAAATACAGAAATGTGTCTGTTAAATTTATTAAATGTTTCTTTCCAGATAAAATTTGACAAGATTGTCAGTCAGCCACCGTCGTCGTCGTGCTGGACTGAATGAAATTGACAAAATCCTCATATGCGCAAACATGTCTAATTTACATTCCAGTAAGTGTCTAAGTAAGTCACTAATCCAATCCTATACAAATTTCAACCAAAACATATCAATCCAAATCCATCAATGCATCCAAGCCATTCGCTGCAAATGTGTGGCAAACGAATAAAAATGGCTTGGAATAATAATAAATATACGGAAATGAGTATAAGTCAAAGAATTGCATCTCTGATGGATGGATGGACCTCGACGACGACTTCGACCAAGAAGACTGATGAGATATCAAACTGTCTACTGTCAATATATATGCCCGTCTGCATGCATATATTTACATATATATAGGTACCGACCGTTCCTGCATATTGGGGCTTTTTTTAACTGGAGGATAAATAATAATAATAATGAGAATAACGAGAGTATAATGTCATCATGATGAAATTATGGAATGAAATATTTTGAGGACAGTTACAACCTATCGCCATCACAGATCAGACTCGGACAAGAAAAGAAACGACGACTTTTTCGACGATCTTAGTTTCCATTTGGTCACTGGATTCTTGCTGGAGAAATGAAGAGTTGAGACCATAATTAGTGGTGATTTCAACCGGGTGTACGTAAATCAGTCCAACTAGTTACTGCATGGTTTCGAAAAGTGCTGTTCCAAAGGAAGAAGAAAAACTAGTACAAGTATTTCTGGAGTCGTCAGTCGTAAAAAAAGAGTGTGCCAAGAAGAAGAAGAAGGGTGAGCAAAAATAAATACTACTGGATTGGATCTTCTTCATCCTTCTTCCAGTTGTTGTTCTTCCTGGCCAGTAGTGCATTTCATATTTGTGAATAGTACAGTTTTGTGGATAAAATTGGGGGAAAATTGGCCCCAAATTACGTCGTGTTCGTAAATAAATTATGGAAATCCTCCTCAGTTAAGGAAGGGACGCCAACTGAAGGGGTCCATACATAAAAATATATCTCTCGTTCCTAAAACCCACACGATGGGGAGACTGAAATCTAAAGGATGGTGCTACGTGTGTCTAATCGTGTTCATTTTGTGCAACTGGATCTCAACTGCAAGTGCTCAGGCCGAGGGGGGCGGAGTTCATCACGGGGGACGGGGTAGAAACGGGAACGGTGGGGGAGGTGGTGGAGGTGGTCCTGGTGCTGGAAGTGATTACAACGGTGGAGAATATAACGGATATGAAGATTACGACTATGGCGAATATGACGAGAGTAAGTTAACCACCAGCATTTGGTTTACATATAGGGTTTAAACAGGTCAAAGTTTTTGGGTTCTTTGACCCATCATACATACATACCGACCAAGAAATATTCAGCATCATAAGTAAATGATTCTACTGCACCCACCACTTACTGACCACCCAACTAAAAGAACCACTTCCCTATTGATCATCAATCCAATCAGACATGTAAAAGAGGAGCTGACTGGAAGGGCAACAGGGTCAGAGCAAGTACATTCATAAATGGTGTCAGTAATCCACATTTTAATCTTGAATGAAAATTGATAGATTCAGACTGCATTCTTTAACTATAAATAATACTTAATTCTCATTTACAACACATGCACCAAATTTAAAGCAATTATTCTCATGAAATGTATTTATGTAAATAATTTAGTGTGACCATGTCCTAATTTTTTTGTATGTAGCGAGAGGAGTGACTGGCGGTCGACCAGCGACGACAACAACGTCGAGACCTGCAGTCGCACCGGAAACGGGGACACGGAGAGAGGAACCGAGTGCCGTCACGTTGAGAACGTGTCAATTTGAGGGACGGACTTATCAAGACGGGGAAGATTGGAAACCGGACAGTTGCGCGATTTGTAGGTGTATCCGTGGGAAGGTGGAATGTAGTCGGGAAGGTTGTCCAGGTATGGAGATCACTAATGATCATCAATAATGTGGTGGTAACAAAATATGTAAATGGGTACGAATAGGTGCTAATTGTGACGATGTGGAATGTCCCGATATTCAATGTGCTACGCAACAGTACATCCCGTTAGGACAATGCTGTCCCATTTGTGCGGATGATGAAGATCAAAATGGTAATTCGTCGTCCGCCACGCCATCCGTGCCTGCAGGACCGCGTGGAGGAGTCGGATCAAATGGACCAATTGGAATGAAAGGAGACCCTGGAATTCCCGGATCGGTATTTTGTTGTTACTAAAGAATTGGTGTTATGCAATGTCGAAATTTATTTTAAAGTCTACTAAGGAAAAATATATTTGTCAACGTGAGCGTCTAAGGTCACCCAAAATGAAAAATTGATAAAAAATGTAATTCATGTGACCTACAATTTCTAATACATAATACTCGAGAAACATTTTTAGGTAATATTTTTAAACGGATATATCCTCAAAATTTTAATTAAAAAAATAGACGGACAAAGCGTTAGCATAAAGTAGTTCGGCTACTTGCTAATTTGTTCATTACACATTTTCTAATAAGTCTCGACATTGCATTATCAGGAATCAGTTTTTTTACTGGTCATTTCAATTTATAGGTTGGAATTCCCGGAGAACCTGGTATTTAAATTAATTGAAAACTTGTTCTACCCTCCATAAAAATTCCTTAATTCCCACCCACGTTAAAATCTACTTTATATAACGTCAATTATTACGCTCTGAACTTAATTGTTGTTTTGACTCCTCTGTTAAACTGCTTATCCATTTATTAAATTAGGAAATCCTGGACCGCCCGGACCAACGCCGGATGTAAGCATCACACAATTGTCATCCTGCATTTTTGTTGAACTCGGAAGTATATGTATATTTTTATTTTGTGTGTTTCAATTAAAATAGATAACCCCGTTTTTTAACCAACTGTCAGCGTCTCAAGGCGGTGGGGAAAAAGGCCCAGCTCCGGACCCGTTTCAATTTTTACAGGCACAAGTTGGACCCGTAGGTCCTCGTGGTCAGCCAGGTAATTCCGCTATATTTACAAATTTGAGTATCTTCCTACTAAAATTTTCGCACCCATTTTTTAATTTTTCATGACTGGTCTCGATGTTGTTCCCAAATCATAAATTTTTGTTTTCTATGTATACAATTTGTCGGCTTGGTCTTAATTGCTATACATATTTTTGCGCTTGTATTTAAAGAGAAAAAGATTAGTATTTTTGCACGTCAACATTTCTCGAAATTCCCTTGAGAATTATTCGATTTTATTGAATTATTGAATTTTATGTGCACTTTATTACTCTTTTTATAACAATTATTTTAGGTCCGCCAGGTCCAAGTGGTCCTCAAGGATTTCAAGGAGTCCGAGGAGAGCCAGGTATAGCATAATAATGTATTTACATATGGGCTAATAAATGCAAATGATATTGCAAAATCTTTAATTTTTGACAAATGCGTCGTCCGAGAGAATTTTCTGACTTGTTTGACCAAGATTTATCATCGACTGCAACCAATTTCAAATTGCTACCTCCTGCTTAACCACTTATCGTCTTTTTTCATAGGTGATCACGGACCTGCTGGTGCAACAGGTGCAATTGGACCAAGAGGATTAATTGGAGCACCAGGAAAAGACGTTAGCCTGCTAATTCTAAGTATTTCAATCTGGATTGGCGTAATGATGATTTATTTATTTAGGGAGAACCTGGTGACGACGGCCAAGCTGGACCTCCTGGATCAAGCGGACCTCCGGGTTAGTTTAGTGATTAATATGTTTGTGTTTGTAACCTGCAGATATCTCTCGTGAGACATGGATGTTCATTTCATAAATACAAAACTTGCCTGACAAATAAGTGTTTGTTTGTCTTTAAAAAGGTGCAAGGGGTCTGCCAGGGATGCCTGGGCTACCAGGAGTCAAAGGTCATCGAGGTTTTCCTGGTTTGGACGGTTCCAAAGGTAAAATAAACATAATACAAAAAAATGTCGAAAAATTACGAGTACTACGGCAAGCTTACGAAATTTTGCATGGACTTGGCTTATTTGACTTTCCTCCTAATTTTTCTAATCTGGTTTCTAACAGGTGAACAGGGCAGCGGTGGAGAAAAGGGAAGCTTAGGACTACCTGGAGTTCCTGGACCTCAAGGACCCATGGTAGGAAAAATAGAATAACAATATGACGTTATTGTGCCATAATGATTCCAAGTATAGTCTCAACTTGCCTCATTTTGTACGTGGTCGAGTAATGTTACGCCAGGATGATCCTAAAGCGGAAAGTGTCGCCAAGAAATGAATAGTTATGAAGAATCGTGAACACTACAGAATAATTTATCGTTACAGGGGCCTGGTGGACCGAGGGGGGAACGTGGTAGAGAAGGACCCCCTGGAAATCCTGGATTGAGAGGAATTGATGGTGTCGCCGGCCCACCCGGTTTACCGGTAAGCCGGACGATAGCTTACAACAAATTTTTTGCATTCTTAATGCTTGCATTCTCTCACAAAATTGATCGTTTTCATATTTCGAAGAACTTCACAATCCCATTTTATTCCTATTTTTGATAGGGTGCAATCGGAAAACCTGGTCCCCCCGGATTTCCTGGTTCCGCTGGAGGAAAAGGAGACCAAGGAAGCGCAGGCCCAAAAGGATCTCAAGGGTTACAGGTAAGGGAATTCATCCAAAAGTGTCAATTTTGCTAATTATAATTCCCACAATTTTGCTAATTGTTTCAACAATTACAGGGCCCCCGAGGAGAAGGGGGAAGACCCGGAAATCCCGGAGATGGTGGTCCACCTGGACCCCCTGGAAAAGTAATTTAAAGTAGTTCCATTTAATTTGTCAGTTTCAAACGCTTGTGCAATTTCTAAATCAGGTATTTTGTTTTGAATGGCGTTATAGGATGGTCAACCTGGAGAAAAGGGTTCGCCTGGCTCAATCGGATCTCCTGGAGGGCAAGGATTCCCAGGTGGGCATGCATGATGGGTTCCCCAAGTAAAATGGCCCCAGTAGTTAACCATACTAACTAAATTTCTGATATGAAATTCTAAACTTGACCTTTGACCTTAACCCTTAGTTCTCGTTGCGATCCATAATGTCCCACTGTACTAGCTTCCGTGTCTATTTTCAATATCACTCACAAGATGAGCAACAACTTGGTACAATCAATAATGCTCTTTCTAGGTGCACGGGGTCCACAAGGTTTATCTGGAAGTCAAGGCCCAGCGGGAGCAAAAGGAAATCCTGTAATTACTTTGCAATGACGTAATTAATTCCAGTACTCGATATTTTTTGTGATTATTTAGGGCGGAACTGGTGAACCGGGAATGAAAGTAAGGAAGATATTTCATACCACGTACATATATAACCTTAAAAAGCCTGAATTCTCTCACAGTAAATAAATATGTGAATCCTAATTGGAATCCAATTCGAAACTACAATCCTTAAGACTATGTACTATATTATGCAATATTTTATAGGGTGACTCAGGACCGATGGGAGAAAACGGAGCCCCAGGAGCCAGGTAAAACTAAAGCTTTAGCACCTCAAGTCATTATCCTTACGCTTGGTTTTTTAGGGGTCTTCCTGGCGTTGCTGGAGCCCCAGGAAAACGAGGAAAAACGGGTTCGTGCTATTTATGATAGATACATATTTGCATATTTACCTTTGTAACTTGTGGTGGTACGAAAGATCACCAGTCGGAAAATGGGTGTGACATTTCAATTAGTGTTTTATGTCTCTCAGGTGGAAGAGGGATTTCTGGACCGGCTGGACCCCCTGGGGAAAGAGGGTCACCTGGAGGAAGAGGTTTACCAGGTGGGTAGCAACAAAATCTTGTACAAATAAAGCCACCTTACTTTCACCGGAGCTCACCAAACAAAAAATATATTCATTTCTTGTAAATACAAAAGCTTGATGCATTTATTTTAATCGTAATTAATTAATTATTAGGTCAAGATGGAGCTCCTGGACCAAAGGGACAAGCAGGAGAAAGGTAAGTACGTATGACTGTATGAGGCGCTGATTAGGACGCGTATGGATATGAAAATGAAAATATTTATTAGAAAATTGGGACAAAATCTTTGATGCTTGTTCATCCTCAGCACTTATTTGATACAATATTTTGTTTTTTTGCTATCTTTGACAATTAATTACAGGGGTCCGAATGGTGTTCCGGGTTTAAAGGGAGCTGGGGGCGAACCAGGTCGAATTGGACCCACTGGTCTTCAGGGTTTAAGGGGTCCCGCGGGACGAGCAGGTTAGTAGAGTGACGATGGCCTACTTATTTATTAGTTATCCACCCTTAAAAAACGGTGATAATTTTCATACGGATTATACATGAATGATATGCACATGTATTTGGCAGCTTAACTATCTTCAAGTTAAAAATTACACAACGTTTAAAATATTTTAATGCTTTAATAGGGCTACAAGGGAAAAATGGAGCACCAGGAGAAAGAGGGTTACCTGGACAAGATGGCAAAAACGGTGATCAAGGTCAAAGCGGAGCTCCCGGCTTACCAGGTGAGTAATTAAATCGTCAATTAAAGTGTTCACAAATAATTTACCGCGTTTTCACGTCTTAAATTGTGTCCGGAAGTTACTTAATCGCTTTACTACTCTGATTAAAGGTCCCATTGGTCCACCTGGTGACAAGGGTTTAGTTGGCGACCCTGGAAAAGATGGAGAAATGGGTGGTATTGGTCAACCAGGTCCACGGGGTGACCCTGGAAAAGATGGCAGTATGGGAATGCAAGGACCGCCTGGTTTAGCCGGCCCAGATGGGGCGAGAGGACCCCCAGGTCCAAATGGTCCCAGGGGCTTTCAAGTAAACCACATATCATAGTGTTTCTGACGCTACGTACTATATTTATATCCTCCCGCTAATGCCAATTTGTTCACAGGGTCTGCCCGGAAGTCCAGGAAATGCAGGCAGTCCAGGAAAGGATGGCGAAAATGGTTTACAAGGCCCGATTGGAGCTCCAGGTTCAACTGGAGGAAGAGGAGGTACGCCTATTTTTTAGTCTTTACTATGTTACGAAGACGACTTTCCATTCATCACTTTGAATAACTGTTCCTTAATTTTTCCCATTTTAGAACGAGGCTTCCCAGGCGAAAGGGGTGGAGCAGGTCCTCCAGGCCCCCCAGGAAATCGGGGCGAGCCTGGAATGATGGGTCAAGATGGACCACCTGTAAGAACACAAACATAACGCGTCGGTTCTGATTTCAATCGTGTGTGCACGTATGCACAGAAACATTACACAAAAATAATTTTGATGTCACTTTTGTAGGGTCCCAATGGCCCCAAAGGAGATAAGGGTCACGCCGGTTCTCCCGGACTTTTAGGTCTTCCAGGAGGAAGAGGACTTCCAGGCTTGCCGGGAGAAAAAGGTGGGTGGCAATTAAATAGCATATTATATACGGAACAAAATTTGTTAAATTAATTTTTGACCTATCCAAAAAAGGTGAAAGGGGTTCGAATGGAATGATGGGACCGGCAGGACCTCCTGGCCGCGGAGGAGATCAGGGAGCAGTGGGTCCAGTAAGTACAAGCTTATTCAATAGACCTACGTCTATCGACATGACGAATTTATGTCATCATTTTATAGGTTGGACCGGTAGGACCACCCGGCGAACCTGCAGATCGAGGAGATCCTGGCCCTCCAGGACCTCCAGGTGATGATAATTAGACTCATTTAGGCATAAGTAGTCATATTATGAAGTCATGTATAGTCATTAAACTACATGAATTAACAATTTTCATGAATATATATGTGCAGGGATGAATTTACATATAAAAGAAACATTAAAGAGGCAACATGCTTCACAAGATTCGTACTAATTATGTTGGTATAATAGGTGAGGCTGGTGGAGCTGGAATGCCTGGTGAACGTGGACTCGGAGGACCGCCAGGTCTGCAAGGTTTCCCTGGTAAGCAGTCACAAGATGACAATAATGGCACGATTATGCACCAAGTGTGTTCCCTTCGTACATCATTTCGTTTGTGATTTTCAGGTCCTCAGGGTGTTGGAGGTGCCCCCGGAGGTAAGGGCGAAAGGGGTTTGCCCGGATTGAAGGGAGAACAAGGTGGAATCGGAAATACGGGAAAACCTGGAGAACAAGGTAAGCCACAGAACTAATTTCTATTTATGTGCACATATTTCTAAGTATGTGTTCTTAATGGTTTCAGGACTCCCTGGACTTGTCGGTTTGAATGGTGCAAAGGGAGGTCGTGGTGAACCAGGACAGGTAAGGTCACTGTTTATGAATAAAACTTCAATAATTTTTCGATTTGAGTAATTTATGAATTATTATTTTTTATCCTTAGAGAGGTGAACATGGCCCTCAAGGCTTGCCTGGCCGTGATGGAAGTCCTGGACCCCCTGTAAGTTGAATGCATGTGAAAGCAAAAATTTCTCTGAAAAACTTGATAGAAAGGACAAAAACTCATTAAATTGATTGGGTTTTCAGGGAATGCAAGGCTCAACTGGCCCAATCGGACATCCTGGACCTCCAGGTTTGTTACTAACCTCAGAAGGACACAACGTGTCACATGCGCATATCTTTGGGCATATATACAGATCTGTAAACGTTTGAGTAAAGGTCAGTTTATTGAATTTTTTGTATTATTAATTAAAACAGGTTTGAAGGGAGTGCCTGGAGATAATGGACGTATCGGAGCTCCTGGCCCGTTAGGTATGTATGTACTTGCGATAATTTTATGAGGCTGGGGGACAAATTGTTTCTAAAAATTAAAATTTCGAATGACAGTTTGAAAAATATAAAATATCAAAATCCCTGAAAAATTAAATTACGAGGAGATTTAAATCGTCGTCTTTTTCAGGACCTCCTGGCCCACCTGGAATGGAAGGACCAAAGGGTGAAGGTAAGTTCGTCTCACAGATTTACGATCTCAAAAAATTTTACGTAATTTTTTCATAATTTTTTTAAAGGCGGTTCTGAGGGTGCACAAGGAGGCGTGGGAAAGCCAGGTATGTCAAAATCGCGGAGTACAAATTTCGATAAATTATTTTAGGCAAATATACTCCTACGAATTTGAAAGATTTAGCAACAATGGTGCGTATATGTTTATGTGTTAGGTGCCAATGGGCCACCCGGTGATAGAGGAGTTCCTGGCTTGCCTGGCCCCACCGGAGCGACAGGGGGACGTGGACCAAGAGGGGCGCAAGGAGAACAGGGCATTCAGGTAAATCAAAAAATAAATCTCACTTTACCTTTTTATGTATTCCTCTCAATAATTGTTCTAGTAAAAGTTTGTTACTCTTCTAGGGAAAACCAGGAGTCGAGGGTGGAAGAGGTGAACCAGGAATGATGGGTGCCCCTGGAGCACCAGGTCCCATTGGTATGTCCCCTTTACTAACAGTGATTAATGTGTCGCTATGTCCGACTCACGTGCTTTACTCACTTCCTCTCAGGTGAATCCGGACCAGAGGGTAGTCCAGGCAAAATAGGTGATTCTTAAGATAATAAACTCACTGATAACGATCATGATTGGAACTAAAATTGACTAATTGATGTAAAAAATAGGTCCTCCGGGGATTGGAGGTCGTCCAGGAGACAAAGGCCCTCCAGGTACGCATATGTAAATATGTTAATACAAATATAAAAATAGACTGTACACGTGCGTGATCGTTCAGAATTTGCATTAATTAATCTGATCCATAAATTTAGGCCCACCTGGAATGATGGGATTATCTGGGGGACAAGGATTACCGGTAATTTAAAACAAGTGAAAACTTTTCATGGCTTCATACTCATATATGTATGACTCTTTGCAGGGACCTCCTGGAAATTCTGGACCTGCAGGAGTAACAGGAGAAAGGTATGTAGCATAAGACAGCGCGTCACTCTGGGGAAATAATGCTACGGTGTGAACGGGAGAGACGTTAAAACACCAACTTTAACTTTCACTTTAGGGGACCGAGAGGAGAAAGTGGTCCGCAAGGAGTTGAAGGACAAGCGGTAAGTATGGGTACATTTCTTGGAAATAATTTATGTAAATTGATCTCCACGTCGGTTTACATGCTTATCTATGTCAATATATTTATATATGATATGTGCTTATATATTATTGTCGGTATAAAGGGACCACGTGGAAAAGCTGGACCTCCTGGACCACAGGGCGAAAAGGGTGAAAAGGGCGGTGGTGGCGCAAAGGGTGGCAAAGGACATCGAGGTTTAATTGGGTATGTGATCCACACTAATTTTTGTCTCTGTTCCTACGACCTGAGGTAAAATTGTATTTTTATTGCCTTACAGGTTGCAAGGTTTACCTGGTCAACAGGGTGAAAGTGGTGAGCGTGGAATTGTGGGGTCCCCAGGACCCCCGGGAAAACCAGGAGATTCAGGACCAAAGGGTGCGCCAATTTTTCATTAGTCTGGCATTCTCGCATCTTCATTACAACTAATAATATAATACCTTTAATAGGACCCGCTGGTAGAGATGGCATAATGGGACCACCAGGACCGTTGGGACCGGTTGGACCAAGAGGACCGCCAGGAGAAAGGCAATGCTCAACATTTACTCTCATTTTTTGGCATTCACACAAAAGGCACATTATTTATTTATTTGGTTTATAGTGGAAAATCTGGAACGCCTGGAACTAGCGGGCCGCCGGGTCCCCCAGGTGAGTGAAATATTATCTTATCGGATCCGCTTGGTTAAGTTTATTGTCTCTTACAATTAGATGCAGTTTAATAATATCATAAAATGGTTTTTCGCTTAAGCCCGATTTATAATATTTAATATGTGCATTTTGATACGATGGTCATTTTCTCTGAGCGTTAAAAAAGTGATAAAACACATCCGTTTATGCATTTCAAGAATTTTAGTTAATTAACACCAAATACTAATTTAGGTCCACCTGGAGAATCCCTTGGTTATGATGCTGCTGCTCTTGCTGCCTTGTTAAATCAAGGAACCGCTAAGGTGCTTAATTTTTGCTACATTATTTACATAATTAACCAAATTCATACATAATAAATATATGCATAATTTAATACGTTTTCAGGGCCCTGATCCTCTGGCTGGCGACGAACCTTACAAAATTCTTGGAAAAGAAATCACACAAGAAGATCGTCGTAAATTAGTTTTAACCGCATATGAACAGCTCATAACAACATTTGAAAAATTCCAGAAACCAGCCGGAGACAAAAAATCTCCTGCTAAAACTTGTAAAGATTTATCTGTAGCGTATCCCGACTTGAAATCTGGTACTCAACTTGTGCACACATATTTATGCATTTCTATTCCTTTAAATTTATTTATGCCTCCAAAAAAATCAAGCATTTTCTCTGAATGTACAGGAGAATACTGGGTAGATCCGAATGCGGGTGACCCCAAAGATGCCATTTTGGTCTACTGCCGCATGGAAGACAAAGCCACGTGCATTCATCCCAAACCGGAAAAGTCTCCAGTCATGAATCCCATCATAAAGACTCCAGGAGAGTATTGGATATCTGACTTGGAGGGAGGATCACAAGTATGCTGGGCTTTGTCCCATTTAAAAAATCCGTTGAAATTATATTTTATTTTCTCTCTTTATTTGCAGTTTACTTACAAATCGGATGGAACTCAAATGGCATTCTTGCAATTGCTGTCGTCAACTGCGGAACAAAATATCACATATCACTGCTTTAACTCAGCTGCTCATTATGACTCTCAAAAGAAGAATTACCGAAGCGCATTGAAACTCATGGGATGGAACGACTTGGAACTGACTGCCAGGGGGACGAGGAGAACACGCTACAACGTGGTCGAAGATGAATGTCGGGTGGGTTTAACTACTAATTAATTATATATTTAGGAAAATATCTTGTCCAACTGAGAATGGAGGTCTCCCAGCGTATTCTTTCAGATTTTGATTAAACTAGTGCGAATCTATGGCAAATTTAATTAGTGTGAAATTTGCAAACGACATTATCTGCAAATGCTCAGGTTTTGCAGAGATATTTGCATCCAAAGAGGAGAAAACGGGCCTAAAAAGTCGACAAATTTTACAGTTTCCAAATTTACTGTGCGTTTTCTCCTCTTCGGATGCAAATATCTCTGCAAAACCTGAGATTTTGCATATAATCCCGTTTGCAAATTTCATACTAATTAAATCTGTGTTCAATTGACACTAATTTGCTCAAAATCGGATTATGCGGCATACGCTGGTCGACCTCCATTCTCAGTTTACTATAATTTCTCATATTTTCTATATTTCCATCTTTGCAGTGGAAGAAATCCGAATGGGCCAAGACGTTAATACAATACCACACCGATAAGGCCGCCCGCCTCCCCATCGTGGACATATCAGTGAAAGACATGGGAGAAAAGAGTCAGCAATTTTGGGTTGAAATAGGTCGCGTATGTTTTATCTAGGAAAAAAATCCCTTAAAATAATGTATACTATTACGACTTCATATCCATTTTTATATCCATTTTGAAATCACTTTTTATACCGTTAAAATATTTACTCGGATTTTTTTTGTTTAATTGGAACACGAGGTATTATTATTTCACGTATATACGAATTAAGATTCTCAACAAAATAATGCTAATTAGGTCATCAGGGGGATGGGAAGAGGGGGACGATAAATATTAAAAGGTTGTAAGCATGTGCAATATTTATTGAATGTATGAATGTTTATATCACTGCCATTTTTTTTACATTCTTATCTTTTTGTTTAATAATAATAATAGTAATTAATTCCCATATTTTTAGTATTAATTAATTGCCTCAGGAGTTGTAACTTTCACTGCCAGCCGATTTTTACACGCGCAAAACAAACCTACACTGCCAATAAAATATTTTGATTGCAAACTTCATGACATGAATTATAAACGTACAATTTATTATTCACAAATATTGAATCATTGAATTGGTAGTACATATACGACGACGATGACGATGAATATAACATGCAACGACTTTTACATTAATTATGTAAATATTTAGAATTACGTACAGTGAGTATAGTGATGAGACATTTTATTAATATTTTACGCAATTGCTTGCTAGCCGATACCTACTTATCTAGCTACAAAGATGAGATTATTATTAAAACTAGCAATAGATAATTAAAAATTAATCATAAAATGGTTTCTCTTCTAGCGCCCATGTATATACGTACACAAGTATTTTTGTAGTTGAAAACAGTGGCCGCGGAAGGGGGCAGAGGGACAATGTCCCCACGGTTGTTCGATGTCCTCATCTGACCTGCCGATCTTATATAACCCTCTCCCTCTCCCATCCTACAATGTTAATGTCCCCAGATGTCCCCACGACTTCCGCGGCCACTGGTTAAAAAAGCAAATTAACATGATTCATGGTGGTAGATATAGTTATAGCATCATAACATAACGCTTGTTGACTAAATGCCTGACAGTATCTGTATAAATTTAAATCAAACTGTGCATGAAATAGTAAAGAGGATTTATTTTTTGAAGTAGGATTTTCTTCAAAGCATTTCTTGTCCGTGTTCCGTGTTCTTTTAGAATCCGCGTTCTTCTTGCGGGTGGAGAAGCTCCCCAGAAAAGGACATATTCTTTTTACTCGTCCCTTATTATTTACATGTATGAATGTCAGTCCTCGTAATGCAAGGTTTGCATTTGACATAACAGCACCAAATAAATTTACATTGGCAGCGCTCCACCTTTTTCACAACCTTTAAAAAAAAGAGAGAAAAAATATGTATGAGGATTTTATTTTCCAGCCATGTTGTGATGCCACTCAATCAGTTCACTGTTCGCTCAAGTGGGACAAATATTCTTTTTAGTACGGACGTGCTCAAGTTGGTAAAAATAAGAAAGTCACAATGTCACAAAAGAGAGAAATGGGGGTGTTTTACGTTTCAGAAACATATTTTTTGTGAAACTTTGCAATATTTGGTGGTTATCAGGGGACGAAACAAGTATTAATTTGCATATGTATTTACATCCATCTGAGGTTCACTGTTCTTACGTAGCTACATGTGCTACAGATACCTTAGAGTCAGTGTTTCACGGTGGTTTTAAATGTCTGTCCGAAAAAGTCGTCGAAACCGGTTTTAATCACCGAATTTTGGACGTCCAAAATTGAAAATGGAGAAAAATGTTACAAGTTGTTCATTATTGAATCTTTCGATAATCCGTTGGTGTATGTCTCCCATTAATTTTGAGCATTTTGCATAGGTACACACACTTGCGAAAAAGTCGTTAATAAAGAGCTTGTAGCATTTTGCCCCCTTTTCCGGTGTTAGACGCTTTTGGACATTTTGGACAGTTTTAGACGTCAAAAACGAAACACTGATTATGTAGATTAGACTATTATTTATCAACTACCTTTGTATTAAAGCCTCTCCCACAACACAAAACATTGCATCTGTCCGGACCATCGGATGTTTTGTTGCAAACTCTGCCCGTCGTTCCAGTAATTCCTTTGTCCAAGTCGAGCTCACAATAATCCGGCGACTTTCTCAAGTGAACCAATTCTCCCTTGCTCACGGGGAACTTTCGCCCACTTTTTCTCCTCAACCGTTTCTGAGACTTGAGTGGAACCTGAGAAACAGATTATTTTTCGGTGCTTATCATCCTTATTTTTATCAAATCTCCTCCTCCTCACCTGAGTTGACTTTTGATATTTCTTCTTCAAGTAATCACCCACTTGAGTAAAACTAGGGATATTTTTCCAACAAGTTTTCAACTCACAGGAACCCGACACTCCGTGACACCGACATTGCATTCGCATCAGATGGGCGACAGCCTAGGCAAAAAAAGAACATGTAAAATTTGGCAATTTGTAGAAATATGCATGCTTATGTACACACCTGACGTCCGGCTTCATTGTTATGCAAATTCATCAAATTTTGAACATTTTTTGGTGCATATTCAAGCTTCGTTTTGTCCGGAGCGTCAACAAATTTTCGGGAGAATTGGATTCCAAACTTCATGTTGTCACTAAAAAACGGGGGTCAAAGAAGGCATAAAATTTGTCAAAAAATCCTATGAGGCAATTCACGTCACCCTTCGTAACTCCGTAAACTTAAGAAATTTACGAACTTTTGACGAAACTTAGGAACATTTCCAAGGTAATTTTTGCTTAAGAAGTTACAAACCCTTACGAAGATAACAGGCATGATTTTCGTTCTTTGTAACTTTACGTGGTTACCGACTTTTACGAAATATCTGTACATTTTCTGCAAAAACGCACCTGCACCCGCCCCACTTCCATCCTTCCGGGGTCGTTCTGCCCTGCTTGCTGAGGTCACAAGAACACTCGTTTAGCGCTCCGGAACTGCAAGATTGTGTGATGGCGTGGACAACTCCGGCACTCGTGACGGCATAGATGAAAGCCGTCTCCTTGCTCCCTGTACAAAATTTTAAGAAAATCGTTAAAAAACACGGTCATTTAGCTCGAGATTTCGGTTAAAATGCAAACATGCAAATGTTCCTACTCGATACGATTATTAGTGCATCATCTTCCCAGAAACTAATAGAAAAGCAATTTCCCCCCTGTATTTACATATCCAAATCGGCTCCGGAATAATAAAGGAGGCAAACTATTTGAATTATGCAGATTCCAGTGAACGGATGGCCTGTCACAAATTCGAGATTTTTCATAAATCCAATCCACACACACAAAGTGTATGATATAATAGTAATAATAATAATATCGAGTTAGACTAATGTGCTGACACAAAATCCATTGAAAAGTGGTAACATCTGCTGCTTGCTAGCCAACTAAAGTGACTCGAAGACGGAGAAAGTGGTTTCCTTCTTCTTTCTCTCTTCCGTTCCACTGCTCGGAAAATGGAAATGATGCAAGCAAAGTGTGTACGATGTATAAAAGTAAAAAGCATCCAACACCTCGCTCTCCCCAAAAACGGGCTTCGTCTTCTTCTTCTTTGGAGCAGAAACTTTTTGCAAATCCAATAAAAGCAAAATCTGCTTTTTCTTATCCGTTCGGAAGCAGGATTATTTTAAAAGTATAAGAAAAACCTTCTCTCCAACTAAACGAATCATGTTCAGCTGACGCTCTGTTCTCATCGAAATTTAAATGATTTCAACATTTTCGACATCCCTTCGCCTCTATGGAAACAGGGGCCGCGGAAGGGTGGGTGGGGACAGGGGGACAATGTCCCCAGGGTTGTTGGATGTCCGCAAAATCTCCCCATCTTATACAAACCCGTCCCTTCCCTATCCTCCAATATTAACGTCCCCAGATGTCCCCACACCTTCTGCGGCCACTGTCTACAGCGGCTTGTGCCTGCTGACTTGATTTTCGAGGACAATTCTGCTCCACGAATAATTTCGAATATATCAAAATTTACTGTGTCAAAGTTTTTGTTTTATCTAACCAAACAATATGATACATGTCCCCGCATGCATGGGAACAACTTTCCTCCCATGCGACTTGATTCTTTTTGCAAATATATCCTTTCTCAGAAATGAAATGAAATGGAATCAGTAGCCAAGAAAATATTGTTATTGCTATTTCGTCCAATATTTTATGTTTTTTTGGATACGAAATAAAATAATTTGTCCCCATTTGGCTATGTACCATGTACATGGAGAAAGTACGTACAATAATAAATTAGAATTATCTGTACACAGTTATCGGTCCAAGTTGACAGTCCAATTCGCTTATTGCAAAAAATCGCATACATAAATGTGCGACTCATAAAATAAAATGTACAAAACCACACCACCCAACATCAAATTCGTCATTGACTTCTTCTTGACGCCAGAAAATGACGACACGTCGTCGTAAAAATTTTAATCGTTCCGACGTAAAAAGAACTTAATTTTCTATTGAAACAGAAGAAGCCGCAGTACGCAACCTACCATTATGTTTCCGTACAGGGTGAAATTATAGCCGTGGGGTGAAAAGAGGAGGAGGGATGGACGTCGACAAGAAAAATACCATTTTCCTTTCAAGATTCGACTTTTTGGTATGTTTTGGTGGAGAAAAAAAGTCAAATAAAATCCCATTCATTAGAGTTCACGACCACAATAATGAAAGTGATACTAAATACGACTCGGTCTGGTTTATATATAATCTTGTGGCGACTTAACAAAAAGAAAGTATTCTTCACCAGTGGCCGCGGAAGCTATGGGGACATTAACATTGTAGGATACGAGGGTTTATATAAGATGGGGAGATGATGCGAACCGTGGGGACATTGTCCCCCTGTCCTGTCCGCGGCCACTGCTTCCCACTCGAGAAAATTGTGCCCATCGCGAAATACATGAGGGAGGGGTCCCAGTTGAGAGTATGAGACACTTTATTAATGGCATGGAACCAACATCTTCGACCCGATCGGTAATGTATCACTTTGACGGATATAATATTCCAATGCTTGCCGTTACCCTGTATCGCGGCACGTTCGCCTCGAGTTAATCCAAGCAAGAATTACTTTGCTCGGAATTATAGTCACGATTTCAAGCACGAACAGCAGTAGTAGCCCGGTCAAGTTGGTGGAATCGTAATGATGCCAAAATAATAATAAAAAAATCAATCACATATATACATCAGCACTTGGATAAAATAAAAAAATATAATGTAAAAAAATCTGGGGGATTTTATTTCATTTCCGAAAAATATTTGCTCTTGATGTGAATAGAATATTTGATATGTACAACTGACAAATCTGAAATTTATACTAGTGCGTAAAATTGACAGGAGAAGACCGTGAAAAAAAGGGGACGTGTCAATCATTAAATGTGTACAGAAGAGATACAGTTTTCTCAGAATTCCATTGAATTGTGGCAAAAAAGTAGTAGCCAATAAACCAAACTATGTACACACATCCGCACAATATTTATCTATGAGACGATAACAATGGAATTTTTTTTTGGAGAAGAAGACAAGCGATGATAAGAAGAACAAAAAAATACGAGGAGAAAGTCCAGTCCATCGATATTTAGTATTATTATTGAGTTCGAGTGTCTGTATTGTCGTCTCATCCTTATCCATTCGTCAGATAACCAGAAAAATAGGGAGCCGAAAGAAAACAAGTGATTTCGATTGCCAAGAAAAATGCTCACTTAATTGTCAAACAACTCCGGAAAAAAAACTTGACACGGGATCCCTTCCTACTACAATTACAACTCTTTTATTCTGCTTCTGTGGGCAATAATGCGAGCAGCAAAGTGACAATCGCGTCGTAATTATATCGCACCCTCCGCTACCTTTTTTACAATTCAAATTCCCCGTCCCCCCACACACACGGGGACAAAAAGCTATTAATCACTCTGGGTAATGTTCTTTTAATGAGATTCCTGTTACCCTCTGCTGCAGTTGACAAATTCTAACCTCCGGGTTTCAAGTTTTCCGAATATAAATAAAGTTTGGGTATGAATCTGGGCGTCCAAAGTTGTATTCCCAACGAACCCACCACCACCCCGTTATTGCTTCCGTGCTTTATGCATATTAATAATAATGGGAATGTCAAGTGAGAATTTCGGGAAGGGTGTCCATCCGTCCCGGAGTTAATTTGTGCTTCCATTTTATTGTCGCATTCATTGTATAATGAAATGAAATGGGAATACAAAAGTCAGTCGGGTCTGAATTATTGGTATGTTTATGTCCCACTATACGTGCAATAAAACCGCTTCTAATAATGGAGGTCTCCCAATGTATGCGCACAGATTTTGGGCAAACTAGTCTTAATCGATCATAAATATAATTAATTGCAAATTTGCGAAAGACACGATCTCCCAATGGGCACGTTTGGCCGAGATATTTGCATCCGAAGAGGAGAAAACGCGCAGTAAATTTAGAAAGTGTAAAATTTATCGACTTTAAGACGCATTTTCTCCCCTTCGGATGCAAATATCTCTGCCAAACGTGCCCATTGGGAGATCGTGTCTTTCGCAAATTTGCAATTAATGATATTTATGATCGATTAAGACTAGTTTGCCCAAAATCTGTGAGCATACGTTGAGAAACCTCCATTGTTAGTAATAAATAAGTAGGAAGAAATCACAGCATGCAAGATCAAGTAATTATCTATCTATGATACAACTTTTGTTCTTGGGACGTCTAAAATTAACACGATTTTAGACGTCCTCACACACCTCCTCCGTTAAGTAGTTGAACTTGAATTAGTCTCCTGCTTGATGGATAATTAGTGTTCCATCCGTTTCGCCGTGTATATGACTTAATAGCACCACGAGCCGGATATTTATTACGCATTGTGTCAAACATTCCGTCACTGATTCGGGACAGGAATGTTGTTGCCGTCAAGTGACAATTACGCGCAAGGGTGAATCTCATCTCATTCGTACATGAGCCATTAGACCCAAAGTAGGAATTCATTAAGGTCAATTCTACTCAAACTGAGGTACGAAAGGTGGACAAATGAGTGGATATTTATTTGTGAGACATGCGAATATGTGTAAACGCACACGCACGCTCCATATGTAAGGCAGAATGTACAATGTAGTTAGTCAAGGCGGGGGAGATGATGACTATAATTCTCGATTTGTTGTTGTTGCTCGAGTCAAAAGAAAAGGCCGCATATCTAAAAACTTGACAGACCTTTTTTTTCATTCTCGTATAGTTTTTTTGTTACTTTTAAAATGAAACAACTTTTCACCACATATCGGAAGAAGAGATAGAGCTCCTCGCATCGTACCACTCACTCACTCAGTCAGGAGGAGAGCTTGGGACTGAGAGACTCACAGATTTTGATGCCTTTTGAATGTATGAAAAGTAAAGGAGGGGTTTATTCCATTTGTGCTAGCCACACCCCTTAAAATGGCGAAAAATACCTTGTTTTGGGGAATTAAAACCTCCAAAAATCTGATTTTGATCGGATTTTCATAATTTTAGAATTTTCTTGATTGATATTGTTTTACCATATCAAATATTAAACTCGAGTTTTTTGAAAGTTTGACTTCTTCGAAGGGATACATGATCAGAATATTTTCGAAAATACTGAATTTTTTAAATTAAGCTTGATGTCGTGTAGGATAAAATTACTATCTGGGATCACGAAACTTTGAGAATTCTGAAAATCTGATGAAAACAAAATTTTTTGTGAATTTCCTTCACGTTTTCTAGACTCATCTCGTATGCACTACAACAACTCGTATCCAAATGACCCCAAACTCCGTCATTCCATCATTGCCAAGCTCTCCTCCTTCCTCCTCACTCTCTCTCAGAATGGAATAAGTGGCTTTGATAATTGCAAATGTTGCATATCGCACACGCATTAAAACGACAACTAAAAACCTTTTTGGTTCGTTCATTTGCAACCTTTTGTGTTGCACGCATGACATTTTTCATTACTCCACGTATTAATTTGCATACGTAGGACCACATCGCATCCCGTTTGTAGGAGTAAGTATCTATATAAAGTAAAGCTTCATATGTACATCCACATTATTAACTATGTAGATGTGTAGGGTGGCGAACTGTGAACTGAGTGGCACTCATCCTTCGCAAGGAAAAAGAAGGAGATGAAGGCTTATGGTGTGGATATGAAAATTGAAATTTTGATGTGAAAAAGATTACTAAGAGAACCATCATCTCATCTCTTGGCTGGCACATTCCTTGGGATTGGTTTTACTTACAAGGCTTTCTTGGACAATCTATCATTCATCCTTCCTCGCTTTATCGAGTCTCTCGAGGAGTCAACCAAGCGAACAAACTGACTGGGAAACATTCCCTCAAATCATACCCATTCCTTATTTTCTTAAATTTCCGAGTAAAATCCATCCTACTTGACGGATGAATAGTAACAGTATTAAAATGTGGATGAAATCCGATCATTATTTTCTCTCTACGACACAACACAACCAGCAACAGCTTCATTTCATATCAGAGCAAATAATATAACACCACTTCATATTATAAGTTACGTACTCTGTTTCAGACACTTTTCCAAGCCAACAGTTGCTGCTGCTGCTGGATGGATGGATCAAATGAAGTATCGAGTCATCATGTCTGAGGGAACTTTGTTTTTTGGGACCCTTTTCAGATTTAGGATTTAGTCGAAAGAAAGCGTTGAGTTGTGAGAGAAAGTTGTTTGGAGAAATTCGTTCCCAGCATTGGTTTTGGTTATGAGAAGGATGAGATGAGCGAGAGAGGGGCGGAAATCAGTGGAAGGAAAGCTTTCCCTCTGGATACTTACTTATGGATGGCTATATGGTCTGGTGATGCATGTAATTTCATTAAAAATTCAATCTTGTGTAAGCTTATCCGCCATGTGATGCAAGTACCGATGTTTACTCATTCATAATAATACCCATTACAAAGCAACTCTCTCAGTGCGACTGGATGGCTGGGTTTGCTATTTCGTTGCGGGGACGACGACGATCCGTGTCATCATAATCCCACAAAACGGTCCTTTGCCGTTGTCGCATCGCATCGGATCGGATCGCATCTACTACATCGTATTTTACTTAGGCCACAAATTCTAAATTCGGATTGGGAGGATATATTGAAAGCAGACAGAGTTTGCCAGACCACCACCACCACCACCGCTACCTCCAACCACTTGTAATTATAAATTGGAAATTCTCTCGAACCCAGAGCAAAGATGAAATCGTGTAGGAAATATTTCTGATGAGTTTCATCCTTTTTTTGGTACTGTCGCAAGTTAACCTCATCGCTATGGTCTGCGCATTAAAATTAGACCCTTTTTGTACGTGTTTCTTAAGGGTCAAATTATAAAATACTACTATAGTCCTGCTGCTCTTACATTCTATATAAATAAATTCCCACAGGTCTAGATCCTTGCGACACCAAATCAAACCAGAACGCCCATGGACGAAGCTCTCTCTCTCAGAATAATCTGATACTGGAGGTAAATGAAAAGAAGGGTATTATTAATTAAGGTCGAGAAAGACGACTTTATACTCACTCATCCCCCTCCAGGAAATATTATCTCATTGATCTGCCAAATAATCACCACCACGAGAACCGGGTACAAAGTCTCCTCTCATTATATTTATTATTATCGTACATACGCACAATCGTTCGCATTGTACGGATGAATGTAACACGTGCCCTCCGTTTCAAATAAGCCCGTCGTCGTATACAGAATAGGAAAGTTGTTAAATGTCATTATTATTCCTGGGAATGAGGGAGATATCAGTCAACACGTTTTTGTTTGCACTCTCCATCTGTTCCTCCATCATCCACTTCCCTTCTTCATCTTCTTCCGTCATCGTGAATTCGAAGCCTCACCACCTGAACTTCATTATTAACTTATCCTACGATTTTGTGTGTCTAAATGCTTATCTCGAGAGGAGCAGCCGGGTGCAATGCAACCAAACTCTAAAACAACGCCATGGTCACTTCACTTGTATGATTTTCCATTGTCATCAATTTCTTGCCATAAACAAGGTAACGTAACGTAATGTAACGTTTGATAAGGTTTTTCATTTAATTGGGAAGTAGAAGTACTATCGTCACCACCACCACCACGATTTTTTCCAGGATGAGCCCATGGAATTGTCACTTTCTTATTGTCCCCTGCTCTACATGGACACGAGGCATTGTTGCTGCTGCTGCTGGCGCATAATGACCAAGATAATCATGACGATGACGATACTTGGACATTTACATGTATGTGGCTACGATACGCATCTTATTCTCGTGTCAGAGTATCTCAAGTGTTATCAAACCAACGAATTGATGACTTTTGGCTGCTTTACCTCACTGTCCAACGGTGAAGAGGAGATGACTTTTTTTTATTCGCGATGACTAAAAAAGATAGCCTTCCGTCACAAAATCTCATAAACACACAGTCAAATCGTTGTCAATACGATTTCCATATTTGGACATGTCCAATATTCATCTAGTCCAATGTTCAACCCTTAAAACCCGACATGATTCCAGGGTTCTGCTATCATTGCAAGGTTGTCAATGGATTAAAAATAAGGACAAAAATATATTCTAAAGGAGCAGTGGCCGCGGAAGCGTGGGTGGGGACAGAGGGACAATGTCCCCACGGTTATTTAATGTCCCCATCATCTCCCCAATGTTATATAGACCCCTCCCTCCCCTCCCCTACAATATTAATGTCCCCCGATGTCCCCACAACTTCCGCAGCCCCTGTTCTACCGTACAATTGAATAAAATTCCGTACTTCATGATATCACAGGTGCTACATCCACCATCAAAAATTTGGACAACATGTCACCCATTTATTAAATAAAACTCCTCTTTCTTTCACCAACCTCTGGACAGTTCATGTCCAAAAACGGAGTAGTCGTCGTCCTCCTTGGTGGAACAGTTCCAGCGCTCATGTCGAAACTGGAACTGGCATTCACGGATTCCTCTCCGAGCCCCGTCAGACACGGCTTGAATGGTGTCAGGGTAATTTTGGCAGACGTCAATCTGCTGGGCTACGAGGCCTGGGAGAGAACTGCACACCAGGCCGGCCGAGTAGCGGAACGCTTCCTCCGGATTTTCAGGCGCGTCCCCGGCCAACTGCATGTTCACGTCGCCCACGGGCTGGTCCGCCGGCACTGTCAGGGATTTCGTCGATATTCCCAAATACCTGTCAAATCAAGGCAAGAAGATGACGCTTGTTTTTTTACGACACTAATAATAAACAGGTCAAAATCTCGTCCATTTAGTTGGACGGATTAGTCGTCCAGAGCCATCAACAACCTTCTCTTCTCTTAGCTCCAGTTTAAAAGAGGAATCATCACGGTGAGTGAGAATTGGGCATAAAAATATGTAATCGGCTCCTCTTTTCGAAGGAGGAGGAGGACGAGCCAGTGAGCCGACAAACAACACAATGGGAGAAGAAGAAGTGTATTGTTGTAAAGGACGCATTGTGTTGAATGTTGCTCAGAAAGAAAATGGTCCGACTTGCTTTTAACCGTTGTGTAATAATAATAACTGAGGAGAAGCTGTAATGCTGCACCCAACCCACCTTCTTTCCTTTTAGTTAAGACCAGTCGCCGCGGAAGGGTGAGGGACAATGTCCCCACGGGGTTGTGCGATGTCGGCATCATCTCCCCATCTTGTATAAACCCCGCCCTCAGTGACAATGTCCCTACACCTTCCGCGGCCACTGGTTAATACCCTTCTCTCTGTGTCGTCTCTTTCCAATAATGCTTGCCTACCTGGAGGCCGAATCGTTCCGCCTAATTAGTATCACGTTACAAAATCCAGACTCTCATTTTATACCCTGCCTCCGGTCCCATTTTACAAATGACATGTCGCATAATGTACGAGAAGTATTCTTTTTTTGTGTGTTCTCGTTTTTTGACAGAGAGGAAAAATCTCGCTCTAATTATCCATCCACCATTTCTCCAAGAATATTATGCAAATTATGAAAATTTACGAGTACTGTAAATACTTACATCCATGATGCGTGAACGGTGGAGGCAACAAAAAGTATGGAAAACAGATGAATTAACCAGTTGCACAAACAACAATCTCTTCTCCACATTATTCTGCAGACAACAATGCAACACTTTACGGCACAGTCAGTCAACTTCTTTTTTCGAAAGGGGACGACGATCGTATTTTAGAAAAACTTGTATTTCTCTATTGTTACTGGGCATACTTTTTCTGGTCATTATGCCTTTATTGGAATCTCTACTTCTTTTTTTCAAAGGTTATATATTTCCTCACACAAATCTTTCTGCGGTTCAGGACGACGCAAGTTTTCCAAACAAATTACCACCACAATTCGGAGAGAATCCATTCATTGTGCAAAACAAAATTTTCACATTTTCGAAAAGTCCCTCAATTTTTCAAATTTCTTTTATTTTTTCGGAAATCTCACCCCCACACGCACCACTTCAGTCCATGCTAAACACACAAATTGACACGTCACTTAACACGTTTCGCGTCGTATGAAAAACCGAATCTCATCCCAGGACTGGAGCGTCTTTGGGCGAGATGGTGTTCAGCGTAGGTCAACTGCGGGACTAATATCTCGCAATCACTGCCGCACTGCTCGGGGTTTCGTTTCCAGAGACGAAACGAAACTCACTCAAGGTAAAAGGAAGGACCCACTCTGCTCACTTCTTCTTCTCTGAGGAATTCAATGCTGCTCAATTTGGGAATAAATGCCGAATAATGTTATGTATCTGCCTCTTCTGCTATTCGATTTGAGAATGAAATGTCGTCCTTTAATAAGTAAAATAAAACTATGTATGCATATACACCATCAATCCCTCATTGTTGCTGGCTCTCCTCTTGGGAAGAGCTCGGCAGGCAAACTGAGGAGCCAGCAGATCACTAAACAACAAACCAGCAGCAGGAGTATCACTGCAATCTCCAACTAAGCTTTTCCACAGCACGAGGGCAACCAAACCAAACCACAACCTCTAAAACATCATCAGTCAGTACCACTCTCGAGATGTGAAAGCAATTCAATGTTATTGAGAATCCTGCTATTACGACGAGGACTCTTTGGTTGGGTGGGTTTTGGTTGGTGGGTGTCTCACGCGGTGAGGGTGCATCTCGGTTGGGAACTTGTTTGGAAATTAATTTACGAAAAACATTCATTTATTTACCAATCTCAAGTTTGGAGAGGTAGGTAGTAGGAAATATTAAATTAATCGGATTGGTTTTCTGGAAAATTTTGGGACACACTTTCTCTCTCCATTTTACACTTCATCAATCTACACAGTTTTCCTAATTAATTTGCCCTGTCGCATTATTCATTGTTTAGTCAGGGATGAAGACACACACCACGCACAACAACTTTGCTTTCTTAATTCATCGAATCACACACACGGCCACGGCCACTGCCGGAAGAAGAAAACGGGGGAAAGTGAGGAGGAAATTGTAGCAGAAGCAGATCCCGAAAACGGAGATGAAACCACATCCCATCCACCAAAATTTATTTATTTCCTTCTAGAATCTCTCCTCCTAAAGCAAAGCATCCATTGCACAGAAATAGTTCCAGAAGAAGAAGAAGAACGGCATGCAGAACACAACTTGGACAGGACACCGACGACGAGGACGACGGTGCTTCTCATCCTCCTCCTTCCACCTCTGTATCCATCTATCTACGAGATCTCGATTGGATATGACAAGGAAAATTTATCTCGTCTTCTTCTTCTCATGGGTGACTTATCTTTCCTAAGATTAGGCCCAAAGTAGTCGCCCAACTATTTCCTATAAAGTTTATTCGCCAATTTCTAAAAGAAGTGGTGGTGGAAGCAGTTAAGGAAAAGTCTCTTTTTTCTGTATCAAGCAAGGAAAGACTAAAGATCCGACGACCCAAGGAGAACATGGGAAAAGTGGGCATGATGAGGAAACCCTTGCCTTTTTGTATCGAAAAGATCCTTCTGACAATAGGGGTGCAAACCAGGTTCAACCCGGATTATTTTGGGACCAGGTTAGTTCGAAAGGGGAACTCTTTAGAAATAACATTTAGTGCAGAAATTGAGCAAATGCGAAAAATTGAGCAAGTTCTGGGCGCCGCAAGCTCGCGAAAGGTCCGAGGTGCTGCCTCAAGGCACAGATTCCGAGCGTTTTCGCGAACTTGCAGCGCCCAAACCTTCCTGAATTTTTGTCATCTGCTCAATTTCCGCATTAAATATTGTTCCTAAAGAGTTTCTCTTTCGAACTAACATGGTCCCAAAATAATCTGGGTTGAACACGGTTTGCGTCCCCACTCTCAGTGAGAAAGATCCGTTTGAAACCCTTCAGTCGCCTCAGAAGAAGATCGTTCCCATTTACTCCGACACAGAGGCGGTCGTTGGAATTCTCTCTCTTTAAAAAAACGAAGCTCCTTCGATTCAAACCACATTTTTGATAAGGATACCGAACCAGAGAGAGAGAGGAACTTTCAAGAAGGAAGAAACTTCTTTTGATAAGAAGAAGAAGAAGGGATTGATAGACGAGGAGGAAGAGTTGTGTGCGTTCAAAAAGGTAAATCTTCACTCCTAAATGGTATAGTTTCTCCTCTTTACGAGATGATATGGAGAAGAGATGTTCATACGTAAAAGACGACGACGATGATGACGACGATGCCGGAGGTTTTGGTTAGTAAAAAGTCTGAGCAGAAGCCTTTAGGGGTCAGTTTCTCTTCTTCTTCTTCTTCTTCTAAATACTTCTTACGCGTATGAATCTCATCTCTTTTCGTCTAATCTCATCTTCATCGAGTCACAAAATTTAATCAAACTTCACTCCAAGAGATACATCCCAACTTTCCACATGTTGTGTGTGTTAAAACATATTATAATAATTTTGAAATCTTGCATCACATCTTTACTCGTCTCACCTACATGAGAACATAAATATGCGCGTATTAAAATAATGTATGGCAGGATATCGTAAAGTATATGAAATGATGATGATTGCTGTTTTTTCTAGCTCCGTAATCTTTCAAGTATGCGACTCGGGTGAAAAAATTGATGAAAAAGATACACGTTTTTTATGTAAGTTTTGTAATTTTCATAGATAAGGGCATAACGTTGTCGTCCGGATAAGTGTACAAATATGCAGTAGTATTAAATATGAAAGACTCCGTTTAGTAGGTTTGCCGTTTTTCTTCTTTGACTGCTGGCTATTAGACGACTTTTACATATGTAGGAATCAATGGCCGCGGAAGGGTGAGGGGACAGAGGGGCAATGTCCCCACCGTTATTCGATGTCCGCATCATCTCCCATCTTATATAAACCCCACCCTCCCCTATCCTACAATGTTAATGTCCCCACGGCTTCCGCGGCCACTGGTTCGGCATCCTTCCTCTGTATGAAAAAGAACGGTTTTTAGTGTTCCAACCGTCTTTCTCGAGAGGAAAAATATCCGAAAGAAGCAACAATCCAGCCAAGCATGGAGAGAGTCAAGACGAAGATCGTTTCAAAACAACAAGAACACTTACTGTTCTGTTCCGTACACGACCATCCATCCATCCTCCTCCAGGAATGAATTGAATCCGGCATTGAACTGACTGAGAAGAGAACTGGGAATGTTTCAGAAAATTCCTGATATTCAGACAACAAGAAAAATTGCAGAGAAAATGGGAAACGAGAGAAGAAGAAGAATGAATCAGAAGAGAATGTCATGTCATTCGAATGCATACACAGATCTACAATGTTCTCGTCTTTGTGTTCTTCTTATTGTCCTTGTATTTGGTCCAGTTTAGCAAATGGGACGATTATTCATTCACATGAGAAAGAAAGGAGAGAAAATAATAAAATGTGAGATTTCTCTGGAAAAAATGATGGTCTGGAATGGAACCTCTAACCCAACAACACATTTACATTGCGGGCGCACTGTGTATGTATTTATATCCCAGTAAACACAGGGGATGCCGGCCCCAGTACGGAATTCCAGGGTCGAAAGGGTGCCAATTTTCCAATATGCACAGAATTACATACGTATTTGAACCTTAAGGACATTTTCTCGTCCAAATTTTTTATTAAAGTAGTGTTTTTTTAATTGTAACGGACTTGACTAACCTCGTCGAGATAAGTTCTTACGTGTATAATTCGATAACACGAAGGTTTAATGAAAAGCAATGTGTAGTTTGACTTTATTATGGATTTTCGAGCCTTTTGTTAATCTACATTAATTCATTTTCAAGATTAAGAGAAGATTCAATATTTTTTGAAAAATTTTCTACCTGTTTAATCAGTGTTTATTTTCGAAATTCACAAACGTATATCATACACACAAACGGGGCAAATTGCCGTTAATCCCGTAATTCTGTGCTGTTTACTGGGATATGGCTTATTTTCTTTTACGATAACTACATATATACCTCTACCACACATGACAAGTTTGGGAATATGAAATTATTTCAGATCCAATGGACAATACTACCATTTTCCATAATCATTCATCATGACCAGAAAGAGACACGTTACTATTATGGATGCATTCGGATTATTGCAGATATTATTCCCCACAACATTATCAAATTACTTATTGGACAATTAACTTTAATTAAATTGGTGCAAATAACAATGAGACTGACTCAGATTTTGTGTCCTAATAATGCGTATTAAGCCGTAACAAATTTCATTTCGAGTAATAAGCCCCCAATAAATTTTCGTTATTTGACCCTCTCACTTTTCTCGAAAACTTGTCAAACTTTGTCCATATTTCGAGTGTCTCACTTCTCCTCCAACCTCACATCCACCCAGCAATATGTGAAGCACTACTAGTGATTTTTAATTGTCCCCTGATTACATCAAGAGTCAGGATGATACGCACGTTTTACAATGTCATCATCATCCCCGTAATGAATAGCCTTCACCCCTCCGACTCTATCCACACATACGCACAAGTTCAAAGAAGAACAAGAACACGGCTTTCATTTTACTCATTTATGCATGAAAAGTTAAGCATCACAAGAGCTGCATTAATTTGCATTCAGTTAAGTCTCCTATCCCTAAAAACGAAGTAGTTATCAGCATGAGTATCTTGTTCCCAAAGTATGATCAGAAATAGGTTGCTCTGCACAGTGGCCGCGGAAGCCGTTGTGGGGACATTAACAGGGGAGGGACGGGTTTATATTTAAGATACCGACATCGAACAACCGTGGGGACATTGCCCCCCTCCCCCTTCCGCGGCCCCTGGCTCCGCAGATTCATCCCGAGAAGAAGAGGAGGGTTTTACGTGGTATGAACAGTGGCCGCGGAAGACGGAGGAACAATGTCCCCACGATTATTCGATGTCCCCATCATCTCCCCATGTTATATAAACCCTTCCTTCCCCTCTTCTACAATGCTAATGTCCCCACATGTCCCCCCACCTTCCGCGGCCACTTCGTATGAATGAAGCTCATTTCACGAAGCGGTCGGTCCATGTTCACAGGAAAGTAAGCCTTTTATGAGCGATTTTCATGCTGCCGTATGCCATCTTCCTCGCAAAGAGACACGTGAAGGCCCAACGAGAAGGAAAATATCCGACTCGCAGTCTCATAGTCACATCCGTTGCACCAGCTCATCAAAGTATTCACAGACATCGTGTGTCCGTCCAATTTCGCCGCTCTCGTACTTTCATAAGCCTGCCCTGCTGAATAGTTAAGCTGGCTGGGTGGGCAACGGGTTGGGGAAATCGGACGGGATTCTCTCGTCCTCCTCCTCTTTTATTTATGCCCCGTTCATAATTCGGTTATTACATTGTAATAATAGGAATGAAATCAAGAGGACTCAAGTGCTGTGGGCTTTCTAGGCTCAGATTCGCTCCTTCTATGCAACAATGTTGCACCAGATGCTCACTTGTACACAAAATTCGCAGCAGTAAACTTGTTCCCCTGCACATTCTGGCTGATTCGAGACGGATAAATTTCCAGATGCAGGGACGAATATATTTATCCTTCTGTACTACCCACCCTTGACTCCAGTTTCAAATCCGAGCTCCGATTTCGGGGAAAAAATCACAATTTTATGCATTACAAATAAAGAGACAAATGGAAGGATGGATGGAAAGTAGAAAGTTAAACATGCCCATGTACACGCACTTCATGTCCGAAATATGTGCGAGAGTTAAGGTAAATATGAATATGAAATTGTGTATTGTGTTGTGGGATCTCATCCGCAAATGCAAATTGCGACGCGTATGTATCGCCACGATTTGCAAATATGCATGGTACTACCGTATGCATTCAATTTGCATTTTAAATCTGTCTGATTCCGCAACTGGGGAGGAGGATGAGACCAGTGGCCGCGGAAGCGGTGGGGACATTAACATTGAAGGATGGGGGGAAGAAGGGCCGGGTTTATATAAGATGCCGACATCGAACAACCGTGGGGACATTTAAACCGTCTCTGTCCTTCCGCGGCCACTGGCCGAGCCTGGATTGGATTTTGTTCGTACAGCAAAATAACGGAGCGAGGAGGGCTGGGAAGGAAAAGACCTAAAATAATTTAGAGACTTGTACAACAGCACAATGTAGAAGAAGAATCAAACTGTCAGAGATATAAAATTCGATGGGAGAAAGACTTTGCGGAAGATTTGTGAAATATATAAATGTATGGAGGAGCGAGCATTATTATTATTTCGAGAGGACCCAATCCTCCCCGGAGGAAGAGAACATAAGTACGTAAGTAAGTAGGCTCTTCTTCTTCAAGCTGGCTGAGTGAATCTTTTTTGAGGACGCCGAGCAGTAGTGAATCAGGGAGGAGGATGTTGGTAGCGGGTAGTATGAGACAAAAGGGCTAAACAAATTTCTTAGAAAATCGGAATGACACTTGGATCCTCTGACGAGCTCAGGAATGATAATGAGCTCAGTGCTTAAATTTTACTACCCACTTTCTCCCCTCACTCACTCACTGTTGGGGATGTTGGGTCCCAACTGGGGTGTGGTTTTTGTGAGAGTTTGAAGTGTGATGTTCAATCGTATGGATGGTAACAGGGTGGAGATGAATACTTTTATGAGAGATTATGGTGTAGTTGTAAACTGAGGCAAGTTGAGAATAATCAGGCAGAGACGAGTGCACAATGGTTTAAGGTTACTTCAAGTCAGGATTTATGCAATTTAAATATTGTTACAAGTTTGATAAAAATGGGAAAGATTGACGCTACTCACAGCAGCTTAGGTAAAAGAATGACAGCGAGGTCGACTTGTCGACCAATATTTATAACCTTATTTGAGAGTGAATGACCAGTCAAATGCAAAAATAGAAACCTTGAGTTTGGGTTGAAAACTGGAAGAATACAGAATACTGAGAAATTTGACGGCTAAAAACAATGTTAGAAACTGGTCAGATTCACAAAGGTAGGAGGCTTGCATGAAGTACAGATAATTACATTAGTTAAACGAATGCATGTGCGTCATAGTTAAGATATGTAAAAACTCGGAAGGAGACAAATTTAGATAAGGAAATAAACTGAACAGAAAAATCATGAGCATTATACAATTCTCAACACTCACAAAAGGAGAAAAGCAGGCAGAACCGAGTTCATAAATCCCAGCAGAGTTTAATCAGATTACTTTCTCCTTTAGCAACCGTCTCCAATGTCCAGTTCAAGTAATTCGTCAAACCCCATGCACAAAGTAAGAAGAGAGCGGTACAACTAACTATAGGCGTATGTAATCAGTGGCCGCGGATGGTGTGGGGACATCTAAGGGAACATTAACATTGTAGGATAAGGGAGGGCAGGGTTTATATAAGATGAGCAGATGATGCCGACATCCAACAACCGTGGGGGCATTGTCCCTCTGTCCTTCCGCGGCCACTGGTCGTAGATGATCACGGCAATACTTAATCCACCTCTCCACCACAACCATCGTCATACGTATCATTCATTCTTCCCGAGAACAAGGCAAGTTTGCCATTTCAACCGCAGCAGGTAATTTATAATTCGTTTCGTATATATGCGGTGGGATTCTGTGCGCGTGGGAGGAAGGAAGGAAGCGAAGATCTTATCCCACATTAAATATTAAACTTGACTAAATACAGTTCAAAAGGGAGGAAAATCTGGTTAATTAAGGTTGATCAACGTGTCTCAATCGTTAACCACTATTGTTCCTTGGGCTACTTTTTCAAAATAAATATTTTTGATATTTTTTTTCATCAAAAAATTCCTTCTACACCAAATTATCATTCCTTGCTTTTTTCATGGGTGCTCAAAATCATCATAAATAAGTATGCACAACGGGTTGGGTTAACTTTTTGAGAAGAATTGAATCATTTTTTTTCTCCCATGAAATGCACCCACTTAATGATCATACCTACACGTTATTATTATGCAGTGCCCACACCACACTCACTCACTGCATGACGCGATATTCATTTTATTACAGCCAAATTTGTAAGTATGAAGTACTTGAAACGAAGAATTGCAAGGGGGCGAGGAAGCCAGGAAGGAAATATTGCAGCGAAACATGCAGAGAAATAAAATGAAAATAAAATCTTGGAGATACTCTGGATTCTAAAATCTGTCGGATTATGGAGTAAGTAAATCACTCATGTGTTATGCAAAGAAGGGAGAAAAAAAGATCAAGGGGTGAGGAGTGAGATCAAATCACAACTCTTCAAAATCGAAGGAACATATTATTCTTGGTCCGTGAGTCCTCGGCTGACTTCCTGGATTTTTTTTGGATTCGATCACAAAGACAGGATGGTCGGATGCCATCGCGACTATTAACTTAACACAGATCCAATAACTGCACTAAAACTACGGGAAGAAAATAAATATACATGACATTTGAAACACAATCAACAACACGTATCCGTTGTGTACATACACAACCCGGAGTACAAAGCTAACCACACCCGATAAATAAATCCAATCCACCCTGTTGTTTGACCCTCACAACCTACTCGTCAAAATAGAACGGCAATAATAAGTTGGGTATGTATGGCGTCCCATTAGGCTGTCTAATGATGGACGTACCTACGTATATACAGAGGATGTCTCTCTACTTGAATGAACATGGGGGTCACATTTTTGAAAATTTTCAGTCTAAAAAATTCGCTTAAATTAATTTATTGATTTCCTTAAAATATTTCGAAAACCATTTCGGTTTATCTTTTCTCGGCTTGTGGGGAAAAAAATCTCTAAGATTGTTCCAGAATCGTGGAACATCCTTTGTATATTGACAAACAGCCAATAAGTGCGTGAACCATACTCCATTCTTGTAATGGAAATATTTCCAAAGTCCAGCCAGGAGTGGCAACGGGTTTCATATGACAATAGGCAGCAATGACCGCTGCTCGATACCGGAGGCGAAGACCACATCTTATAGAACGCACATAAGCAAATGCATCTCTAAAGAGTGAGATGATCGTGAGCAGGGGCCGCGGAAGGTGTGGGGACGTTAACATTGCAGGATAGGGGAGGGCCGGGGTTATTAAAGATGGGGAGATGGTACCGACATCGAACAACCGTGGGGACATTGTCCTCTTTGTCCCCTCAAGCTTCCGCGGCCACTGGACATCCCAACCAAACGGCTCCTTGAGAACAAAGATTTATGTTTCTCTCCCGTGTCTTTCCTCATCAGGAGGATAAGTTCGGTCGGAGAGCACCCAACGCATGACGAGAAGATGCATGCACGCATAGTAAATAAGTAATAATGAATCTCTGCGATGATACCAGTTCCATGCCCGATAAGGGTATCGTGAAATGAAGCCTCGCTCTCTCTCTAAACGCTTCTGACAATGAGGCGTTTTGTAGAAACACGAAAAGCGACTCGGCCGAGGAAGAAGAAAATGAGTGAAGGTGTCTGAATTCCCGTCCTCCTTGGTGTGATGCATATTAGTGAGGGCATGATGTAATGGTTGTGGTGCTTATGCCTGCAGGGTACTCACTCATCTTCTCCCATGTACGAGCGAGCAGGCAGACCTCAACCTTTCCACCAAACCGAATGACAGTCTCCCTGGGTGGTCAGCGATTAATGTCTAACAAGCTCTAATAAAGGACCCCTGCGCATACTTGGGCCCTCCATCACGTAAATGGGGACGGACGTACACTTTGTTAGAGGTGGATGGATGCAGGATCATCATTAATATGTGAACAAACTTTGGCGTTAAATAGCTTCACATTTCATCCCTTTTGCTCCTAATGGCCCTCTTCCAGCCAGCTTATTAGACACGGTCACAATTACCAGGTGCTCATGAGAGGAGAGGACGACATCAGTGTCGAGATTGGTTAGGGGTATGGAGCAGTGGCCGCGGAAGGGTGAAGGGACAGAGGGACAATGTCCCCAAGGTTGTTCGATGTCCCGATAATCTGTCCATAATGCTATATAAGCCCCTCCATTCCCCATATCCTACAATGTTAACGTCCCCAGATGTCCCCACGGCTTCTGCGGCCACTGATAGGCAGAGATGATGATGACCCTTCAAGACCCTCGTACGTTCACAAAGATGCTACACATTTTTTGTGCATGTATTTATACAAATTTCCGGTTCTAAACTATTTAACGTCGAATATTCATAGTTAGTTTTTTTTCTCGAAAAGGGGTTGAATTGGAGGTGAGATGAAATGGGAATATGTTGTCTCGTAGAATAAAATGTATGTAAATTATGATCGAGATCTTTTTTTATCCGTCAGTAAAGGATGAGATGGTTTTGAAGGGTGATGAGGTATACTACTTTTTTCTACTTATTTTATTACGGGTGACGGGAACCTACTTATTTTCTGTACTTATCGAAGTCTATTTATCATGCAATAATTCCGTAGATAAGTCCGCTTATCACAAAAACTGAGGTATTCTAGTCCAGGAAGTTTTTTTCTACTCTGCCGATGCCAGGGCCATCCCTCGACCAGAAGGACAATGACTGAACAAAGAAACCATATTTTATGGTAAAGATCCTCTTGTGGTAGTGGCGTAACTTTTTTGTTTTTATTTGCATGAGCTCGTTGTTAAGTTAAATTGGTGAAAGCATAGGAGGCACATTTATCTTTATATCCTTAATTAATTTATGCATGTATTTATGTAGATCAGTTCTGAGAAGTCATTTTATACTCCAGAGAGAGAAAAAAAACGCATTAATTAATATTACAAAGTCCCAATTATTAACCAGACATTCGTATCGTATTTATCTACCAGGGAGAGACATTATAAGTACTTTACTCGTTACCAACTTGCGCCAATGTTATAAGTACTTTAACTATGGCGCAAGTTATTAAGGAGTGAAGTATAATAAAGGCAGGTAATTTAAAATCGTGATAAGACTTCATAAGTGAGAAAAAGTGCGTAGGCTCGATAGCAGCAGTCAGTTCAATGGTTATTAAGTACACGTGAAACTTATTTAAATATTATTACAATAAGTTGGTTTGGTTGACTATTTTATGTTTTTTAAATGGTGACACGTTTTTTTCTTGGTCTACTTTCTCCTCCAAGGTTGCTGTTGATTAGTCGTAGTCGTCGTCGTTGGAGGACTCGTTTTTCCCACAACTTCCGGTGGATTGTTTGTCGGCGACAATAATCCGACTCGATAATGCCCACTTTTTTTCTTTGGGGTGGAGGATTCATCTGAAATTAATAATCAAAAAGTGGAGAAATGAAGAAAGTTTTCATTTCATCAAGTTGAGCAAAAGATTTATTTTTTTTGTAAAAAACGCTACCCTACTTTACGAAATATTTTATAAAAAATTACATTATTACTCGAGAGAAGGAGAAAAAAATGAGGAAAAAAAAGAATAAACAAATTATGTAAGAAAGACGTTAATACAAAGAAGTACAGATTTTTAATTAATTATTATTATGATTACAATTATTATTCAAGTTTACAAGAGTACATTAACTAAATTCTTATAAACGTGTACATTTCCCTGAGAAGAATTTAAAAAATGATGAAATATTATTACATAGAGGTGGAAAATTATTGACAAAAAAGCGTTACAAATGGAGCACAGGACAATTTAAGAAGGTTCGATATTATGACTACTTAAGACAGGAGGGCGTTCAGATTAAAAATAAGAATTGATAGAATGACAAACAACACAACAAGTTGGGTATTTTTTTTACGAAAAAGCAAGTTCATTTCATTGTTTTTTAGTTATTATTACATGACATGTGTAACTATTATGTAACTAAATGTAGGTATAGTTTTTGTTGAGCAGGTGTATCTAATTATCAGATAAGTCGACAAGAAACAGAGAGCAATTTGTCATTAATTTTGTACTGACCAGGATTTTCTTTGCTACCACCTTTTGACGACCCCTTCATCCCTTTGCCTTCCCCGGAGGATGATTTCGGTGCGAGATTCTTCCTAACCGGCAATTTCGACACTTTTACCAAAGGATGGCGATGAATGGGAGTGGAACTCGTGGTCGTGGTGGTGATAGACTGCTTATCGCTTGTCGCTTTATTATTCCTCGTCGTTGTGGAGTCTCCCGACGTCACGGAAGATTTTACTTCCGTTCGACCACGTCCTCCTCCGGCCCCACTCTTTCGTCCTCCTCCTCCTGAGGTCACGGGGTCATTCAGTGCGGCTTTATTACTCGAGACAACTTTCGCCATCTTGCTGATGGTGGTGCTATGAATTCCGGATTTGACTGAATTTCGAGTAGTCGGCCTTTGTTCGGACTCCGTCTCACTGGTGACCAACTTGTTGGGATTTGAAGATCTACTACTGCTCAGTGTCGCACTTGGAGGAGGAGGTGGTGGTGGTAATGAACGTTCTGGTTCCTTCGTCCCACGTCCCCCTTTGCTTCTGCCTCCTCCACTTGTCCTATTTTTCATGACCTGGGTCGAAGAATGGACCAGAATGGAGTCGGAATCTCGGTCCACAACTTCTTCCTTGTTGGACAACTGTAAAACTGGGAGGTCAGGCAGGGACGTTGGACCACTTCGACCACCACCACCAATCGGTTCAAGTTTTCTATTATACTTTGACGTGATAAAGGAGGGCGTTGGTACGATGGAGACGATGTGACTCTTCATCCCATCCTCGTCCTCTTCCTCATTCATTCTCCCGTCATCCGACCTGGACTCGTTCCTGGATAATGATGACGTGACGACAGGGTGACGTTGCCACGGGTAGACGACGGCGGACACTTTGGGCACTATCCTGTCAGCGAGGACAGTTTTAGCCCTGGGTCTGATAAAGTCATCCACCCAGGGAGGCTGCTCTGGCGGTTGACTAGGCGTGGAGCTGTACGTCGGCTGTTTTCCGACTGAGTCCCAATCCAAGATCCGATGTTCACGGTTGCGAGCTTTCGAAATCCATTCGGGTTGTTCACTCGAGTGATGCCCGAGTTTTAGCAGGGTGAGTGACCTCGCATTACTGGTTTTTCTGTCGGATGATGCGTCCTCAACATTGGAGTAGGCTGGACCCTTCCAGGTGTGGTCCATGCTCAGGATGGGTTCCGGACTAGGGTCTGCGTTTACTAGGGCAGGCGTGACGGAAGTGGTGTTCCCATCGTAGTCGCCAATCGTGACGATGGATTTTGATGCAGATTTGTTGTTCGATGTGGACGAAATGGTGGCGGCGGACATTGCCAAATTGTTATTGGCCAAAGTAGTATTAAGTCTCTTGTTGATATTATTGTTATTGCTGTCGTTCGGGCTCCACTCCAAGTCTGGATTCTTGTAGTAGGAACGCTTGATAAGGTCAGAGATTCGTTCCGATCTGGACGAGTAGGATGTTTCGGATGACGGATGATGGCTCGGCGTCTGTTCTTCTTTTTTCTTGAGGTGTCGACTGTGGTCAGAAAAATGCTGCTTTTTCTTGTCCTCCCTTTCGTGCAGGGGTGGAAGAGCGCTACGGTACGAGTGAAAAGGGGGTGGAGGCGAAGAAGGTGGACTTTCAGCCATGTGATTTCGTCTCACCCCGCTGCCTCGTTCATTGTCAAAGTCGTACCTCAGCTCAACCGAAGTTATTTGCGGATTTGGCCTCCCAGTCGCAACTCTTGCCTCCATTCTTGCAATCGGTTGGGTGGCGACCGGATTTTCCGGGGTGATGGAGACGCTACTCCGATTATCCGATTCAGACATGTCGCGTCCCCCCTTTTTATTCGTGTTGTTCATTTCTATCAAACTTCTCCGTGTCGCGAGTGGGACGAATGAGCCGTTTTCGTAGAGCACGTTGTTAAATCGGTACGTGTTGGGTTGGTTTTGGTCGTCCAGGTCGAAATTGAAGGTTTGTTTGCCAGCCTCTGACTGGTGCTGAGATGGGGGCGACTTTAAGCGGCTGAGATACCTTTGGATTTTCAATTCTTCATAGTTCGAGAATATGTTGTGACTTGGTGAGTCTGTGTCGGAGGCGGTTGGCATTAATCGTGACTTGGCGACTCTGGGTTGAATTTCTAAGATGTAACTTTCATCCAGAGTGGCTGTGGGTGGTTCAGAGGGTTTGTAGTCGTCGTAAAATAGTGAAGGTTTGTTCGACTGGGAGTCATTTTTGGTGTGGGAGGAGGATGATGGTAAAGGTTGTTCTGCTTGTGGTTCTGGTACTTCCGGAGCTTGCAAAAGGTGTGAAGAGGTCCGTTTGTCACTGTAATCCTTCCCAAAAAGCCAGTGTTTCTGGTTTTTCTCGTCGCTCCATACACTTTCCCCACTTTTCTGGGATAATAACGACGTCGACGATGGGGTGCTTTCAGTCGAAGTTTGATTCGTGGGCGTGGTAGCAATCTCACTCTCTCCACTTTTCGTCCGGTCCTTCTTCTTTCTGCGGAACAAGTGCGACGTGGAAGGCTTATTCTCATCAGTTTCTACAATGTGAAACTTCCCCGAATCCGCCGTAAAGTGAACTTCCGTCTTACAAAATTCCACCTTTTTAGCCCCACGTCGAAAGTGATCATGCGTCGCGGAAATGCTCGTCGTGACATCCTTGTCGCGAACCTTTTGCGAAGGTTTGTTCATATCGGCGGAAGAAATCCAAGTTTGTGACACTTGAGCTGGTCGTAAATTTCCGTTGATATCCACCTCGTCATTGTCATCGTCATCCTCTTCGTCACATTCTCTCGAGGAGTATTTCTGATTGGAAAAAGTGTACACATTTTCCACCATATTGGAATATTTTTCCTGCTGACCTTGGTCACTCTTCCTGGGCGCAGTTGTCCGCCCAGCTTCCAAAATTCGGGAGAGTGAATCATTCAAAAAGCTCAGTTGACGTTGTGTTTGCCATTCTTCTTCCTCATTGTTGCTATTTTCTTCATTGTTATTATTATTATTTTGACCCCATTTGTCTTCTTCAGAATGGGAGTACTTCCCTCCCGACATTTTCGACATGACGGTCGGAGTTTCATGCAGCATTTGCAACAGACGGCGAGATCGTTCCAACGAGGGGGACAAAAGTGGGGGGGATGGTGACAGCGGTTCCTGCTGGGGGGAAGGTGGTCGTTCTTCTTCCCGTCTTGTGTCATAAGCCTCTCCTCCCTGACCGAGACCAGATTTCGCCGAGAAATTCAACTTTGACGGAGTAACCATGTAGTTATCCTGACCAAAATATTTGTCACTTTCGAACGTGTTCATCACACTGTGTCCTTTCGCTCTTCCCTCAATCTGAATCGGAATCGGGGTACTTTTCTCAAACGTGTTCTCGTCATAGGACATGAAGGGATTATTGTTTTCGAACATCTTTCCGCCGCGTTCGTTTCCTGGTTTCATCTTATCGTAAAAGTTGGTCCAAGGTGGTGGCGAAGGGGACTGGATGATTGGAGAGGGGGAATTGTGACGCCGTAGGTGTTGGTCCATTGGCGGTATCTCTTCCGGGACGTTCTCTCCGCCGTGATGATGGTGGTGGTGATGGTGATGATGATGGTTATCGTCATCATCACTGGGGGGAAACAGGTTCAAGTAGTTTGAAGCAAATTTATTGCTGTTATTATTATTATTGCTCGAAAGCAATCTCGAGGAATCCGCATGCGAGTCGAAAGATTCCAACTCATACGATTTCTTTCTCTGGGGGAAACCGAAGGTGGATCCTTTCTTCTCGGAGGAGGATGATGATAAGCCAAACTGCCTCGCAGGAGAAGATTCTCTCTTCTTCGCGGTATCATTTTGATAAGGCCCCGACTTATCGTCACCTTCTCTTCGTACCGGTACCTGGAGAACGTCGTCATCATCGTCCGAGTCCATCCCATTTCTTCGCTCCATATGCGACGACGCACTTCCTCTCAACCGACTTTGCAACTCGAGCTGAATTTCTACCGGAAATCCGACCATGACTCCGCGAAACTTGGGAGTGATATCTTTAAACTCGACGATGGATAAGCCACTGGCATGGTTCATCATGACGCTTGATCGAGTCTGCGGTGGAGGCGGAGTATTTCTCAAGTTGTCGTCTGAATCGACAATAATTTCGTCTTTGATTTCCACCTCGCTATCGTCCGGACTAGTTGACACGATGGGGGCGGGTGTGACTGGGGTGTGCCTTCGGGTCGGGGGACGCCTCACCCCCATCGTCCCGCTACGGCTGACATTTATTCGTTCCCGTTGAGTTGACGTGTCCAAAGGTTGAAACGTTAACTGGGCAAAATAATTTCGTAATTTACATAATTTTATCAAAAAAAATGTCACAAAAACTTACTCCAAGGTGCTCAAAGTCATCGGATCGGCCCCCACTCACAGTCACAGTCTTTGTTGTGGTACGGTTGCTAGTGTTCTAGAATTATAAAATGAGACCCAGGATGAAAAAAAGTCATCACATTCATGACGAAAATACTGAATCAAATTTATTACACGACTATTAATAAAGTAAACAGTAAATTATTTATTTATCATCCTCCTCGTGCATCCTCCTGGCACAATAATTAGCATGTGGACAAACAACGGACTGATGTCATTCATGCATGCATGCGGTTTTTGTATGTATGTAGACCTGAATATTTATTACTTGCATCATCACAGGAACCGATTTAATGGCCTTGAAATGTGATAAAAGAGAGAAAAAAATATAGCGTCATTTGGATGTAAGTACGAATGTTTTTCTTCTTTTTTTTCAGGACACACCTACCACCACGAATTTATTTAGATACCTGCATATGATGTCGATTAGGCGTCTGTACCAGTGGCCGCGAAAGCTGTGGGGACATTAACATGGGAGGGCCGGGTTTATATAAGATGGGGAGATGATGCGGACCGTGGGGACATTGTCCCTGTCCTTCCGCGGCCACTGGTGTGTCCGGCTATTAGTGTGCATGTACATATGTACGCAATAATGAAAACTAATGTAAATACATAAGTGTACACATGACGAATGATACGTGTCTCAAGTTTACGACCGTCGGGGGTTGAGAAAGCGTTTGAAAACCAATAATAATTTACCAATGATAATAATAATACTACATAACATCATCTCTCTCATTTTCACATCTACATATGCACTTAAATAGACGCCACGAAACGATATCGTATCGTATCGTAATTCACGGCTCGGTGGCCACACTAAAAGTTTGTTATCCTGCCAAGAAAGAAAATCAAACAAAACGTGAAGTATTTGCAGGAAGACACTGCGAATCTCTTAAATAGATAGTTTACTTGGCTTGGTTTGAACCAGTTAGATATTTATTGATGGAGGAGGAGATTATTCATGAAATGATTCATTTCTTTATTATCAAAATTAATCATCTCACTTCAATTCATACTTTAGCGTGAAGCATATTTTTTTAATTCGTCCAAAAAAACATCAATTTCCAACTTAGGAAACTCGAATTTCGAAACATTACTGCGGAGAGGAAACGATTTATTAAACTTTCTTTAAAACCGCGATGGTATTAACTTGACCAAAGGCTCATTTCTCATCTTGACGTGGCAGCCTAGTCGTCATTACAATATCCGATATGACGACGACCATTGTTGGGAAGTAAGAAAAAAGTATCTAGTGTACTAAACCACCTTGAAATTGATCCATGTCTACGTAAGTACTGCATGATGACAAAGGAGCCTGTTAACTCGTGTGGAACTTTTACATACTCGTATTCAGTTCAACTCATTGATTCATGTGTCACTATTATTATTGTTGTTATTATTATTATTGAATCTGTATAAGGCTTGTAGAAGAACTGCCATTGTGAGAAATGAGGTAGAACCATGTACGGCAGTTGCAGGAAGCCGACACATAAATTCCTCCAGCAGAAAACTTTTGTTCGTGGAAATAGATAATAATGATTGGAAAATAATTACGTACAAAACCCAGGAACTCGAAAGTATTTATGCAATTGCGGAACGACTGACAGGCTAAAAATCTTATGCAGGAAAACTTGGCTATTGTTGAAACGTGATGCGTATTGTTTGCTTGGAAATAATAATAAATATCGCGTCCAGAAACTGTGCTTCTTCTCGTCGAAGGTAAAATGTGCATGTAAGGAGGTGGTCGTGGTAAAAAGTGATGAAATTTTAATATTGACATTGACACAGGCACATAACAAGAGTGACAGATTGTGATCTGCATACATACATATGTAAATCATTATGGATTCCTAGAAGCAGATCGAGATTGTTGAAGAGATATGTTTAAAGTAGCCGATAGATTTTCCTCTCAGACTGAAAGACTTGATCGGCTGGATTTGATTTGGTTTGATTTTCCTAATTATTTTCCTAATTATTTCGCTGACCAGTTAGTTACTTGGTTGGTTTTAACTTCCTAATTAAAATCTGGCCGGATCGAAGCAAACAAACGTGAAAGATAACATCGTAAATTTGTACCCTCTCTCCAATTTGGGATTATTCAATCAGAATAAAATTAATGCGTTCAAAAAATTATTAGCTGGCGTCTAGCTGTGTAAATAAATACATGAATGTTTGGAGAGGGGTAAAAAAGTCTTTCTTTTTTTACACCCCTCGTAAAACGTAACTTGCCGACATTTACGACATTATAATGTTCTCCTCATTATTTATGCATGTCGTTCGTTCGTGGATGTGAAATTAAGAAGATATTTTTTCTGTGTTTACTCACCTTGCTGGTACTCCGAACCCCTCTGGACGAGCTCATTTGATACGACGTGGAGGAACTTTGGACCAAAGAAGAGTTGAGATTGTCATTCTCCGTGTGAAAATGCGAATGAGAACGGACAATTTGAAACTGCGAGTCTGGAGCTTGTCCTTGAATCACTTCCGTCCGCACTTGTTCCTCACCGCGGTCCGATTTCTTGCAGTCTTCTTGCTATCCAAGTAAAAATACAATACACAGATTGAATATTTCCCGATATTTTATGAAGAAAACAGAAGAATTGGTGCACACAGACCCACGACTTTTCAATAAATGGAGCCCCATCGAGAAAAATGAATTAATATATATCGTCTAAATAGGAGTCTTGACACTAATTAACCCACATTTTATGGGCATCGGTTAGGTGTGTCTTCTCCTGATTTCAGATTCATATTCTTCACAGGTATTTGTTTAGTATGGTAAGAAAATAAAATAAAAGTGGTTCTTCTGGATGATTGCGGCGTGCATGTACAGAATCCATTATTCATTCATCAACGAAAACACGTATGTATCTATCTACAGATAGATACGTGATAATCGATTATGAGACTAATTGCAATTAGAAAAAGTGGATGAATTTGTTACTTAAGAAAAAAACAGTAGTAAATTATTTCTCGAAAATGTATCTACTCGGCGATAAAAGTATCGAGGAGTTGGAGTGGAATTGGTGGTGGATGGAATGGAATGGAATTAATATCTAGATTCAGAACCAGTGGCCGCGGAAGGGTGAGGGGATAGAGCGACAATGTCCGCACGATTGTTCGATGTCCGCATCATCCGCCCATCTTATTCAAACCCGCCCTCCCCTATCCTACAATGTTAATGTCCCCCACGGCTTCCGCGGCCACTGTTCAGAACTGGACATACGAACGAACGACTACCACCACCTGAACTATGATGATGATCATCATCAGGGAGTCTTCTTCTCAGCCTGCGTGGGTGTCACTTGGTACTTTTCAGTAATGTTCCACCTGGCAGCAGTTTTATTATCCAAGCACTAATAAAACGTGATCTGGGGGATATTTTGGCATGGAAAAAACAAGCTCTGACTAAACTAAAGCCTCCCAGTCCTTAAATCAACCGTGGCAGTGATTTCATTCGTTTTTAAAGCTTTTTTTACATCCCCACTCACTGACACAACTGATTTATTCCATGTAAGAAGATTCCTATTTGTAAAATGTTTGTTGATCCTTCTGCTGCTAAATGTCTCTAGTTCTTTGAACTACTCGCCATTAATAATCATTTTACTGCATATGTAAATAGTTTAGGCTGGTGATAACTGTTTATCCGAAAAAAATGTGGCCTTTTTCGACACAAATTTTTCAAAAAGGTTCCCATGTAATTTCTTTAATATCTTAGAAACTATAAATTCTGGCACGGAAATAAATTTCTGTAAGGAGATAAAACCATGAAAATTCACAAATTCCTCCAGATAACCTGTTAGAATTTCTAGGGCCACATTTTTTTCTTCTGAACTGTAGTATGTACATAACATAATTTTGTGTGCCCACCTTTTGGTACTGAATGTCCGCATTGTTGATGGGGTTGATCCACTTGCCAGTCTCCTTGCGACCCTTATGCCGCACTCCGGGCAGGTCAGAGTCTGACCACTCGACCACGTTGTGATCGTCGAGACGAAAGTTGCCCAAAGTTTCGGGAACCCCCAGTTTCACCAACGCTTGCGAGTCCATGGCCATCATGATGTCCTCCGATCTTCTACATACGTATACACAGTATAAATTAGCACCAAATTTGCACACACCAAAATTTGCACAACAATTCAGTGTCCACCATCCACATTTGTCAATTGCACAGATCAATACTGACCCATGGCCCAGAAATGAACAACAAACAAGAGCACCACGCTTTCCATAGATCCTCCTAAATACGTAATTTGACCACTACTCCTGCAGCTACACACTCAACTCCGCCGGATGAGCTCCTGGCTGCAATTAATTTCCCAAAAGGCACAAAATTTAAGCCAACCTGCAGCGGAGGCAGAAGGTGAATCATTTCATTTCATTCAATCCCACAACCGACGAGGAGAGGGAAATGCGTTTGTTTGAGAGATATTTTTTTCTAAAACGCTGCTTATGCATTATTCGCGACTCAACAAAGGATTAGGAGAGCATTGTAAAAAAGTAAACTTGGCCAATTCTTCAGCCACGTACGTACATACGCCTCAGCCTCAATAAATCTATGGTACACTGCGTTTTAAAAATGGCATCAGGGCAGGGCACACATCAAACTTAACTTCACATAATACACCCAATCCACACCACCACACATAGAAAAGTGGATGGATATCTACTTAATAAGGCACACACATATTATTGCAAAATAGTAAAAATCCGTGGTTCATGTGGTTGAAAAGGGGTGAGCAATATTTTCTGGGGGTATGGCCAAGTCAAGCAAAATATAAATATTTTCGTTTTTTCGACAGTTTACTTGTTCCCAATCCGGCAAATAAATTTTAAGACTTAGGTTTTTTCTACAGCAAAAAAAAATAATAATGCCACCAGTGCGATGCAAACAAGATAAAAAATAAATTTTCGATGTGGTAATAATAATCATAATAATAATACGATTAACCATGGCCGCGGAAGCTGTGGGGACATCTGGGGACATTAACATTGTAAGATGGGGGGAGGGACGGGTTTATATAAGATGGGAAGATGATGCAGACATCGAACAACCGTTTGTCCCTCTGTCCACACCCTTCCGCGGCCACTGACGATTAAAATAGTAGCCAAGAAGAGAATTAGCTGCATATCTACTTCTATTAGGTAGTAGCAACCTGTGTTTGACTTTTTATCGTTGTAAGGCAGTAGTTGATCCGTTACACATTTTGGATTTCAAATTCACTAATCTGCCCTGTACACATTGAACTCTCTCATAAAGTTCAAATGTGTATTGTACACATGTACCGAATTTAATTTGACTCGGTTCCGCTCAAGGGATGAAGAGATATCATCGCACGGAAAGAATTGCAATAATAATAAATACGGTTTCATTCGGATAATGGCGAATCATCGTCCCACTGCATCCACATCCTGCAGAATGCATCCTAAATACGATACTGAGATGAGACTGACCAGCCTATGTATTTTCACAATTCACTGTAAACTTGTGTATTTTTGGGCTGGCTTCTGTCGGATGTCCCACATTTGGACCTTGCCAAGCGTGAGGTGGATCATTTTTATATAAATACGGTTGTTTAATTGTGATAGTTTTGCTCCGAATTAAATAAGCTAGAAATTTTATGGCTTTGTTTGTGCAAATTTTGGCGAAATTCACACACTTTTGGCATCAATTTGCAGTACGATGACGCAAACCCTTAAAAAAGTCGCAATCTTACTCCTCAGCTCAATCAATTTACCTGCGCATTTTCCAATTATATAACCAGTCGAAAAAAAATCGATTTAAATTATTTCAACGGTTTAACAGGCTTTCACTTTCGCATTGTATGTAACTACATAAAAGTGCACTTTACGAAGACCCATTTTAATTGTAGGAAGGACATGCAAATAAAATTATTCATGCAAAAACCCTGCCTTGCTGAGGGGAGATTCGCACAGTTTTAATTACGGGTCAGTAGGAAAACTCACCATGCAGACTCGCCACATGCAGTTTGGCAAACAAAAAAAGAGAAGCTGGTTTTTTAACGAAACCAAATTTATCTCTCTCTCCAATCCAAATCTGTTCAAAGCAAAACCAATTTTGTAGTAGTAGCTTAGTTGGGCTCCCCCATTAAAATTCGAGTCTCGACGCTATGATTTATATGGGGATTGCAAGTGATGAAAATATAGATGGATGGACACCAAACCACTCGATAAAAAAAACTGCGATAAACTCACACGTATTATTCGGAGAAGAATCCAATCCAACACCACCCAACCCGTCAAAATTAAGGGCATCCGCACCAGAAGAAGTGTTTAGGAGAGGTTCCAGCTAGTCACTCGATCTCACCAAGAAAAAACTGGACCACTTCCGGTGTCACCCACTTGACTGGATAAAGTCCTCCACAACCTGTCAAAATCACACTAGCTTAACTTTTCTCTTAGCCAATTTTATTTTGCAAACCGGGCGGAACTCGTCTTCCGCGGAACTTGAGGAGAAGAAGGGATGGTGGTGCATGTATGGCACATGGTACTTGCTATTTGACCAAGATAAGACCACGACGACGATGTGAGCACGGACGGACGTGTTTGTGTAATAAAGGCTGCGTCTTGCATGCCACATATTTACACGAGTTAAGATCTTTGGAGATCTTTGAGTGTGGTGGTGGTTAGTGTGGTACAAAAGCATGCATGCATTGGTGGGACACATGCGAGTCCTTACTTAAGTATTTTACTTCTTATTACCTGTTATTGCAGCCGTAGTAGTAGTGCTGGCTTTTGGCTTGGCTCGGCTTGGTTGGGTGCACCTGAGTTATCCAAGTCCATATACGGCAATGTACCTGATATTACTCAATACCTCATCTGAACGAGTGAGTGAGGCTTTCTCCTTTTAATTTGCACTGCGTGGACTTGAGATCCCAGCAGAAGTGTAGGCGTCTTGGGATTTTTCACTACTCCCACATAATATTCAACCCTTTTTTAACAACGTCTCTTCGTCTCACATCATTCTCCGTAAGGAATAAGTAAGTATTGATGATACTCCTCGCGTCCTTTTTTCAACCAGACCAGCACAGCTATTAAGGTTGGATGGATGGATCATCGTTAAGTCGTATTCTTCGTCGTCGTCGTCGTCGCCTCCAGTGGCCGCGGAAGGTGTGGGGACGTTAATATTGTAGGATAGGGGGGCCCGGGTTTATATACACAAGGTGGGGAGATGATGCCGACATCGAACAACCCTGGGGACATTGTTCTTCCGCGGCCACTGAGTGTCTCTCCTCCTGCCATGCCACACGTCCAACTAAAAAATATCATACTACACGGCCACGGCCTGAATTAGTCCGAATTGGGAAAAAGGGACAACATGCAGACTCGAGTTCATTGTTTCAACCACGAATTATTGCCGAGATGAGGCGATAAATACACACAAACAACGAGTGGTCATCACCTATACAGACTGGACTAACAAATCATCACACCATCCACCTCAAAGACTGGCAGGTCAATAATAATAAACAAAAAAAAGTGAGTACATGAACAACCACTCGACAAGAAGATTTACTTATTACACTTTCTGAACGAACTCGACCGTCCATGAAAATTTGGCACGAATGCATATTTTAGGCTGAAATTGGACTTGTAAAATAAGCCTCTGACTGAGTAAACAGACCTTTAAAGTGAATAATTTTATAAATGCATTAACATATTTATACTAATTACTTTATTACCCAAGATTAATGGAGCTGACTAAAATGTTGAATAAACGATGTGACAAAAATGGCGACAATTTCTCATTACGAGTTGAATGCGTAATTATTTAGTTAATGTAGCGACTTTTTTTCGTAATGTAATAAATGAGCAGGCAATAAGTTATGGTGAAACAATGGACGGTGAATGGACTGAGGCTCAATAAACCAAGTTCGCCAACGCAAGAATAAATAATGGTCTGCTGTGATCCGGCCCGTCATTCGAGATGATGCGAGTTGATGACCGTTCACACACACACATTTTTGCATTCTGTCGCATTTTGCGTCATGAAATGAATCAATGTGATGATGACAAGTATGAAAAAACGAAGACTTCTGCTTGTCCAGGTGTACAGAGACCATTAACAAAAAGTAGGTAAACAAAAATCTTAACATCTCGACATTTTCTTGGCTGGCTGACCGACCGATACGATGCGATAGTGTGAGATGTGGCTTGATCAGTGGCCGCGGAAAGGGGTGGACAATGTCCCCACGGTTGTTCGATGTCCGCATCATCTGCCCATGTTATACAAACCCGTCCCTCCCCCCATCCTACAATGTTAATGTCCCCACGGCTTTAGCCGCCACTGGGCTTGGTTATTGGTCCTTGCGCCATGTTTGGCCAAAGACAAGAGCAGTGGACGACAGAAATGGACATCTGTGAATGAGTCGTCTTACCTTGAAATCATTTTCTGAGATCCAAGTCGTCAATTGATTGGGATGTTTTTTTTTCCTCTCTTATTGTCAGATACACACATCGACGCTCGTCAAGATTGCAATTTTTTCTCAAATGGTCATACCCACAAATAGAAGATAAGGCTTTGCAAGAAAATAAATCATACTATTTAACTGCGGAAAATAAGATATGAAATTGGAAAAAAATTGTAATCACGACGAAATAAGGCACATTTTCAATTAGTGCAATTAGGCCGCTGCACTGAACACACAAAATGCATGAAAAGGAAAATACTTATGTATACATAGAATTTCTCGTTTATTAATGGATTTCCAAAATTTTGCTCATTCAACAAAACCGTGCAGGCATGTGTTGATAACATAATTACAATTATGTATGTACATGACTGTCTATGTGTACAGAGTAATCAATGCAATTTGTACATGAAAATTTCACTTTTAATTGAAACTCTTGCCAATAATAAGCGCGTGGTCTGGTCTGGGTGCACTTGGTCAATTAAACCTTAATTCTTATGAGGTGCATGCATTGAATGATTTTAATGGTTTTAGCACCTTGTCGAGTTAAATATATCCTGATTTATTATACATCCATCCATTTATTGGTTCCGTCGTTTATAGAGTAATAATTTCATTCAATACTTATTTAATTATGTATCATTACGTGGGACGCGGAACACGAGAGGGGTGTGCATTTTATAAATATGGACGTTTATTTATTTATAGATGGAACGATTAACTATTTTAACTTTGATAGAGATCGATAAGAAAGATTTATTTAATTGTGTGATGCTATTTCCTGAAATTAATTAAATAAATGCGTGAAAGATAAAGTATTTGTGGTCTGTGATTCGCAATTTTTTGCATGTGACGCTGTCTCCTGTGACGAAGTTTGAAGGATTTGCATATTTACATATCATGGAAATAAATAAATTCGTCGAGAATTTAATGTTTTCTGTTACATAAATTTGTGCATTTTATTCATTTATTTATTCAGTAATGAGTTTAATACTTTTTATTATTAACGATAAACATATTTTTAAATAAACTCTGCTCCAAATTCCGACTTGTTTATATTTTCAAAGTAATTCCAAATTAGCCCGAATTAAATGACATTAAATTTCTTTACAAGCATCGCTATAATTTCGTAAAGTTGGAGAGGTTATCATCGATTTTTTAATGAATCTATTTTACTTTTTACGTGTTCAAGTACATTGTTGGTGACAAGTAAAAGTTACACGTTAACTAATTGCTTTGCCTGTTTGTGTATTCATACATAAAGTGAATTTGTACTTCGCCAACTTGCGCCAATGTTGTAGCTTAACTATGGCGCAAGTTAGGAAAGAGTAAAGTACAAACACAACAAATTATGTATGTGCATACATAAACTTTTCAATAAAATATATCACCTCTTAAAATCTATCCTAAAGCTGTAGTTGCAACACAAAAACCAAGAATGAGCAGATATTTTTTACTTATGAATTACATATATATTTCTTTAGTTGATATTAGTTCAAGTTCAAAAAAACACTAGTCTCATTAGTTTAGTAATCATCATAAAGACGTGACATCAAGTAATAATAAGTTGTATGTTAGAAGAAGTTGACCGCTTTGTGTTTACATATATTTATATATTTTGGACGTGTTCGGAATTGCATTTTCAGTATGATTAGAATCATGATGGACATAATAAGGTACATTTTTCATCATCAATCACCACCCTCTACAGGAAATATTTAAGTTGGAGTAGTAGTTTCTCTAGTAATAAATCTGTTTTGTATGTGAAGTTCAAATCGGCGACGACAACGAATTTTGTGGCGACGACGTGTATCATCATTTCCTGTACGTTGAGCCATTATTGTTCGAATCTCTCACGGGAATGATGACCGTTCCAGAATTGAGCTGACGAGGTTGTTGAAATTCTACCTGAAAATTTGGGCCTGGAGATTCTCCCCTCCGTCCATTCGGATACATCACTTCCGACGCGGAGTACCGAGACTTGGTTCGTGTCGTCGTATCGGACGACTCGACCTGTCCGGCAGGTTCACCCGTCTCGTTTCTAAGCATCCTTCGTGAAAATCGGGACGTCGTATCGGTCGAAATCCGTGGCCTGCCCTCCTCATTGTCCGGAGTGCTCGAGCTCATACGATAAGTTTCCTGGTAATCGTCCGAAATTGGGGAATTTGCTCCGCCAAAGCCACGCGGGGAATTGATCGACTTTCGATTCGGAACTATCCGGGCAGAATCCGAGATTCGAAGCGGTGAGTAAGCGTTAGTTGGGCTGTTGATGGATCGTGCGGGTGAGCTGGCTTTGAAATGGGTGGTGGAATCGTACATGTCCGAAGATCCGTGTCGTTTAACGTTGTCTAAAAACGTTCTCTTGGATCTGGACACGTTCGTGTATTCGTCGCGTTGCTGGTGGTGATCACTCCGTTCGTACGAATTGACATCGCGCACACTTCGGCTCATATTTTGCAACAATTTTGGGGCCAAAAGGTCCGGAGAGTCGAGCAGTTGTGGGTTCGAGGTGTACTGTGGGGACAGTTTTTGTTGTTGGGTAAGCCTTGACGAGGGTGGGAAGGTGGGCTTCCCAAGCAGTCCCGATCTGGGGGTAAAGCTCATGCTGCGACTTAAACTGTGAGACTTGCGATTGTTATTATCATTGTTGTAACTGTTTGAAATGGAAACGTTGATATCGTCTGCGCCAAATTTGATGGCTTTGTTCGTGGTGGGGGTACGTTTCCCGTCCAGACCGAGGAGGGATCCTTGGTCGTCGCCGAAGTAGAATCGTCTCCGTGGAAGGGTTTGTGACCTCGAGTCGGTGGCCGGGTCGATTACGGCGCCCGTGTGCTCGATCCCCTTCAACCGACCCATCGTGCTGGACGGGTTGCCCACGATGTATTTGGGGTGAAACTGCTTTTGTGGGGGTCCGTCATAGTTGAAGACGCGTTCTCGGCGTTCCACAGTTTTTCTTTGTTCAACTTCCGCCTCTCCGTTTTCGTAGAGGGAGTTTTGTGTAGGGTTGTCCGTCTCGGTGGTTTTGTAGTAGTTGGAATGCTTGGTGGCGTAATTTCCAAAGTTTCCGGATTCCATGGAATCTCGCGTGATGGGGCCGGCGGAGGGGCCGTTGTAGCCAAAGTTTTGTTCGCGACGTTCATAGCTTTTGCGTTCTCCGACGTCTTCACGTTTCTGCAAAAAAGAGGTAAGATTTTCAGAAATTTTCACTTGATTTTATTTTAACTAAGAAATTATTTATTTTTAAAAAGTAAATTTTGTAAAATTTTGACCATAAAATTTCTCACCTGCAGATACGACGAGGAATAGTCCGACGTCGGAGTGTAGTTTCTGGTCGATGACGAGTGGTTATTCATGATCCCAGTGTGCCGACCGTGATGTGTCTGATCGATGTGCAAAAAGTTCTCGGTTCTGGGATCGGGTGACTTTGCACGACGGTATCGTGGGGGCGGTGTTGGTGTGGGCTCCTCGTCCCACGGACTGCTTCCCGATTTGGTCAGGGAGACTCGCCCAGTTGAACGAGCCATGCTGTCCTCGTGGTGGTGGTGCCGATTCTTGAGGTCCTTTCACAACAAATTAGAACCTCGAGTTAAAAACTTTCAAGTATTAAGTTTAAGATGGCCAATAGTGCGCAATAACCAACTGGTTCAACTCTGCTCCTCTTCCTTTACCGATATGCAAATAAATACTTGAAGAAACCATTTTCTCTCGAGTTTAGTGGGTTTGAGCCATATTGGATATTAATCAGTTGCACGTCGCGTCATCATGCCCAAGTAGTAATGAATCAGACAGCCAGCCAGTGGCCGCGGAAGGGTGGGTGGGGGACAGAGGGACAAAGTCCCCATCATCTACACATCTTATATACACCCCGCCCTCCCCTATCCTACAATGTTAATGTCCCCACAACTTCCGCGGCCACTGATCATGACAAATTCAATACTGCGACCCCAACGGGTACTAATTTACCACTAAATATACTAACGAGTTTACATATCTTATTCTCAGATTCATGAAATTGTCGCATTATTCAAGACTAAATATTACACTTTCCTGACTAGATTTATTTACTCACTAGATTACCGACTAGATCTTAAAATATGCACTAAATAAATATTTAAATAAATATTTAAAACACACCTCCTAAACATTTCCCTTCAAAATTTCCAAACAAAATACACAAAAAGCATGCAAAACGTGGATGTATGCATATACTGTCATCAACTTACAAAATGTACAGAATGTGGCTGCGTGGTTCGAGATGGCGTATCTCCAAAACTGATCCTTTTCCCGACCGATTCCTTGGATAAGACTTTATTGCTATTTTGTGAGAGGTTGCTCTGCCTTCCGGGGGGAGGGGCCGGCGGCGGAGGGGCGGGCGAATTAAGCGGCGAACTTCGCGACGTCATCGTGACATGAATTCCCGTCGGCGTCACGGGAAGTGGGGATCTCGGCGACGTGTCCGAATTCAGGGAACTGCTCGAACTTCCAAAGTGTGAATTGAGCCATCTATTCGTTTCGGTACGTTTCGTGTGTTCTTCATGACTCGTGTCGAGGGGTCGATTGGTCAACACGTTGGGGCGAACTTGCGGCACTGCGCCGAATTTGGTGCTGTATAAGGCGTCCGGTTTACTGGCGAGGCGACGAACCCGTTCGGACACTGAGTCCCAGACGTCTTCGTCCCCTTGACGTTGCGAACTGATATTTTCCGACACCATTCTTCCCCCTTCGCCAATCTGCGTGGTGTTAACCAACCAAGTTTTTTTTAATTGCATAGAGAGAGAGGCACCCATATTATGATTTTGTTTACGCATTTAGGCTGAGAACAGACGTGTGTAAGTAGAGTATTTAGAACAGTGGCCGCGGAAGGTGTGGGGACATCGGGGGACGTTAACACTGTAGGATGGGGGAGGGAGGGGTTTAAATAAGATGATGGGGACTTCCAATACCCGTGGGGACATTGTCTCTCTGTCCCCTCACCCTTCCGCGGCCACTGATTTAGAAGTAGTCGTGTAAGAGGAGGAGGAAGAGTAAGAAAGATAAAATGTGCAAATAAATATTTACAAAAAAATAGCAAGCGGCTGAAAAAAATAAAAATAAATAGCAAACAATTGAAGAATCAATAACCCAATAAATGATTCCACCATGCAAAAGTAAAAAAAAATGAAGAGTTGAGCAGAGTTGTTGTATAATAATACGAAGTACAAGTTTGTGTTGTGATATGTACAGTCATATTGGTTATAAATAACCTTTCTGCCCAAAAAGTCCTGTTTTGATAGGAATCGAGCGTGCACGCGCTCTTCCCAACTTTTGCACGAAATTTTAAACTTTGTCCTAGAGATGCGAAATTTGGCATGCACATGCACCAACATATGCTACATCATAATATAACATCAGTTCCCGTTCCGTTCGCTATAAATTTTTCAGGAAAAATCAAAAACCAAATTGAATACGGGTGACATTTGGTTTTTGATTTTTCCTGAAAAATTTATAGCGAACGGAACGGGAATTGATGTTATATTATGATGTAGCATATGTTGGTGCATGTGCATGCCAAATTTCGCATCTCTAGGACAAAGTTTAAAATTTCGTGCAAAAGTTGGGAAGAGCGCGTGCACGCTCGATTCCTATCAAAACAGGACTTTTGGGCAGAAAGGTTATTTATAACCAATATGACTGTAAATTTGTGCATGCATGTGAAGTGAATAGGATGCATATACTACAGCTAATTAATTGATTGATAAGGCCTCATCGTCTCCGTTACCTTCACCCCCTCGCTAAAATTTCTTCCCTTGGGGACGGACACGTAGTCGATGAAGTTCTCGCTTTTGGCGTGACTATAGTCCTGCTCGCCTTCTTGGTGTTCGATGCGTTCAAACTCGTCAGAGTCGGAGTCTGGGATGTCGTCGTTGTGGAATTCTTCATGCTCGTGTCGTCGCGTTATTTCGGTGACGATGTTGCCATTTTCTTTCTTTTTGCTGACCTGAGAAGAGTAATTTAAGATTAATTTTAACTATTAATTATCATAATAAATAATTGGATAAGGCATAGAAAAACATGAGAGTTCGACGAGGGAGGGGACAAAATTAGCCGGAAATGTGAGTGATCTGAACCTCTTTCGTGTCTTCAATATCGGTGGTTCTGTCGTGCCTCCGAGTTTGCTGGAGAACCCGTTTTTGTGGATCTTTCGAATAATAAGGCTGCAATTTTCGGTCGGAAGATCGAAGTAATCCTTTCCGAACGTCCTGCTCTTCGCGAAGGGCTCGAATAATTCCCTGAAATTCGAAATAAGAAATTTACTTAGAAATGTGGCATGCGCAGATATGATTTAACCAAACTTTCGAAAATATTTTATTTTTTCGGAAACTCTTGAAAATGAGGGCAGAATAGGACCCGAAAGCTCGATAACTTTATCTTCGAATTTCCACTAAATACTCCGTTTAGCATATTATTCGATATATATGAATTATAAATATTGAAGAATATATTTCTTAGGTAATTTTATATTTCCTTAAAAATACGGCCATCAAAATTAGAAAATTTCCCTATTTATTATCACGACAAGTAACATCTTTCACGCTATTGTGTACATACATATAAATACAAAAGGTACGAAACTATATGCATTCACCATCCTTCAAGTAGCATTATTAATTTGCAACAATACCTCCTCATAATTGGGTGATCAACATGACACATCACCTACACGAATTTTTCTTTGCTGGGGCCAAAGTCGGATTAAAAATTAAGCCTGATCTTCTCACACATCTCTCTCTCTCGCAATCAGTAGATACACATATTTACACCAAGAAACGTCGCCGTCTTATGCAGGAAGACTATAAAGAAACCTTGTCGTCATTCTTATTAAGATGAAGTCATCCACACCACACTGTTTCTTTGCTGCGTATCTGATTGGCCTCATTGACCAAATAAAAGCGTCCGATACGACTTTTAAGGCATCGCGATGTTGTAAGTGTCAGTGCACACAGTCAGCCTTTAGTTCGTTTCCTCTCTCACTTTGCAATTCAAAATGATAGCCGACCACTAATACGACCAGTGGCCGCGGAAGGACAGAGGACCAATGCCCCCACGGTTGTTGGATGTCGGCATCATCTCCCCATCTTATATAAACCCGTTCCTCCCCTGTTAATGTCCCCACAGCTTCCGCGGCCACTGAATAATATAACCCAACAATAAGTAAAGCAAACTTACTTAGTTAGTTAGTTGGCCTATCTATCAGCAGCATGATACCGTGTCATGCCACCACCACCACCACCACCAAGTCCTTATCGAGCCGAATCAATGGACAGGGTTAATGAGCTGTCCTTTGAAACTATTTTGAGATTTTTCCTTGGATTATGGGTGATTGGTTTCCGCTTTGTCGTCGTCCCTCCTAACTAACTGTACGCCATGCAGGCCTTTCTTGTTACGTGGTGTGTGCATGGATGAGGCTTTACTTATTTCCATATGTGGTGAATTAAACATACATTACACGCAACTTTCAAGAACATTCGAACCAACAACAATATGGTATTTCAATAACACGTTTCAATTATTTGGCTCAGCCAGCCAACTAACGCAGGAGTGACATTTGAACTTGAGAAGGTAAATGTGTACACTTTGTCAGCAACGCTACTCACATAATGATAATCATGACGATATCCTGTAAAAAATGAGCTGTATCATTGTATCCTAATTTGTAATTGGGATATGTATTTACTTACGAGACGACACGTCCACTTATGTATTTTTTTCGCCAGTGATATTATTATTATCGGTAAATAAATATGATGTAACAAATGTGCAATGCGAATCGTATTTTAAGGTCATTCGTAAGAAGGTAGTGAATTTTTGTATGTAGACCCTTATTTCCTCCCCTCCTGAAGAAAAAAAGGAACCTACTATGAAAAACTTTGCATACTTCAGAGCAACTTTTTTAATTGCTAATTCCATGTCGTCAAGCTCATTATCATTATTATTACATGACTAGAAAAGTTATGCTGGTCTGGTGGTGGATGAGATTCTTATCCTCGTAATTAGATGTTAGGCTCGATTATTAGTATGCATCAGGTTTCCCTTTCCATTTCGCCAGAGCTAATAATAATTCTGCATGAAAAACCAGTGGCCGCGGAAGACAATGTCCCCACGGTTGTTGGATGTCGGCATCATCTCCCCATCTTATATAAACCCGGCCCTCCCCTTACCTACAATTTTAATGTCCCCAGATGTCCCCACGGCTTCCGCGGCCACTGCGTGAAGAAGACGAATCATTCGTGTCTTGTCTATTTTCCGTCCTAATCTCATTTATTCTTTCATGAAGTCAAGGCATCAACCACCAGTCTTAATGAATTATGAGCCCTTTGTATTAATTGTCCCTCAGTCAGTGTCATCAGTTAAATTTATATTGTTCATCATCTAATACGGAAATAATTGATGGTTAAACGAAGTAGGTCACCAGACATGTAGATACATACACAAATTGTGTGCAGAGATGATTTGCGACTGTGTAATGTATTTAATGAGATTCGACCACTAACTCGATTTCTGTGATGAGCACATCTTTAACCCGTATTATCATCGTTATGATTGCTGCTTTTTAATGTAATTTAGAGAGCAATAATATCAAAAAGTGACGTTACAACATAACCACCCTCGTCCTCAGTGAGTGAGTAAGCAACCCATCAATATTCCTGATTAATTTTCTAATTCAAAATGATATGTTGTAAACGGACGTGACTATTTTTTTATTTAGGTTGTAAGTTCTTCCCTAATGAAATTTTTGAAACATATGTATACGCATTTTATTTACTGCTTGTGTGTGAGTGAATAAATGGCTTGTAACAGAGTCACCACCAACCGCAGTAAAAATTACAGTATTTATTATTATAACTCTCAATCCTCATTTCCATCACATCCTTCTTAATCAACTTGTTCTGCCCAACCCAATTGGAAAATCTATCTTTGACTCGTCAGTGGCCGCGGAAGGAAGGTGTGGGGACAGTAACATTGTAGGATAGATAGGGGAGGGCCGGGTTTATATAAGATGGGGAGATGATGCCGACGTCGAACACCCGTGGGGACATTGTCCCCCGATGTCCCCACGTTTCCGCGGCCACTGCATCATATTCATACATTTGAGCAGCCTGAATTCTCACAGTGGCTGCGGAAGCCGTGGGGACATGTGGGGACGTTAACATTGTAAGATAGGGAAGGGCCGGGTTTATATAAGATGGGGAGATGATACCGAACACCCGTGGGGACATTGTCCCCCTTCTGTCCCTTCCGCGGCCACTGCTTTGACTCACACATAAGACAATTCATGCCAAAAGCTGTCATTATATTGTATTATCGTGCAACTTGGTTGGTTAGTAAGTAGAGTTGCTCAATATTTATTGTGCAGTTTATTTATAAATTCAAATGTGTATGGCTTCGCTCCGCTAACCAGAAAGTAAATAAATAGATATTTACAAACCGAGAAGGAACAAAGTACATTGTCCATTTCTTCAAAGTTTTTAGGCTGCATCATGCCGCCGACGACGCTTGAAGAGCGAAACGACCCTTTGTTTTACACAGCAGAAAGGAGACAAATAAGTAAATAGTGGAATATGTAAATATGACTTTGCGGATATTATTGGCTTGGCCAACTAACTGTTCAAATTCAAATTGTGCAAGAAACAAACACACCGTCATTATAAAAATATTGCCAAAATATGTACAATCACATTTACTACGGCAATTTGAATTTTACAAAATATTCATGTATCTACTTAAATAATACGTAATAATAAATAGTTAACTAAATTTTTAATGGGTAAGAAAAGAGATATGTCGCATTTTTTTCGTCTCTAAATGCCTACGGCTTTAAGAGAGAGATGCTTGTTAAGTATTATTGTTTCCCATTTTTTGGCACAAAATTTATTACACTGTATAAAATACTACAAGTAATAAAAAAATATGTACATGATATATATTTTTTTTCATCCTGTTTAATTACGTGGTACATACTCATAAATTGCTCGTGCGCAGATTATTTTTTTACAGTTTTCTTACTTTCATAGTAAAAATGAGGCGAATCGTGAATCCAGGAATAGTGCAAAATAAATAGATAAATACGTTGTTACAATATCTCACTCACTTAATTTGTAAAACCTGCAGCCGTTGCACTAACAACTTGACCATAATTTGATTCGCTTTCTTAATTTGCAACAACAACACTTGAGGGTACTACTTACTTAATAATAAATAATCAGACTCTAATTTATTCATGTTTCATGCAAAATAAAATAAATTGGGATGGTCGGGGAAAGAAGAATTTGCTTGTTATTTCATTATTACGGATATGTGGATACAGTGGCCGCGGAAGAAGTTGTGGGGACAGCAACATTGTAGGAGGGCCGGGTTTATCTAAGATGATGCGGATCGTGGGGACATTGTCCCTCTGTCCTTCCGCGGCCACTGTTTATCGATCTCTCCGTACCAGAGATCAATAAATGCATCATTGTTTTTTTTCTTCGCCCCTCTCATTAAATATTCTCACACTGCAGAGAAGAGCAAAAATCTAGTAAAAATTGTATAAAAGACGAGAGAGAACCTTGTGTTTTTTTAAAATTTAACTTTTGCACAACAGGTCACGCTTCACTTCAAAAGTGCATTTGACTTTAACAAGGAGCAGTAAATAGTAAGCAGTGTGTGGAATTAGTCTTCTCTGTCTGACATGACATTGGCCTACCCATAAATACTTTATTTAATGTAATTCTGATGTCAATCAAGTTTTGCATGCGAATTTCCCAACAATAAAAAAAGCCTCGAATTAATAATGGATCTCATTGAAAGTAATAATTTTTACAGGTAACATACATAAATTATTAGTTCGAGTATGTACTTACTTCACACGCGTATGGACGTGTAAACCTTATTATGCAGGCGTTCGTATGTATGTACATACACAATTATTACTGGTATTTGCTGATTAACAAGCAGTGGCCGCGGAAGGACAGAGGGACAATGTCCCCACGGTCGGCATCATCTCCCCATCTTATATAAACCCGGCCCTCCTCCCCCCATCCTACACTGAAAATGTCCCCACAGCTTCTTCCGCGGCCCCTGTTAACAAGTTATTCATACATACACAAACACTCTCTCTCTCTCTTGATTTGAACTGTGTTGTTGTTTTGGATTTGAGGTTAAAAAATGTAATTACTTGTTTTACAAGGGATAAATATTGACGAGAATTGATGAGATTTGATGAGCAGACAAAACGTAAATGTGGTGTGAAACCCATTGTTTTACATGGTTGGAGATAAGATATAAAAGAAATAATAAGATTTTCCAGGCTTTATTTATCTAGATGTTCTTCACTCATAAATAGATAATAATTTGATGAGCACCTCATTTTTTTGACGTGATGGGTACTTACGTACCTCATCAAAACGCTATTAACCTACATGTTTATTTCCACTGTCGTCGGTAACAATGGGAAATAAATAATTTTTGGTGACAATTATTTATTTATCAATGTGTAACAACAATTTTGTTTGGCTCACCTCGTTACTGGCATCGCCGAGATGTTGAATTTCTTCAGTCTCATAAATGTCCTCCACCTCGTCGTGCGTGGTTATCTTCTTTTCGTTCGTTTCTTTAACCACGGCCTCGTCCGGAACGTCTTCAACGGCCACCCAGCCCTCTTTTCCGTCCATGTCGTCCCCATGGGTGAAGTGCTGCGAGGAGAGGGAATATTTTAGATGGAGAGTAAAGCTGGGTTTATACTTTGTAACTTGCGCCAATGTTATAATTTAACTATGGCGCAAGTTATAAAAGAGTGAAATATAGACGCATGATAAGTTAGCTATACATAGATTTGCACCCTAGCTTTATGCAATTAGATGAGTTAACTTCTAGTTCTTGTGCAAAATTTATGCACAGATTTTTGTGCAAAATTTTTGCACAAGTCGGAGGAGCTAAGGAATTGCGTGACATGTTTAAAATAAAATTATGAACTTATGTAAGTATGTACATAAGATCAAATAATGACCACTCTGTTACAAGTTGATTTTTAGTTTAATTACTATATAATTATAATTGACACGCATTGACACGTTTCCAATTTTGACTAGATAATATGTGCTGATAATTACCACTAATGATGGATGATCAATTATTGTAATGATGTAATTACTGTATTGTAAACATGTAGCGCCAAACGTTACAAGTTTTGTAAACAGCATGTAAAATCAATCAAAGCTTATTTTCCGAAATGCTAATACAAGTTTTGTAAACAGAAATTTATGTGTAATACAATTCAATGAAAACTTATTTTTTCGAAATGCTTACTAACTTTACCATAATTTTTGTAAATCTCTCAAAATTTGTGTAAATGGTACACAATGGAAAATAATTTTTGGACATATCTAGATACGTGTAACTTCACATGAAATGAAGAAAATTTTCAAAATTTTCAAAATTTCCAACTCACCTCGGTATGTTCCGACTCTTGCTTATCCGTATCCTCGGTCGTATTCGTGGTAACAATGGGTCCCGAATCGTCGACCACTTTCCCATCCTCCAAAACGATTTGACGCTTGACTCTTGTCTCAATTTGTTTCGTGGTCGTCAGTTCGACTCGCTTCTTCTTCACCCATTCTTCTACACAAGGGAAAATTCACATTCGTTTAGTATTTGAACATTGTCATTCACTAGTGAAGAATACATTGCATTGCATTGTTTGGCCAGTGGCACTTTTTTTGCATGCCATTAAATAAGTCATAATCACATCATCCATGTGTATGATTTTGACCGAGATAATGTCTCATTCCAAGCAACAAGGGTGCTTTAGGCAGTAATTAATTCTTCATCATGACTAAGCAGCCACCAGGAATAGAATAATGCGAGATTGACGGGTTGATAAAGTTAATAAAGATTTCCTGGAGCCTTTCAAATTTTATATGCTCCGTTTTTTTCTAAATCTCTTTTTTTCAAAGTGGTAATTGAAAAGGTGCAAAAAAATAGTGGCAAAATTTGCACCCGACCATTATTAACGTGTGCATAGGAAAATGTATGCATACTTGTTGTTTTTTACGTGGAAAATACTATGCATAAGAGGAAATTGAGCCTGTAACGTAACATTATGCACTCAGCTTATGCATGTATCTACTAACTTGACTTAAAACAATAAGACCATGTCAATGTCACCACTAAATTTACGCTTCTCGGAGCTACATACATAGTTAAACTCTGAAGGCCACGCCACGCCAAAATGGCAAAAAGCGTGTGTTTATAACGGTGATGGAATTCCAGGCGAAATGTTATTTATTCATCGTCGTCGTTTATGAGGTTTATTAGTCATTACGGATTTAAACATTGATTCATGCTTCCTGCCATTTTACACGATTTTACACGATAAGAATGTGTATGTACAGCTTCATCAGTGGAAACCACGTGTTGCGTCATTATTATTTCTCGTAAACTGCATCCCATGCGGAGTAAGATAACTAGTCGAAGGTAACAACAATACTTAAAACAGACCGTCCTGCCTGCTGCTTGCTGCCTTCTTTTTTTTACCGAAACTGATACACAAAAATCTGACAGGTGATGATACAAACAAAACTACCGAGCTGAATATTAACCTCTCGCACAATGCCACACTAACGAACGAATGATGTTCAAGACCCATAAATGAGAGGAAACCACCGTTCTAATTGTTGTAAAGACAATAGCGATCATGTCATTCATTCATTCATTCTGCCGCTTAAAAACTGTTCTGACACTCCAAAAGTTAACACTATACAACGACGTTGCAAGTATTTAGTGCAAAGTCGCTTTATGCATGTCCGCATGCGGAATAATTCTTCTTAAGAGCTCTGTTTTAAAGGATCTCGTTCTCAAAGTATGACGTCTGAGTGAATACAATGTCCTCGATATGACATGACACTAGTAGATTGACTTTGCAGCTGTTGTGAGATCTAAGATGACTTGTAAGTAGCTAAATACATTAATCGATTGACTGCTTATTTAAATCTTTATCAAAATTTGGTATCAAAAACAGCTATGATAAACTTCAATTTATGACATAACAAGTACACTACGCTGACACTAATGCACAAGGTAACTGACGTTATTTACGTCAAAAGTTCACGTCGTCTTTTAAACCCTGCAAGGAAATAATTTGACACTTTCGTCACAATAATGTCTCAAAATCACAAAGCTAAATATATATGCAGGCAAAATCCACTCATAATAATTGTAATAATTACGACAATAATTACCATCAAGTGACATTAGTCGAATCGTCCCCATCTCTCTCATCCATTAATTGGTAGTATGCAATGCCAATTCCCATACAGACCTGGGTACCTCCATCTTTAATATAATAGCGGTCAATAATATTGTGCACAATGCAATGGTATCCATCCACTCCTGAATTATGAACTGTCCTATTTGGCACGGCAGAAAGGAAATGAGCTGTGCCACCAACAATGATGCGGATTGCTCGCTTATTAAATGCATTACTTTTTGATCGTATCACTTGAAACAACGGTTGGGTCACGACTTGGAGATTTTTTTCATACCCTTTCTTCATGTACATATGCAGGCAAATAATGTGCATATCATGCTGACTCGCACCCAACAGTACATACACCACATATCCATTCAGCTTAACACTTTTCTTCCATCCAATCATTGCAATCGCATTAAGAAAGCACACAAAAATAAACCCTTTAAAATATTTTACGAAGCCATTGTTCAAAAAAAAGAAAAAAAAAGTTTGAAAAGATTTTGAGAGTTTCTGTTCTCTTGTGTTGTGTCAGTTTTTAGACACTAATCACTCCTAATCATAAATAATCGTATCATATCAATCCATCTTTATCTTAGTTAAGACTCACATAAGTAAGTAAGCAAAGAAAGCGTAAAATTGTATTTAAAATATTAACTTTTTAAAATTTACAATGTGCGAATGAATTGTTCAAAGTTTTTCACTTTCATGCATCTTTGCCTTGCAGTTTGTGCATGTGACCTCTATCCGTCAATTCGTATTAATAAGTAAGTAAGGAGGCAGGGGTAAAATAGTGGATGTACGTATGATTTTTGAAAGAGATGGTGGTGCTCATTAATTTTTAGACGTTCGTTATATAGCATCACTTACACTTTTGATTTTCGTGCATGCATGCAAAAATTAACTAACTCGTGTCTTGATGTTTGTCTCGATGGTTTGAGGTGAGTGCAAGTGCAACTATTCTCCAATAATAGTAAACCAAATATAAAGAAGTGGCATTAGAACGATTGAAATTTCCTTTAAAATGAGACCCAATAGGAAAATTATGTATTTTTTGACCTGTGACCTAGTCGTCACGGTCATGAGGTCACAAATAAAATATTGACGGGCGTTGAATTCGTGCCGACATTTCCTTTAAAATGACACCCCATATGAAAATTAAGTTTAAACTTAATTTTGGACCAGACCCCATCGTCCTGTGGGGTCGTCCGATTGACCCCATTATTAAACTCGAACTCGAACTAAAAATTAGAAACACAATGGCGAAAACCGCGTTTGATTAGGTAGACGCGTTCTGGCGATATTCTTCCCACTTAAGGACAGACGGACGGACAAAACGATCACAATAAGCAGCTAACTGACACTACTTCATAATAACTCAGCCAGCCAGGAGATAAATTATATTACGTGCATATCCATCTTGTTGATGGTGGTTTGGTTTGTGAATAAAATGATTTTATCATTTCTTCTCTCCCTATCAGTTGTTTTTAGTTACAATGGAATTTTATGAGCTTTTATTTAGCAGCGTTGTCTTAATGGCTGATGTCATACTTAAACTTGGCTGGTGAGAAGAAGAATTACTCAATCCGTGCTTTTAATTACCTTCCTTCTTCTTCTGGCCCATGCTGGCTCTCAGTGATGATTAAATAACATAACACAATGCGAAACTGACGGTATGTTCATATGTAAAAATGTGCAGAAAAAAAACAATCTGCTCCGTTGTCTACCTGTTCGCAAATCCTTGTGCAGAAATGCCTAGCTATCTACTGGAATGATTTAGAGGTTTTTTTTCTACATGAATCTTGCCGTTATTCCTTTTCATATTAATTCCTGCCAAGGAAAGGGACATAATTGAGACGTTGTTTAATTGTTGGTATTATAATCCGGTGGTAAAAAAGTACGTAAAACACTTGACTCGCCGAATCCGGAACCAAGTAAACGAAGAAGAAGTTCCGTTAGTGCGTTACACACACACATAAAATCCGCATTTCTGGTCTTGGTGGTTGTCTTGGTGTGAAATAAAATGCATTCGACACGCCTCCTCAGCAGAATTACTGGCATCACACAATCGCCTGTGCACTTGTGGATAACAATGGTGTTAAGTATCATAATAAGTGATATGTTGGGGAGGGAGAAGCACCAGAAACGGTAAGACAATAGGTGCTCAGTTATTTGGGAGGATTTTGAACCGGGTTTCGTAAATTTTTAAGCAATTAAACCCTTTCGTGAATGTAACGGCTGCAGTGGGCATAGCTTTCGGGATTGTTTACAGATGGACTTTGTGCATAGGTGTGAACCAAGTTGGGCGATTTAGTCGTCATACTTTTGACTCTTATTAAATCCTGCCCTACGCCACGCCACGCCATGGCCAACCCCAATAATAAACTAATTTTGCAACTGCAAAAAAACGGTAGAATTTGCTAATTGTTAATACACATTTGTATACCTACATACTTATCAGTTATGTTTTTACGAGACATTTATTTTGCGTGACACACGCCAGAAAGGTGACGAGCTAAATAAAAATCGACCATTTTTTCTGTAATCGTCGCCTTTATAATTCACCTTTGTGATCGGAAAATACAGTTAGAATTGGAATCACCCCTAAAAAAACATTGCTTTAAATAATAGCGATTCAAACCCTGTATGAAAACTTGTCTATGAAAAAAGTTTGACTCTAATTTTACTCCTGACAGGTTTTCTTTGCTTGCGCATTACAGTTCTGTGGTGCAGTGGGTCATGAAAAGTTTGCATTTTGTTTAATGAGGCGGTCACCGCTTCAAGAGCAGCAGATTTTGAATGAGTAATGACTTTTTAACCCTGGCCGGTGGGTGACTGACTGCTCACTTTATCCTTTAACAAGACCACATCACGCCAGTGGCCGCGGAAGCTGGAGGGGACAGAGGAACAATATGTCCCCAATGTCCCCATCATCTCCCCATCATCTATAAACCCAGCCCTCCCCCATCCCACAATCTTAATGCCCCCACACCTTCCGCGGCCACTGCACCACAAATTACTTATTATTACGAATCGACGCTCGATTTCCCTTCAATTTATTGAGTAATACGGACCAAAGCCGCGTAATCAGTGCACCGTAGAATTTTAAAACGGTAACCATATTTTATATTTTACTCACCTTGTTTCGTCGCTGCGAGGGTGTCACCATCCGAGGAAATCTGCAAGAGTGAAGGCAAACGTTCAGAACCACTGCTGTCGGTCAACGTGGGGCTGACCGAGGTCGACGAGGCGAACGAGTTATAATTGAAGCGGGGATGATGCGGGTATGAAATCGTGATCACAACCATGTTTCTTTCAAAATCGAGTCTGTCCTCCAAGCTTATAAAAATAAATAAAATCGTGTCCGTTGTCACTTCCTATATGCAAACACGCACATCCGTCCGTCCGTCAGAAAACAGCGAGGCACGCGTTAAACTTTTATTAAAGATTATTATATATTTAGTCTCAAAAAAAGAGAATTTCGAGTTTAGATATTTTTAACATGAAAAATCCTCCTTCTTCAAGGAGAAACAATCAGTGGCAGTAGCGGCTTGACTAATTCGCCATGTCGATCCTTTAATAAGCCTTATCAATCGTGTCGCACATTTTGTGTGAATTCAATAAAAAGTATCACTACTCAATCAGCGAGACGTTATACTGACTGACTTGCATTATTTGAGACGTTTTATCCTATTCTATTACGGTTAGGTAGCTCAGTCTACGTTTAATGAGACGAAAACCATCCCAAAAATCAACCACAGAGGTAACTGACAATCGATCAAAGTACTTTTTGAGTCAGTGGTGTGGTGTGGTTCGTTATTCTTTATTACGACACATCCCCAACCGATCAGATGACAACACAGCGACGACGACGATAACTTTTTTCATGCAAATTTATATGGACCAAAGTACAGTACGAGCAAACCAATTCACCGATTCCGTTAAATCGATGATTTAATGAGTCGTCGCCACACCATGGAACAAATTAACGACAGAGGAAACCTATTAGCACATGGTGGCCAGCCCAGATAAGGCGATATCCAAGGTTGGTCTGTGTCAAACTTCACGATAGGCGAGGGTGGTCTGGTCTGGTCTATTATATATTCGTTGGAACGGTATTGTTGCTACTTGCTGATTATGAAACGACGGCGGCGACGGCGACGACGACGACGGTGACTATCGACAAAGATTTCAGGAGGCACATATGCGGCATGAGGTCATTAGAATGATTTATGGTCAAACTTCTCATCAATGAAGAAACTTGAGATTTTCCGTCCCGTTCTTCTTCTTCCTCTTCATCTTGGCGAGTCCATTATTTTATTCGGATTATTATTATTGCTATCAAGTCGGAAGGTAGAGATATATATTGATTTGCATTTACTTATAATAATCTTCCCACACACGAGTCACTGAACTGGCTGGGTTACAAGATCCACGCGTGTCCGTGTGTATCTCTAATTGCGAGGAAGACGAAGGTTAAATCCGCAATAATAATAGTAATATCATCGAGAATCTCAAAACCAGTCGGGTGGTGAAGAACGGATGGCTTAAATCTTCGTCACCAGACACACGCCACGCCGATGTCCGAGTGAAGCAAATAAGGTGTCAATTTTGGCAGTCATAATGACCCTTTTGACTTTGACTCAAAGAAATCCGAGCTTCTCAGGGTCACTTTTTATTGGTCAGTAGATCCGAAAAAATATATCGATAAAGTATTTTTTTTCAGAAACTTAGGTACTTGGACTGATTTCCCTGGGCGAGGATTTCTGATACTTGTCTCAATCCTGCAGACGTTAACTGAACTTTGTCCGGTTTCACGAGAACAATCCACTCGACTCGAATTAATTGTGAACTTGCTTCCGGGCAGCGTTCGTTCACGTTCCGGTACAATATAAATAAACAGTTTGTGATCTAAATTATAGAGCAGGAGACTATCTATATACTTAAAATGGGCTCCCACTTATCTGAATGTCTGTCTGGGGAATTATTAATTGACGAGGAGAGAACGTGGCCGATGCGTGGGTGCCGAAGGGAGGATCTTTACTAACTAACTATCTCCTGCAGGAGGTAGAAGACTTTGTTGAGATGCTGAAATGAAAATCCACCTGCTGCTGCTGCAAACCAACTTCACCATTACAGACATACACCTGCAGGTAAATACAGGTAAATAGCGAATAAGCAGGTTGGCAAGGAGTAAGGCGAAATTGTGCAGACCCAGTCTCACCTCACCTCACCTCAACTAACATGGGAACGTATTCTGTACGTATCTCGTGCAGCAGCCAGGGTGAGAATCTTGCTGGGATTTTGTATGTACCAGACGAGGCAAGATGCGAAGAGGAAGACGACAAAGCCAAACTGCACATGCAACAAAGGATGCCAACCAACGACATGTTTCAAATCCTCCCAAAAACTCATTCCAGAAAATAATTAACCACAAATCTAATCCATCTTGTGACACGGAACGTACGTATTTACAAAAATGGCTACTGGAGATAAACCATCGGGAAAACTAGTCTCATTATGGAACGATCCACTTAATGGAGTTTTGTTTTATTGGTATTCCTTCGTCTCAGTATTTGTCCACTCGAAAAGCATCTCAAGTTTTATCTTCGCTACAACTTTTACCAAGGGGAATTTAAGCAACTCTGCACCTCGTAATCTCAAGTAGTAGAAGTCGTAGTAATAATAATAATAATGGATTTTTAAACTTTGGACAGATTCTTAAAAGGGTTTGCACACTGCACGCGGAATAATCTTATCTTATAAAATACATATCTCTCTCAAAAGAAGTGCATTCATCTCGTCTCATACTTTACTCACTCCTTTGCGGCTGTCATGCAAGACATAAAAAAGAACTGGTTGTATATTCTCGATAAGTAAATATCTACGTAGTAAATGCGAAAAAAAGTCTTGTTTCCAGCAGCCATATAGTTTAAAAGTCATGCAATAATGTCCACGTACTCCTAAAAGTTTAGCCAGTCGCCGCGGAAGCTTGAGGGGACAATGTCCCCACGATTATTCGATGTCCCCATCTTATATAAACCCGTTCCTCCCCCCATCCTACAATGTAACCGTCCCCAGATGTCCACACCCTTCCTTCCGCGGCCCCTGCTTCCAGGTAAGGTAAGGTAGCAGCAGGAGCGAGATGGTGTTACTTACGTGTGGAATGTGGACTTCTTCCCACGACATTGCACACGGCATTAAAAAGGACGCCTAATAAAGTGCCGAGCAGTAAAAGGAATACTTTTCCTCGGACGAAGACCTGTTGCTTTTTGCATTATTATTTACGTGTAGTCGTTCCATTTCATTCTTTCCCTGTCTGTCCAGCCTGAAAAGATGTCATCTCATCATCATCATCGCGGTTTTAGCAGCAGCTCGCGGAACAATCGGGAGAATGCAGTCGGCAAGAAAGGAACGCTGCTGCTGCTGCTAAACTGGAAATATATGACCGTCATCGTGATGGATGACAATGCTGATGGGCAATTTTAATGTAATCTCTGCCTGCCATATTTGTGTGTGTAATTGCATTTTGCTCGCGCAGTGTCAATGTCATCCATCCTGTTGCATGAGGTTTTTTTTTAAATTGTGTATATTTACATGTGTACAGAGCACTTATTCGACATGGTCGTCGCAGATAGGGAGAGATAGCATGCCGTAAATACGTGAGTGACGTAATCTCCTGAATAATACAGACCGGACGACGACGGAGGTGGTGGTGGTGCGATACAAGTAATGGAAAATTCCAGTTCAGAGAAGCACATTGTTGTGTGAGTTAGTTTAAAAGGTCTTGAAAATGAAAATCTGCATTATTTCCAGCTATTTAAATTTGCATGCAGGATTCGTAAAATGCGAGCCCAGAAGAAGAATGTGTAGCTCTGCAATTAGTGAACTCATAACAAATACTAAAAGTAATAATGTTTCTTTTCAGAAGAAGAAGAAGTGAAGACGAGTTGAGTGGTGGTGGTGATGAGTTCATTTTTTACGAGATAATCGTCCCAGTGGCCGCGGAGGAAGCAGGGGGGACATTAACAGGGGAGGGCCGGGTTTATATAAGATGGGGAGATGATACGAACATCGAACAAGCGTGGGGACATTGTCCTTCCGCGGCCACTGCTCATCTCCGCAATTTTCAGCAATTCTCAGCCACAAGGACAACTCATCTTACTCATCCGTACATAAGTCTTACTCGGAATTATGCTGGGACGACGAGTTGATGAGAGAACCTAATTATATTCTCGTGTTCATGTTCATTCATTTCAGATTTATTTTTTCCATTAACATTTCTCCAATTAAAAATCAATTACTGCTTCCACGTCGTGTTCAGGTGCAAACCGCAAGACATTAATTTTTCTCGACTGGTGGTGATGGTGGTGCTGGTGTTGATTTAGAGGTGTAAAAGTAATGATGATGACTATAAAGTTGGGGATGATGATACTTTACTTGCTCAAAGTGTGTAAACATGATGGATTGATTTTCATTTCAATTTTATTTCATTATTATCTGCTAAACAAACTCTATTATTTTGTCGTCTCTCGAATCGTTTAGTTACTAAACATGAATGAATCGACAAGTGATAATGGAGGTCTCGCAGCGTATGCTCCCAGATTTTGAGGAAACTAGTCTCAATCGATGACAAATTTAATTAGGATGAAATTTGCGAAAGACGCGATCTCCCAAAGGGCACGTTTGGCCGAGATATTTGCATCCGAAGAGGAGAAAACGCGTAGTAAATTGTAAAATTTGTCAGTTTTAACCTCTTCGGATGCAAATATCTCGGCCAAACGTGCCCATTGGGAGATCGCGTCTTTCGCAAATTGCATCCTAATTAAATTTGCCATCGATTGATACTAATTTTTGCCCAAAATCTGTGAGCACACGTTGCGAGACCTCCATTGTGTAAAGGGTTCTTTAGAATTCGTTAGTTGGTCGGTGGAATTATCATTTAAAATTATAATTCACCCCTCGTCTCGTAACGTAACGTAATAGGTGGTCAACCTTCGCAAGCTGTGTATTATTATTATCATTATCTTTCTCGTAGAATGGCTAATCAGGAATCGTTAGTTAAGGTAAATCAAGGTATTGACACTGACTATGCTGCGACTGGCCTCCGCATTTATTGTCGATTATCATCAATTTATTTAGACTCATAATAATAATACGCTACACCAACTAGTAAATAGCAAATATTCCTAAGTGGACGGATGTTTATGGAGGAAGAGGACTTGCACAATGGTCTCCTGAGTGATTTTTTATTCTTATAAGAACCTGCCGAAGCAGAGATTGCTCGTGAGTCGTGAGTCATTTAACCTCTATTAAAAAATCGTCCGATACTTTATAAGCAGTGATGTGAATGGAATACTGACTGAGTCGTTTTGGGAGGTATTTTTTAATACAATACGTTAAGACAACACGAGGCATCAACAATGTGCATCTTTTGATAAAACGCTGATCAGAACAGTGGCCGCGGAAGGTGTGGGGGCATTAACATTGTAGGATGGAGGGGAGGGCCGGGTTTATATAAGATGGGGAGATGATGCCGACATCGAACAACCGTGGGGACATTGTCCCCCTGTCCTTCCGCGGCCACTGATCAGAATGTGGTGGTGGTGGTCTCAGCTTTCATGAACAGTTTGCTTTGCTTCTTGCTTGCTTGCTGTATCGACAATTTACATAACTGCGCTTGACCTGGCCTCTCTATCATATTGTTTACTATATTTGCATATGTTTGGTACTTAACCTCCCACTCTTTTGTCTTTAAGAGTGGGTTGAATGGAGCCATTGTTCCAACAACTTGATTTGGTTGAGGTGAAATCAAAATTGAAAAAAAAATCTCGATACAGCAAATCGTGATCACCAGAAAGTGGTGTAGAGACTGGTTATATTATACTTTTTGAAAGTGCATATGTGAACTGAATGCATATTTACATGCGAAAAAATGTGTAGGATTTACGATGAGCTAAACAAGGAATGTTTTTTTTTATGAGAAATTTATATCCCTCATAACCTTGACGGATGAATAAAATTCTGGAATTGTGTTAAGAAGAATTCCAATCCTAAAAAGTCATGACTTTTCGTGCTAATTTCGACTTGTTGTAATAGAAAAAGGAGATTACGCAAGACTCTCAGCGAACGATTGGGGAGCCAATTAGCACCCCAAAAAAGATAAGAAAACAATAAACAAGACTAATTTATCTCCGTTTTCCTTACAGCACTAAAAACATCTCATCGTCAGTATTACTAAGCTGCCAAATTCAGAAAGTAAATTCGAGACGAGGTGTGAATTTAGGTAGTCTTTCTTAAAGGAATTGCATTTAATTCTCTGCTCGGATTTATCTCACTCGACGTCTTTTAAGCCTCGATGGGAAGATTAGGCAGAGAAACGAGGGACGGGAATTCTCGCTTTTAATAAGGAAACGAATTATCTCATTTGTGCATTTATCCACATGCTGCTCTAGACTGGATAAAATTACCAAAGTTAGCGTACAGTAGCCGCGGAAGGGTGAGGGGACAGAGGGACAATGTCTCCACGGTCATCATCTCCCCATCTTATATAAACCCATCCCTCCCCTATCCCACAATGCTAACGTCCCCACACAACTTCCGCGGCCACTGCATACCTACAATTCCTGAGTAGATAGACAAACATTCTTCTTGGGCAGACGTGCTGTTTAAACTCTTCGCAAAGTTCAGCTTCTTCGATTTAACTCTCCAATTACTTTTGAAATCACGAACGAAACCTGTACATTTTAGTGAGAAGGTCAAGGTAGGTATCGTGCATAAGTCTGCAAAAACCACGCCGTGAAGGAAACCCATGTTGCAAACTGGCATAATAAAAACTTTCTTGCCTCCTTAATATCTATCTTCTTGACGGTGCGGTGGTCGTGGTGGTTTGTTTGTCTCAGGAGAAGTAAATCATGGATGAAATCCGTACCGTATTTTACACACAGAGACAAAAATCGTGGAAGGGTTGAGCATTTATGTAAAAAAGATGCACGATCATGGTGGTGTCTCTCTCGTGAGATTATTATTTCATCCCTTGAACAAC